GTCCAATCTAATTCTTTGATTTGCCTAAACTGTAATTGCCATTTATTTTGGCATTTTTTACATTTCTGCCACTTCTGAAAAGACGTGGGTTGGGCTCACTCCTGATCTAATAATTCGAAGCCCAGCTCTTTTATTCTTTTTGTTTCATGGGCCTTTCTGAGAAGTGTGCCGGTCGTGAGATTTCTTTTGGCCCAAACAATTTCACCTTCCATTTCTTGTTCTAAAATCATGCTTCTATTCATTTTTTTTTCAGGATTGTTTGGAACCTCGAACAAACCTCGATCAGATGCTCCTACCTCTACTCCTCTTCTTCGAGCTTCGATTTTCAAATTTTTTTGCTTCGAATTCTCATTATGAAATCTTTCTTGTACTTAGATTGTTCGGATTTTTAGTTTGTTATTGGTAAGTGAGATTTTTGCTTTTCGACAGCAACTCGTCGTCTTCAGTTGTGGAGGAAGACGGGGATTTCGCCACGTCGTCGTCGTTTGATTTGAGATTTTTATCTTTTGCTTAAATTATGTGTTTCTCTTTGGATTTTAGTTGATTTGAGGAATGTATTTTAAACTTTGATGATCGATTTATCTTTTGTTATTATTTCAGTTATGGATCTCATTTTTGTTTAACAATGTACTTTTATGATAGAAAGTTAACAACATAGTTCTATGACAGAGTATTAACAATGTACTTCTATGTCAAAGTATTAACAATGTACTTATAAGACATAGTATTAACAATGCACTTCTATGAAGAGCCTCTATTTGGTTTTTGCGAATTTATTTTAAATAAATTGTTTAGGTTTTGTTTTTAAATCTAGGCTAGGCTTGTTTTAGTTTTTTTAAATTTATTTGTAGGTTTTTTGTGTTGGCTTTTTTAAAATTAATCAGTGGCAATCATGTAATTTATAGGAACTTCAACACCTATTTCTTATGTAATAAATGAGTTTTGGGTGTGTTTTTAAAGTGCATTCCATGTGGTTTTTTTTTGTTTTTTTATTTTATAAATAATAATAATTTCAGCCCCTATTTTGGGTATAATAGGGAAGTTCTCTAGAAAATAAAAGGGAGTGTAAGTGGAGAAAAGAAGAGTGGGAAAATCCGCTCCCTTTCAAAATCTTAATTACTGTTTTGGCTCAACTGTTTTTTTTTCTCTTGAATTGAATGTCACTAAACTTTTAAAGCTTGTAGTAATGTGTTGCTTAACTCCTATTTTTATGCTAAAGTGGTGCGGTCTAAGGTTTGAACTCCAATTACACCTCACATCTCCTTTCAAATTTTGACCAAAAAATAAATAAATACCTATTTTTATGCAGTGCCTCTACTTGTTTCATTTTGTTATTTTTGATTTGGCATGATATGAGAAATTGAGAAATGGCAATTCAAATGTTTAATATTCAATTTCAAAAATAAAAAATCAGAGTAGAAACCTTTAAAAGAATACTTTATCTCTTTTATCATTTTATGTCAAGCTACAGATAATAAAATCCAACGATTCAAGTTGCACGTTCTACTCAATTTTTAACTTGTTTTTCGTTTTCCCACTATTTAGTAATTGGCTCTAATTCATATATATATAAGGAGATTCTCTAACAAGTATTTTATGTGAAGAATTGGTTATATATTTCTAATCTCGACCGTTGGATTACATACTGGTTGCATATTAAATTTAACCAACACATTTAATGAATGCAATTCAACAGCCGAAATTAGAAATATGTAACCAATCTTGAACTTAAATACTTATTGAAGAATCTCCATATATAGATGATGTGTACAGTTAATGGGACATGCTGACAGAGGCGGACTGGCAGAGGAGCAAATAGGGTAGGATGACCTTGTGGACGCCATAAAATTGGTTGGATAGTGCCGATGTTGACCCTTTGTCCACCTGGCATTCTGCCATTTGCGTGTATATATTTGCTCCCACAACTATCATTTAATTTTTCAGTGTTGTTTTCATCTAAATTTTTTTTGCAACTTTTACACCATGACCTCTTAAAGTAAGAATTCAAAATGAGCCACTGTGTGTCAGTTTAAACAACGCATTAACTACACTTAACACATCCATACTCAATCTCTTTCCAGCCTTCGCATTCATACTTACCTCCATATTCAAGTCTTTTCTCAATTTATGGTTCTTACTTTTCAAGAATTGAGTTGAGGATTGTTGAACCAGAAGTTCAAGCTAAAGAGGACTCTTCGGGTGGGTTTGGCCATATAGCTCGAATTTGGCTCCATTGGATAGGGGTGGGCATTTGAACAGGTGAACCGATGACTCGAGCCAAACCGAGTCCAAAAAAAAATAAAATTTGTTGACAAAAAAAAGTCAACCTAGGCTCAAAAACGAACTGGACCACTTTGGATCGGTTCATATCCCAATTCTTGTCTTCGAAAAATTGGTATAAACCAAACAAGACAGCTTATGTTTACCTATTTATTTATATCCAAAATAAGTAGTAAGCCTAATTATATTCAAATAACATTAATAACTCCAAGTAATACCTACATATTTTAGCCCAATTAATACCCAAATGTCTTAGTTTCAATTTATACCCAACTAAATAACTACTATACCCCAATTTCTTTTTCCATATCCGTTCTTGTTGCACTTTCGTCTCTCTTTCTTTTCTACTTATTTTTTTATATTTCTCTTCCTATTTATCTCTTCACATCTCTCTCTTCTACCTCTCTCTCTTATTTTATATCTTATACCTATTTCTCTCTTCTTTTATTCATTGTACATATTTTTATATTCTTCCTATTTTTCTCTTCTTCACATATTTATATTTTTATCTTTCCAAACCAAAAACCAGGCCGAACTGAATCGAAACCGCATAGGTCCAATTTGGTTCGATTCTTCTAGATTTTTTTATTATAAAAATTGAACTGAATTTAACCGTACGTAAGTTCCAATTTTGATTCCAATTCCAGAGAAAAATCAAACCGGACCAGACTGTGCCCACCCCTACCATTGAATATGCTTTTTCATTTCCATGGAGCATAGAGCCCTCCGTTAGGGATGGCCTGAGAGCAGTGGGCAGCCACAACACCACAAGTCGTTATCTTCCAGCAGCTGGTATTATCTTGTCCTTCACATTAGATTGTTATGGTATAGATATATACTTGTGTTACACCATCTGCTTTGAAGTCGTAATGATACCACATTGTATTTGTCGATGGGGCTGTCAAGTTGTAGATGGGGGTCTGGATCCATCGGGGTGGTGTGGTGGCAAGAGGTCATAGGTCAGGGAAGAGTGGTACGTGATGACTTGGGATTAGGTTGAAAGGGCTTCAGGTGGTTAGTATCTTCATGTTATATGGGAATGTGTTAATGGCTTGGGGTTGGGATTTTTCAGTTATTTTCGATGAACCCGATGGGGCGGGGTGGTCGTCAGGGAAAAGACATGGAAGAAGGAAAATGCGAAAGTGAAAAAGTTTCCTAAATTTTGAATTGAATTTCAATTTTTTTTATTAAATCATTTATTCCACTTGAGAAAAAAAGTGGGCTCCGCGCCATGTCCTCATTTAACAAATTTCTTGATCAGCAGTCTAATAGCAGAACCATATTGCAACAATATACCGGTACGAGTGAAAGCCAAAGACCCAAACCACAACGGTGCAAAACGTAATTGACCCTTTCCACATCTTATGTCAGCTATAGAAATGCAAGTAAATCTATTGCTCATCAAGACACGTTATACGTAAAACTACAACTCGGCTGTTTCTATGTACGATAATATTGTTTTTACAGAGTACAAATTAAAGACAGGTGACTTTAATCCCGAATATTCTTGTTTTTGGTCAGCTAATCACAAATTCTGTATCCACTTGTTTTCTGACCCAAAAAAACCTCTTATAACAAGACGAATTTCAGTTTTGCTGTATTTCACAACCTTGTGAGATACAAATTTGGAGCTCATAGACCAAATGGTGCATGGACTACAATGAGGAAAAGACGAAAACTCACCGTTGGCTATAGTTACAAGGGGGAAGGGGTTTGACAACTTCACAAGTTATATCCGATGTCGTACCTGGTGGCCTTTTCCGAAAATTCTGCTCTTTACCTATCACTTGTGAAAGTATTTGCTGCCGCAAACTAACCAGGAGAATGTCTTAGAAATCGCTTCCCTCAAAAGCATCTCCAGAAGCCACTGCTATCAATCACATTTCCAGTATTTTCAGTTGATTTTTGGCTTTGGTCGTCTTGGCCTTAACACAAGATAGAGTACACCCAGGACAACTAAGAAAGCAGGAATTGTAGTCACATTAAACACCACATGTACTTTTCTCTCTCTTGTGCAGTGGATTGGGTGGAGAATGGCTATAGTTGTATTTACTTGATCAACAAACCTGCAACAGAAACGATATTCACAAATTAGCCAAAATTAGCATAAGAATAGACTTCCAACAGCTTGCCAAATATCCTGCTCAACGAGAGAAACATGAACAGAAAGAACAGGGAATACTAAAAAGCTTAAAACGGTTTACTAATATAAGAACCAAGAAGAATAGCAACAAAGCACACTTTTCATTTTCTTCAGTCTCTCAAACTACCGTAAAACCCAAGAGCTGAAGCTAATAGTAAAAGAAACAAACAATGTATATCAAGCAACAGTGACAATCACACTAAAACGATCTCAAAACAGCTTAACCAAATCAGGGCTTACGGGCAGGAAACATAAATTAACAAAGATGAGGATTACCAATAATCTCTTTTATTTATTTATTTTTAAGATCTGAGGATTATCAATACTTGAATCAAGAACTTACACAACCTGGCTTTGATACCCTATTAAATTACCACCGGTCCCAAAAGTTTAAGCTGAGGGAAACTGAGAGCAACAATATATATATAAAGCTAAATACAACATAGACCAAAAGCTTAGTCCTTAGAACCCAGGATGCCATAAGCCATCTTTTTCTCATATATTAAGAAGCAACTTGGAATTTGAACTAATTGACTCAGTTCAAAATAACCAACTTTCATTTAAGGGCTAGAACATTTTAGAACAATCTGTTCAGAAATAAGAAAAGAAACAATGCAGAATAGGCGCATAAGCCTTCGCTCAAGTGGCATGGGATGGGTGGAGTGAGGGTAGAGGTCCTAGGTTCAAAAGAAATTAAATGTGAATAGAGACGTTAGTAGTTTAATAGTTGATCCACATTTGTAACTGAACAATTAAAAAGTAAAAGGCCTTGGATAGCTAACCCTTTTGACGCATCTTCTAGGGTATATAGCAGTCTCATGGCATCCACATACCGCAATTCTCCAGTAACAGTTGAAATCTGAAGACACCAACATTATCCAATTGTAAATGACTCCAGAAGAAAATAAGAGACTAGACTGTAAAGAACAGCTCAAGGTGATGGATCAATTTACTTACTCTTCTCCATAGACTAACAACATAATTGTACTTGTTAATTAGTTCATGCTCCTGAGACTGAACAAGTTTGAAGGTTTTTTCAGCTAGTTTCAGTCAAGTCTCCATTTGTATGTACTCGAGTTCCAATAACAATAACAATGCAAATAACTCTGGAGCAACAGCTGATTGTACAACAATAAAACATTATGTACTTATCTATATGTGTGAGGATTAAAAAGGCTAATAATTGTCAACTTAATGGCAAGCTGACCTGGCTCCTCACCCAAAAGACAACTGTTATTAGAGCATCCAACCAAAAGCCAATTGGCAATGGGTGGAGAAGCCATTTCTCGATGTGGGACAAATCTCTAAACATGTGGACACCTCATATTGGGTGACGTGGAAGAGCACGTGTGGCTGATGGGCCAAACACGTGGATAGCCTGCTCTTCTACCATGCTAGAATTGGAGCATCCAACCCAAAACCAATTGACAATGGGTGGAGCTCTTTTAAAAACTAATATAAGGCTTCCATTTCCCAGTGTGGGGACAATACTCTCAACACTAACCAAAATTTGTCAACTGGATTCCTTACACCCATACACCCAAACACCCAAAAATCTCCCCTATGCACAGCCAACGTAGGACTCATAATACTGCATTGACAAATTTCAATACATCATTGTGGATGACCACATTTCTGAGATTCCCAGAAAGTTGCCACTCCTAATCACCATTAACTGATTACATAAAACTAAAGAAACAACATTAAATGAAATACTAAGTTTCAATTACAACAATACTAACAGGCAAGGATACTTGTACGCTCCATGACTAGAAGATGAATGGCTGAATTGACCACTTGTACTGACTCTTCCAGAGTTGTGATAATATAGCTCCGAGCAATTGTATCAGATTGAAATTGGGAAATGTTCCATCCTTGAGAAGTAATGGAATACGGGTTGCATCCGACTGACCACATCCAGTCCTGTCATGAAGCAGATAGTAGCTCAACTAAAAATAGACACAAGATAAAAACAGTTGTGTGAAATCTCCAGGAATGCCAATGCATACACATTGGTGGGGGGAGAGAGGGAGAAGGGGGTGGGGTGGGGGTTGAGAAGGGGGGGAAGCGAGAGAGAGAGAGAGAGAGACAGTGTGAACAGAATTAAACAACTATCTATTTAACATAGATAAAAACGCATTAGACAGAACTTCAGGCAGACACAAGCAAATGCATACAAAATCTTCTTTTTCCCAACATCCAATATCATTTAATTGAATTTTCACTCAAGTCATTAAGCCATCATTATAAAAAAAATTATAAGTAGATAATTCTTTTTAGTACAAAGCATTAGAAACTCCACACAATATTGTTAAAATCATAGGGGTAATACAAATCCCCAGACTGCACTATTTTTATTTTATTTTTTGAATAGAAACTTTATAAATTCAAAGAGACAAACAAAGAAACAAGCAAGTGGATAAGGAATCCACAAGAGCAAAAGAGCACAACTAATCCCAGACTGCACTATAATTCTCAATGTTTTGCATCCATTATAAATGAGCACAACTAAATTCAGTGAATGTCAAGCGTAAACAGGGTTTTGAAATATGGTGTCCAGTTTCTCCCGCATGATCAACCCTAACTTGGAAAAAGAAAAAAAGTGTTTTTCCACATTCTAAATATGGCTTACCTCAATCGCAGTTTCATGGGCTTGACTGTAAGCAAGGTGGAGGGGAAGCAGACCAGCAAGATGTTCAGAAGCCGCAGCCAACGCAGCTTTGATAGGCCTCCTGCATAAGGTAAGGGTTAACCATAGGATCTATAAGATTATACGCCAATCAAAGTAGTGACTTCAAATCGGTTCAGAGTTCAAGCGTCATCTAAAGTAATCAGGCATACTACATCAGAAAAGGCACCAAATATTCTCTCGACTTACCGCATATTTTAAGAATGGGAACTTAAATGCAATTTTGTTGAAAAAGTAGTCAGTGAAAAGCACCAACAGGTTTGCAATTTGATGTTCCATTTTTCAGTTGTTTCAATATATGCCAAAAATTGGTACAAACCCATTGAATTCAAGTAATAAAATACACTCCTAGCAAACTATGTGTTCCCAAGTTAACTATTAGGCAAGCTATAAGCATTCAAAGTGCCTAAAGAAACACAAGAAGTCCATCTAAAGAAAGCCAACTAAAACAACACAAGCAAAGCTACACTTAGAATAGAACAACCCAAACAAAACATAACAAGCAAGCCACACTTGGTACAAAGCTCCAGTCCAGTCTAACCACACTAAAGGGAGCATCTCTAAAGTTCTTAGACGAAGACACCCACCAAGCAAGACATCTAGTTTTGTCCTATAGAATCCAACAAGAAGGAATACTTAGTCAAACATTCCATTTAAAAACCAAGAAAATGGAATGTTTAATCAAATAACATTCCATTTTCTAGAGTTTTGCCATAAAAATCTGAGAAACGTTATCAGCAGGGCTGAAATTTAACCATCAGGAGACAAAAACATTATATGCCAGAAACACTAACCTCAAATCCCACAAAAGTGGCTGCCCATTACATTGCAGATGGCTCTCCCAGGATGAAGGCTCTGACTGAACAACAATAACCATATCAGAAAGTGCCTTTGCCTGATAATGCTTGTCAACCAACAATGGTTCACCATGGATGAACCAAAATATTGGAACTTCTAGTGTAGACCGGCTATGGGCAAGCTTCCCTACATAGTTTGTTGAAAAAGAATGCTTGTCAATTCCAGAACATCAAATGCATACATACAGAGGCACGCATTTAGTTATAGCTAATCCCAAGTGTTTGGCTCAATGCCCATGTATTGTAGTAAAAGGCAATGGTCCCAAGTTCAAGGTACACCAACCTCTTGGGGCCACCCTTAAGAGATTTTCCCAGCAATTAACGAGTGCATGTCAGAAGATGGGAAAAACATGTGCCCCAAGGATTAGTCAGTGCTCTAAGAGGACTGGATACATCATGATACAAAAATTAAACATAGATTCAGATATAACAATTGGTTTGCTCCAATTAGAGAACCAATACAGTTTGTTCCCACCATTGTTCAACTAATCTACCCTCCTATGCAAGCGCCAATAAGCTTTTAGAAGAACTAAATTTCCTCAACAACATATCGCACATCTTAATTCACCACTCAGAAAAAAAAAATGTTAATTTAAAATGTAACATATTTCTTTTAGAAGTTGCCATTTCAGCGTATGTCCAACCTATCTAGATCTCCTTTAGGATCTAAAGTTAGGATTCATCTTAGTTGCATTGAAACTGTATAGTCATCCACTGTATTTAAGAGGTTTCTAGCCTGTTTTACCATTTATACAGACAAACATGGTCTTCTCGCCCTACCTCCTTTCGGAAGAACTAGCCAGTCAAGATACATGAACCCCAGACAGACAGAATCTTGGGTAAACATAAGAAAACCACTACAAGTTGTACCAGTTATACAAGAAAAAGGCAGGTGTGAAATGACTGACAAAAATTAAAACTGTAGTACTTAGGTTCTATTGATGCGTCTTTAGTGAAAAAAGTCCCAGATAGTGTCAAAAAGTAGATCATTTTAATGCAGCTTTTAACCTTTTAAAGAGCCGTGATCATTCATTCTCTGCAACTGATACTGAACAATGGAGGAATCAAGATAGGATCGAACAGATTTCCTGTAAGTTCCATTAACAAGCAACAGAGGAACAGCTGCTGCTCTTCGTGCCACTGAAAAGGCCATTGCCAAAGCAGGATCCTCTGAAAGTGGTAACCTACAAATTTCTTTCACATTAATACAACTATGAACCACAACGAATTTACATGGGAAGAAAGCACAATACTTAATCATCCGGAAAAAAAAATTGACAGTCCCAACATGAAATGATTCTGAGTTTTAGCATACAAAGGAGAATACATAACATCAATAAAAAGGCGGATTACCCATCCAAGATTAGAAAAGTATCTGACTTTACCTATAAATGTGATGTGAGACAAATTTTAAATTATTAATTTTGAGAAATAAAGAACCATGCTAGATACATACAAGTGCAGACTGAAAGCAGGTTTCTGAGAAGGTAACAACAAAGAGGAGAGTCCATCCATTAGAGCCTTGAGATCCACAGGCAATTGTTTAATATGTCTAACTTTCTGCATTCATTAGTAGTTAGGTAAGGTGGTAAGGTGGTAAGAAAACCATATGCATTAATTGTTGAAGCTTCTTTGAACCATACCCATACCTCCTGCGTGATGAAAAATAACTGAAATGATATCGTATCATAATAATGAAATGCACCATCTGCTATGGAAGGTGATATGATGTGTCTCATAGATCCCCACAAATTTGCACCTAAATGAGAAAGAAAAGTATCACGTGCAACTGTGTAATTTTGAAACTCCTGCACAAGAACAAAAAATAAATGATAAAAGAAAATTGCTTTACATTTAGCAAATAAATAAATAGAAAATAAAGTGTTTCAATGATTCCAAGGCAAACTTAGTGTCGAAAGTAGAAATAACTGATCAGCAATAAACGTCAGCAGGGGGAAAAACCCCCAATAGCAAACCCTCACTGATAAACCAAATGGCATACCTCATGAGTATCACTGAACAAATTCCAATTCTCCATTCGCTTTAATGCCTCTAGAGCCTTTCTCTTATGACTTTCATCATATTCTTCACCTTCAAATGATTGGAGCTCATTTTTCAAATCCCTCATTCTCTCATCAAGTTCTGAAATCACCCAGATTAAAAGGAACATGAACTCTTTACTTTTGAGTGAAATAACAATCGTGCAACAAAACAACTCTCATAATACATGCAATGCAAACACCATTAGGTATGGTATATATGGGAGTAAAACCAAGCATGATTGGCAAGAAAAAGAAACATAAGAAAAATATTCATAATAATGTTACTCAAAAGAGTAAATGGTACATGTCTTATGACTTATGAGAAATATGAAAACGAATTTGACCTTCACAAATAATATAAAGAAAAAAACTTCAGGCTGTAAGTGAACTACATAAGTTCCAACTATCTCTCAATAAATAAATTAATGAAGAAACACAGTTACAGTCCAAAGAAGCGATCTTTTATAAAAATGGGGCTACCTTCGCAAAGAGCAAGCTTTACTTTCCTTCCTTTGCAATGTTTGAAAGCAAAAAGCTCATATATATCAATCTCCGCAAGAAGAATATCAATGGCTTGATGATCTTTCTGCAAAGCTCACAAGCACCACAAATTAAATGGGAAAGAGTAAAACCCTCATACTTAAGTTCCCCTCCCCTTCCGCCTAAAAAGAAAATCAAATGGTCGGTGCTCAGAAATTCAAAAAACAAACAACAAATTATTTAAGAATGCCGCATAGCTAGTTCTATATTTCCTTTGCTATCTCCCTCTTTATCGCACATGTGAATTTGTTATTGTATTAATACAAGAAACAAAATTCTTAATGAAAAGAAGAAAACCTACAAGATAGATGGACAAGGTCTACAAAGCAATCAGTCTTACTTTCAAGTTTCAATAAACATAGCTCACATTACATCAACTCATATTCCCCCCAATCAAGATGAACTACACTATGTTGGATAGAGATGCCCATAGAAAGGCTAGAATTTAAATATATCCAAAGTAAACCCACACCCTCTTTATCACAAATAAAACCCATTATTTACTTCCAAATAATCTGCAAAGAAGCCAACATTGGTAATCGCCTTTTTGTTGGCATCCACATAATTCTCCACCGGAAAGAATAACAACTTGTAGGACAAAACACACCAAGTAATTGTCTTTGATAGGAAACAAAGACTTTCTTAAACAAGTCAAAAAGTACAAAGAACTAAAGAATTTTCTCTAAAGAGTCTACAATCCCAACTTATCCTTCCTGCAAAAGAAACTCCACAGCAAGCATAAAACAAACACTAATCTTCCTTTGTGTAATCTTTTAGAAGAAATTTATTTAATTAATTGGAATCAAACAATCAAACAGCTCTCCTAACTTCTTCTTTTCAAAAGGTGTAACAACCCAAGGCCTCATCCAAAAGCCTACTCTGAAGTTGACTTATGAATTTCTTGGCTTTCTTAATACCCAACACATAATGTAGGATTCCGGAGTAACACCATCTTGTCTCCTTTATACCTTGGGCGTCCTCACTGAGAGAGTAACCATACATTTTAAACTTATATCAATGGACAAGGCTTTCTGATGTGGGATGCAGCCATTTACTTGCCTAGGTACCCAGTAGTGCAGGTGAGGCGCCACCTTTTCCCTCATCGATACAACCATGGCCCTTAACTCCTGCATATACAAAGGTTGGGTAGGACTCCAATACCATTTGTAAGGACCCAAGGCCTCATCCAAAAGTGCTGAAGTTAGACTTCTGGAGTCCTATGCCTTTAATAAATAGCCTGGATCTTCAGTGCACATTGCCGATGAGGGATTCACGGGTATCACAAAAGGCCTCTCAAGCCACCTAGCCCTCTCTTCCTTATTGGGTAACACTCTCATCCCTCCACTCTAAACCCCATCTCCTCATGTTTAGTATAAAAGTTGTCGAAAAGACTAACTACCCTGCCTATTTTCCATGCTTCTAATTTTAGAACAGCACGTAATATTACGTAGGGTTATCCTAGCATTTGCATTCAGACTTGCACAGAATACTTGCTTGTTGATAACATAATGAACCTTGTGAAAATACTATCAATCCTCTATGCAAAAAGCACCATGATAAAAGACAAATATATGTCTAATTATGAGCCCAAAAAAACGACATTATTGTGTAAGCTCGGGTAACCTATACAGCGCCTCCCTTCAATACCCATTTTTGCAGCATCACAACAAGCAAACTAGGCACAGTACAGACAACATGACTTCAATTTTTTTTAAGAAACAATATTTGTATTGAGAAAGGAAAAGAGAACTAGAAAAGAGAACTAAAAACTGGCTGCACAAGACAATCAAAACATTTTCCCCCCAGCATGCAACACCCATTTTAAAGCATCACAACAAACAAACTAGGCACAATAGCTTTATTTTAAACAAACAATATTTTTATTCTGAAGGAAAACGGTACAAAGAAAGATATCAAGCTTAGAAAGAAAACTAAAAACTAACTGCACAAGTAGAACATTCAAGACATTTCCCACCCCCAAATAAATAAATCAATCAAGAGAAGAAAAAACTTAAGGGAATGTTTTGAAAAATGTTTTTCCTTGAGCTTTTAATGAATTATCTTCAGGAAGATGATAATCATAAAAGACTTACGAGTAGGACGGTTTTGTCAAATGCTTTGACACAAGAAGCACCCAAGGAGAAGCTGAAGACCTAACCCAGCCCAAAGTAAGCCAGCATTATAGATAATGTAATAGATATTGTGTTCACATGGTATATATGCTAGGTAATTAAGAAATCAAAGTCATGATCTAGTAGATTATCTCATTGGCGGAGGTTTAATGAAACTGAACATATTGGATTCAGATCACCAACAGCAGCAACTAGTGTTCTGTAACAGAAAAGGATGAGTAATATATTGTAGGGTGCACAAAGAGCCACAAGAAGGTGATGATCCTCAAACTACTGCTAGCAAATCTTGTTACTTGCCATTGATTTACCAATGGCAGTACAATTCGATACGTCACCCACCATCTCTAACCTCTCTCTCCCTCCCTCCCTCCCTCCCTCCCTCCCTTCCTCTTCTTCTTCTTCTTCAACATCATCTGAGAGAATTGAACTGTGTGTTGGGGGGTTGGGGTTAGGAAATTGAATTACTGTAGATAGATGCATAATTACTAATGGTACTTAGTTGTCGGAGGATTGGATGGATATATAATGAGATGAGGATGCGAGATAGATTGCCAAAACAGTCAATGTTACAAACCGCAAACAAGAATATTGCAACCAACAAGAAATTACAATTCCAAGGACACCCACACCAGTCCAAACAGCTGTGACCATATTTCTTTGTGAATGCGCTATGCAAACAAATATATAGGGAAAGAGCATAAGACCACCATGATTACAATGCATAGATCCCACTATTGGCAAGTAGTGAAAGAGAAAAAAACACCAAAATTTTCTCCTTTTTGTTCAAAAAACATGAACATACAATATAACAATCATCACCTTATACACATACGAAGATGAGATTTCAACATTGAACTGAAATTAGTTTTTACCAGAAAGCACATACATCACCAAATACGGCAAATTTTTCCTGAATAGCATCTTGTAAGCGATCTTCTGCTTCATCTTCGGAAATTTCTGCACATCATAAAGAAAATTTAAACCAGCCAAGGCAAGAACTTTTGTAAAGAGTTGGAAAATATCTGGTCGAGAATTAAAATAAAGTTATGCTTACATGACAAAAATGTTTCCCTAATCCTCAACTAATGAAATAAAGTTTATATGTATGCACGTAGAAAAATGCTCAAGAGTAGGTGGAGTGCTTATGGGATAGGGTGCAATTTTGGGCATCTTAGTCAGCATCTGTACGTTTTTATTTTGTCAGATTGGAATGCATTTTCTTTTTCTGTTATTTTGTCAGATTTTTTTTCCTAAAAGAAACAAATTGTATTAAGAAGGGGTACCTGTTTTGTACATCTTTGGTATCCTGTTTTTGTTTTGTCGTTTTCCCCAAGGATTGAGGTGCTGATGCAGTATGCACTTTTAGTTTTCTTTTAGAAGTGGACTCCTCGTTCACTTTTGGTGTACTGTTTCGTTTTTAATAAACATTCACATTTCTTATCCAAACAAAAAAAAAAAAAAAAAGGACTTTTTCTAGGGGACCCTTACTAAATGTAATTCATCCAAACAAAATAATGTATAAACACTGTTCATCTATTTATTAATAACAATGTGATGACTAAATGGTTTCTTTTTTCTTTTTTCTTCTTTGACTAGATGACTAAATGGTTTCTGATTTGGCTCCATTTTTTGTGGAAATAATGATACTTGAATAGGAACCTAAAGGGCAATTCAGATTATTGAACCAGGATGATCACACAATGTTGTTCTTTCTTTTCTTGAAAAGTGAGCATCCACTCGCGAGGATTTTCTTAGAAACATAAAATTTTGAATATACATATAACAATATGATCGCTAAAGGACAATATCAATTTTCCCACAACATTTTAGCATCAAGCTCGCTCTACCACCAGTAAATAATAGCACATCCAAGTCAAACGTTGCCACATGATCAGTGAAGGTTATAATTGAATAATCACTGGTGAAAGATGTTGCAGTACCTGAAACTGCACCAATTGTTTTTTGCACATTGGGAGAACTTAGTTCTGTCCGAACACCTTCCCCACCAACAGCTGGTCCCCATGAGAAAGGGCCTGCACTTAAATCAATAAACGCCCACCTAATCCAGAATATTTTACCAACAAGGATCAGTATAACGAAGGGTGTGTGTATACCAGAGTTCATATATGTATGTGTATGTGAGCATCTGGGAATACATAAGAGAGAGAGAGAGATTCACCTCTCTTTTCCAATCCATGTATCTGTAAGGCATTCAGCATGAAGATTGTTGAATTCCCCAGATTTTAGTTCCTCACTGAAAAGAAGCTTCATATCTTCATTCTTCCCTTTCAGTAACTATTCTCGTTATAAGAATAAAAGAAACAATTAAAACATTTAGTTAAAATATTTATCTCTCTGAGTTTTAGTTTTATATTACTCAGTTTGTCTAGATACTCATAAGATCAGAAAAGGTTTGTATACCTGTAAAACTTTGTTCTGCACGATGTCCACAGTTTCCTTCCCTCGGTACAACTTCTCCACATTATTCAATGCATCTTGGCATGCATTGTACCATTCAACCTGAAAATTAGATGTGCCATTATAGCCTTTAAATTACATGAGCAAGCTTTAAAGAAAAAAAAAAAAAAAAAAAAAAAAAAAAAAAAAAGAAAAAATAGTCAAGAAAATCATTCATCATATCATATATCAAGCAAAACGAACCATTGGGCTATCTGTAGAACTAAAGTGCCCACCAGCCCTCGTAGCGAGCAATGATGAAAATATCAGTAATTTAGATTTAAAGACGCGTGACATGCACTGTAAATAGTGCACAGCTGATAAGTATCAAATTAAAACTTGAACTATATAATTCATAAGAGCATCTTTATTCAGGGAATACTCAATGTTTGAGCCATATCACATATTTTGGAAATCTCATTACACCAATACAGGAAAAATATAGAACTTAGTAGAGGAGATTTCATCCTGATCCAATTAATAGCAAATTTCTTTTACTATCATTTGATCAACATCAAATTTAATGTTACTTAAACAAGAAAAAGGTATTACCGACAAGGTGTTAGTTGGAATGGTAAAACCCATGGTTTGCTCCCACGTGGCCTGAGGTTCGAAACCACCAAAGCTACCTACCTAGCTCTTTCATAGTGTTTTCTGCCTCCCAATGATTGTAGGGTTCAGTGGGGGGGCCCAGTTTCAAAGCTGTGTCCGATTTGCAGATTGGTGGATTTCTGGGTATCCAAAACAAAAGGTATTGTTCCTATAAATCTCCCAACTGTTTAGGGAGATATTATTTTAGTACTTGGGAATAATAATATCACTATCCTTTTACTGTCGAAACCAATACTCAGAAAATTTGGGGTTGCATCTTCATAAATTGTAGCATGTTCTTCCCTTTACCTCAAAGTGTGCAATCTTCCCTTTTCTCTACTGTTATTAAATCAATAATCCTCAAGTTCTGATTGTTTCAGTAGTAAAAAGTTAAGAATGAAAAATAGTATTTTCTTTTCCAGTCAGGAAAACTACAACAAAAATCACTATTTTCATCAATATGACCGGGAGGTGTGTTTCTGTGTATGTGTGTTAGAGAGAGAGAGAGAGAGAGAGAAAGAGAGAGAGAGAACTAACCGTATCAGTGTCTTCAGTTACAGACCAGGCAAACTTTGCCATTGGATGCTTCTCGTACAAAGGTCTCTTAATTTTATCAAGAGCTACAAAATTCAAGTTTTCAACAATATTATTTTAGGAAGAAATAAAAAAGAATATACAGATTTTTTATTTATAAATGTTCTTCAAAGCTCCTGAGTGAAAAAAAAAAAAAAAAAAAAAAAAAAACTAAAAGTGAAATATCTCCTCAAAAAAAGTGCGGAAAAGAAAAGAGAAGAATTTAGAACAAAGGTTTATCATACCAAGAACAGTTTCTGGAATGCTTCCCGACTGAAGAATTTTGGTTTGCAAATTCTTGTTCTACAAAATAAAAAATATATCAATGCCTCCCCTTTAAATATTAAGAGATGAACAGACAAGAAAAAATAAAATGGTCACAAACTATGATCATGAATAAACTACTAGACATGTTAGAAGAATGACAGTAGGAACATAACGCCCAGGAATTGAATAAAAACAAACCTCTTTGAGAAATTTTATTTCTGATTCTGATAAACCTCTCCTGCAAAAGACAAAATTAAAATTGAGAAAACCAAGCTAATAGCATTCTAGAGTTAATAGAAGATATGAACAAAGAGATAATGAGACAATATTGAAAACATACACAAACCAAACATAACATGATATCAGGTTTTTCCAAACTGCAACATAATGTCAGTACTGTAAAAGATTTAGCACTGAGATGTGCTCCATTAAATAAGGATTTGTCCCAGGTAAGAATCAACATGTAGCTCACTCTATTTTGTGCATTAAGTGTTGGTCCAAGCAATTGAAAAGCTTCTTTCTATTCGGTTATTCAGTACGGACACAATGTCGTAATATATATATATATATATCAAATTAATTGATATTAGGAAGAATCTAAGAAGATGAAAAAGGGTTTAAAGGAGGCATGCTGATCACCACAAAGCTTAGGATCTTGAGATTGAAAATTTCTTTCAAAAGGAAATTACGTATCCAGTATCAAGAATAAGGGAGACATGCGTGGCACACGCATACCATGGGAGATACTTAGCCACATCTCAACCCATGGTTGAAGAATGAGGCAATCAAGGAAGTCTTCCTCCTGAACTAGATTAAAAGTCCAAAGACCTTTGCTTTCTTTCCTTTTCGATACAAACAAAGGGAAGATGATAGTAACTGCTTAAGAGATTAAATCTTGGACAACAAACAAGCTACTGCAACGCACAATACCTCCGTAAATGCAAATTTCATTAGAAAAAGGTATATCATTCTCAATTTGGGAATGATATCTTTCTCTTCAGTTTGCATAATATTGGAAATAAAATGGTAACTGTAATCATTACGTCAGTTCTTATACAGCAAATGAATCCACTAATTACAATATGAAGCAGATGCTGTGTTTCAGTCTATAATCATTTTCATGTTTGATTGAGCCTATAAAAATTCCTCTGTTGCACAAATAAATTGCCCATCAATATGTCCTGGTATCTAAACTATCTCTATCTCGTATTGAAGCACTTCACGGAAACTTTATGCTAGTCATCAAGAAGACTCCACGTATAAGATGTGGAATTCAATCTACCATATTAAGTAATTCCTAATATACACACCGGTAACCATATTTAGCTCTTTTTGAGTCGTGCTTGGGATTCAAGATGAAAACGTTATATGCATTTTCAAGTTCAAGATATCCAACAAGGCTAGTGAAAAGAACATCCATCATGTCCACATCTACTTGCCACAGAGCATCCCCGTCATCCCTGTACACAATAAAATGAATCAATGACTGAAAGCAGCAACAAAGAGAAAACTCAAACATGCAACACCAAGCATGCTAGTTAAACACAAACAATTGAACTCAGAAACAATAAAAGAATATACCCAAATATGCAGTTAACAACAACAAAAAATGCTTCTATTACCACCCCTAAACCCTCCTATGAAATTGTCCCAAAGGAGCTTGAGATATAATCTGGGAAAAAAAACAATAGGACCGGTCAGTGCCCTGCATGGGGTTTAGGGTTCAGGTTTAATGGTATTCTGGAAAATCAGTGCATATGTTGAAAACATCTGTTTTAATTTTTCAAATTTTTTGGACGAAATTTATGCGAAGAGATTGAAGAGTTTGCTGCCCTCATGACAGTTTAGAGAATATTCAGGTTTCAGCACATAAACCAGACAGGAGGAAATGGAAACTGGATTCATGCCGGGGTTCTCTTGTAGGACCTATTTTAATTTGCTGTGTAATAAGCAATCCTCTACTGTATTCCAGCCTGCTAAAATGTCAGGAAGACTAATATTTCTCCTAAGATACATGTTTTAGTTTGGATAACACTTGCAATTTGGTACCAAGAAGAAGAACCAATCTTACTGTGTCTCCTCACTGGTTCATTTTGTGCAAAAAAAAATATAAAAATAAATAAAATTGGTAGAATCTGGAACTCACTTGCTCTTACATTGTCCTTATGCATTGGGGCTGTGTTGGTGGTTGGTTGAGGCTGTAGGGGTAGCTAGGCTATTCCTCAGCCACCCTCAAAGATTCTTTGTGAAAAATATACATCTTCTGGAATTGTTTAGTGCTAGCTGTTTTTTGGGTAATTTGGTGGGGGAGAAATAGAAGAATTTTAAGAATTATAGTGGAGATGAAGAGAACAATGGGGAAAAGGTCAGATTTTGGGAATCCTTATGGGTTTGGCATGAAAAACATCAAAACTAAATTACCCTCAATCTGAAATTGAGGTACAAGGATAGCTTTATTAGTCCCCCAGAGGAACAAGGTTCAGACTTGGAGTTGTTTAAACCTTAACAAAAACAGATTATAATCCCGAAGCATCATATGCAGTTCACTGAAAACAACTCGAGGAGCAACCATGTGGCATATCTATAGATTACACATGAAGGTGTGACTATATTCAAGCAATTGGAGGCCTTAAGCAAGAATGAAAACATCAGTGCCAGTGGGAATTTCAGTTGTCCAACTTTAGGGGAATACTGGTGGAAATAACAGTTAAAAAAACGAAAATGCACAAATTTGCTTTAAATATGGAATTTAAAGCTTTATAAAGTAGTAGACCTAAATGACATAAGAATGAAAAGAGTGATATAAGACATGTTTTTCAATGCGCATGAAATAGTTTTACATAAATTTAATTTGACTTTGATTATATAATATGTATAGCTTTGATTTAAGAAATATTTATACACGCACATATATATATATATATATATATATATTGAATTATCAAAACAATTGTAAACTGTGGTATTGGGGACATGATGATGCTAATTATCTGGGTTGTGTACGTGGAAAGGAATAGAAGGGTCTTTGATGATATCAAGGCTGAGGAGGTGGAGCATCCAGGGAAAAAGGTTCATTTTGGAGCTTATTTAAGGGCATCTGTAGCTTCGAAATTCAGGGATCTTCCTGTTTCCTGAGATTTCTTTCTTCTCTTTGTTTTTTCTTTTTTTTGTTGATTGGTTATTGCATATGTAATGAAATAAATCACAGGATTTATATTGGTGGAAATCTTGTGTATTTCCACCAGAATTCGGAGGAAATGCCGAATATTTGAGTGGAGTCTCAGCGACAGGGTGGAAGGGAACTCCTTCCAGCCTAGTTCCAATGTCAGCATGGTTGAAATACTGAAAGTGTTTCAGCCAACAATTTAAACCTTGGTTATAAGAACAAAATGTGATGGGAAGATTGATGGAAGAAGCCCGATCCTTTTCTATTACTCAATTCAAGCAGCCAAATGTATGAGCGAAAAGAATCTGATATAGGATGAAATTACCTGTTACCATATGAGTCATCCTTGCGAGAGAAAACATTTATGGCTTTCTCAAATATCGAAGTAACCTTTTCTCCCATTTGTATTGCATGAACAGAAAAACTACAAGAACATTCATCATCATATAACAACAACAATTACGATTCATAATCTTCCTAATAAACAGATAAAAGTACAAAGAACTATTACTTGTAGTTTATGTGACTGACAATGGGAAGATGGTGTCGTTGCTCTTTATCTACACTAATCCTGTAAAACGGGGTGAGGACTTCTCCAATTTGAGGAACACGTGTATGTTCAAAGGTATGATCAATTTTTGTGAACCAGCGCTCAAGTTCTTCAGGGTGAAGCTTGAATTCTGAAAGTAGATTTACAAGAAGAACCATTAAGAAACAACCACCCCTTTAATAAACAAAAGAAACACAAAACTGAAAACATGAAAGAACAAAATGAACACCAAATTTGTATACCTTGGTTTCCTTTCCCATCAAATCCAATAAAAATGAAGTTCACAGGCACTGGGAGGTACATAGAATCAACTTCCAGAAACTTGAGATAATTTGCAATATTGCCTGGAATAAGATAAAAAGAGATTGGAATCAGTACTGCTCATATACAATTAATGGGTGAAAATATATTTTCTTTGTTGTTGAGTCATTGACCAAACCAGGATTGAAATAGTAAGGAAACAATAACTTTATGTGCTTAGGCCGAAGGAATTGGATACGAAGAACCCAATGACTTGAGGACACAAGCAACAAACAGCAATGGGGATGTTACCCCCAAATTAATGACAACTTTTACTGAATGTAATGGTGCTTAATTCAGCAGTATAGTCACCTTTCAGGAAAAAAGGTCAGTATAGTCACCTTTCAGGAAAAAAGGTCAGCATAATCATCACTCCCACATTAAACAGTTGCTTTTATAAAACCATAAACCCAACTGCCCATCATCAAATGTCATTCCCCTTAAGAGACATCTGAATCCAATTGCTCAAGCATAGAATAGAATCCAATTGCTCAAGCATAGAATTGTGTACTCTAAAAGCAACACCAATCAATTATTGCATCACTTGGCACCTAACTATAAACAAGAGTAAATGAAACTAAACTCTTTATTAACCAATACAAAGCACTGACTCTGCAACTGACAGATAAGTTTCATTATTTATAAAAGCAAGAAACACAGAAGATGCCTTCTCTTCGAATCCAGGGCCCATAAACCCTAAAAAAAGTCATTTCTTTCGTTTCCTCTGCCCTCAAAGCTACCATTAAATAACTGTAGAACCAGTATACAAATGAAAAATCTGCAAACTTGGGACATAAAGAGAGTCCGGACTTTAAAACCAAATCCAACGAAAATCTCATTCGATGTTAATTTCACCAGAATGCTAAGGTGCTGGCTGTTCTCCATGATTCCAATCACGATACCTTTTCTTTCTTTCTTTTTCTCTTTTTTGAAAAGTAGAAATTTTAATTCATAAAAAAACCATACAGAAAAGTGGACAAGTTATCCACCAATAACAGAAAGAAACAAGAAACTAGTACAGAGATCTACAACTATGAGGAAAAAAAAATAACCATTGCTAATCAAGACACTGCAGCCTTCCAATCAAGAAAAATGGTTGAAAGGGATGTATTCCTAAAAATAGGAGAAACAGAAGCCCAGAGCGGTGGAAGTACTTTTCCTTTTCTCACACCTCCTCCACTTCCGGCCCCTTGGCATCTAATATAATAACTAGTTTTCTTACAAATATAAAATAATAATAATAATAATAATAAACAAAGAACCATGTTCTAGGGGTGTTATCAGAATTTGTTTTGTAAAGTTCAACAAAATTTCCCAAATGAATTTTTTTGAATAGAAATTTTGTTAAAAAGGCCAAGAAAGAAGTTTTCTAATGACTACCTGCATTTGTGTAGTTGAGAACACCCATTTTTCCGGGTCTGGAAGATTCCAAATCATCAAAATCTGAACATTAACCAAAATTATGACATTAAAGGAAATAAAGCAATCTGTTCCTCCGCATATATGAACAGAAGGTACATTTAATGAAGGGAAACATGCAGTCATACCACCACGAATAACAGCCTCACTCCAAAACCTACTCTTCTCTTTAAGGTTAAATAAAGAGAAGACTGATGACCTGCTGCTTTTTCCAGAGGGAGATCCAGCTGATGTAGTTGCCAAGAACTGATAAAAATTATGCCAGCAATCAGGATAACATGCTATAGAAGTTTTCATCGCAAAATCAAATCTATCACGGATATAATCTCATCCTTGAGGAGTCAAAAGAAAGAGAGCATAAATTCAAATCAATGAATACAATATTTAATCTAAGAATCTTTCAACAAGAAAAGGACAGCATAAATGTTCAGCAATACCCTTAGCTGTAAGTTTGTATGAGCATGTCCTAAGCATTGACCATCCGACCAATGCATTAGCAATTTGACATCTAAAAACTGTAAGTCCATCACAACCAACAAAAGGATGCTGGGCATTTATCCTGATGACACTATTCTATAAATTGAAGTTCGTGCATCTTCCTGATGACACTAATTGCGCTGCTGGGCATTTATCTTCCTATTATTTTCTTCTTTGTTATATTTGGTCAGAGGAATGCTGAGTATTTCAAATAGAAGACCAAAGCGAATGAGCTCACTCGATTCGCGTCTGATCCTCCATGATTGAAAATTTCTTACTTTCTCCTTCTTTCATTTTAGGGTTTAGGGTTTAAGTTCAGTAAATCAGTAATATATATCAAGCCTTCAAGCATCTACATGTTCCATCAAATTATTTCCTAATACTTGATTTAATAAATCAAAACAAGACAAACAAAAGAAAATCCATATAGAGTGAGGAGCAGTTGGGATGTCGAGCGAGAGAAAGGACTAACCAGTAAAAAAATGGAAACAATGAAGAAAGGCAGAGGAAACAATCCCCGACGAAGACGAAGATGAAAACGAAGACGGTTATGATGATCCATCCCTTCGTTTCCAAAGAGCGGAATAGAATTACGGCTACCGTCACCAAACAGATTTGCTACTTCCCGAGAAAATGCCCACAGAGACAAACCAAAGAAATAACAAATAGAGGAAAAACATGTCTCTCAGACCACGTCATACGCGTTGATGTGGAGCTGACATGTCTATATGAATGGGTGATTTTATTGGCACCCCATTAATTGCTCTTTACACCCCATACTAATTTTAAATATAAATAACCTATTTTACCCTTGTACACAATTACCGTTAAGGACAAAAAAAATTAAAATTGCTCACTACACCCCACATATGTTCCTGCAACCCTAGTTTGATTTTTTTCTCAAACTATCATGTTCCTAAACCCTAAACCCAAGATTTATAAGTTTATACTGGTGAAAAAATATATTGTATTTAGAGTAATGCTAGGCTTACCACATTTTTCATACCACAATTGTACCACCTCTCTAATAGAGGTGGAGCCCACCAATACAATGGGGCCCACCTCTATTAGAGAGGTGGTATAATTGTGGTATGAAAAATGTGGTAAGCCTAGCATTTTTGTTGTATTTATTCATGAAGGGTGAGATTGAAGTTAGAGACGCTTCGAATGAGGTACGAGTTTATTTTTTGGCGTTTTGCAAGTTTAATATTTCATAACAGTCGCTGGTTGTGTTCAGCACATCAGTACCGAACGCGACAGATAATTTCGGTGGGATGCCACCGAAACTTTGCACCTTTTTCGGTTGGATTTCACCGCTGAGAAACTTAATATTCGGTGGGGATCCACCGTAAGATGGAACGTAGTTCAGTGGTGTACTACCGAACTTTTACCCGCGTTTCAGTGGCATCCAACCGAAATTTATTTATTTTTTCAGTAACTTATTGCCAACCACAAATTTAATCCAAGCTATTTTGATCTTACTCCCATTAAAGGAACAAAATATCCAAGCTATTTTGATCTTACTCCCATTGAAGGAACAAAATCAAGATGACGCCCCTACTGAAGGCAACAATGTGGTGTAATGGACTATAGTGATCAATTCACAACTTACAATGTGTTATTACCATATAACTAATATTTTGTTTTATTTTCAGCTCTATAAGCCTCGCGAAAACCAATCAGCATTCGATACATATATGCATATAAAGAAATTCCCTGAGGGTATTAGGAAATATATCACTCACCAGACTGAAGTTCTTCCGGATGGTAACTGTGGATATAGAGCCATAGCTATGGCAATGAGATTTGGTCATAATGAATGGTGTAGGGTACGCAAGGATTTGTTGCAACAACTACATGATATGTCTTTTGTTTTTAAGAAGTGTATTCGGGAACATAAACGATACAACGAGATTGAGCGAGCGCTAAATTATTTTGATGATGGATTTGCACCATTCTTTTGTTGGATGACCATGCCTGATATGGGACATATTATTGCCACACGTTATAATGTGGTTTTAATCCTTCTAAGCATGCGTCAATGCCTTACATTTCTTCCTTTCTCAGTTCAATCAAGCGAAACCAAGCTAAATGAGATTGCCATTGGTTTTGTTGACGATGATCACTATGTCCAGGTATGAATTTATTTGTTTACGCAACATTTGTTAATTTTATATGCTATGCGTATATGAATGGATTCTTGTTTTGTAGGTTCATTTGTCTCCAGATCATCCTATTCCACCAGTTTCTAGAATGTGGCATGAACAAAGTGACATATGCAATGTAACACATTTGTACTCGAGGTACCAAGCACGTGTGGATGCTTTTCAACAACTTCCGGGAGTGGAGAATGTAGCTACTACAGATACCGTCATCCTAATGACTGATGAAAATGCACCTGTTACATAATTGAGATTATAGATCTAATAATTTTATTTAATTTTTTTTCACATGTAACCTGAAAAATACATCTTTGTGTGCATAGTCATTTAGAGTTGAAGGAGAAAGTTGATAAAATAATGCAGGAGTTTAACCATAATCTGTCGCAGAACCTCCAGAGTTGAAGGAGAAAATAGAAAAGGTGAACACAGAGATTTATGAGGAAATTGAGAGAGTCTGTGGTGGCCACAGAGATTTCTTATCACTGGCCGAATACATGATGTACTCCTCTGAATTTGTGTCTGAAACATTGGAGAATCGCACCCGTAACCATGACAAACTCACATACTCATCATTGTATTTGTGCAATTGTTCAGTAGCCTCTTCATCAGTTACTCCTAAGTACTTAACTAACAACTCAAAATTTGTGTCGTCATCATCTCCAAGAGGAGCAACCGCTGCACCAGACACAGGAATGCCTAAAATAGATGACACATCATCCAATGTGATGGTCATCTCACCAAAAGGCATGTGAAAGGTGTTCGTTTCGGGATGCCACCTCTCAACAAATGTAGACACCACAATCTTATCAGCATTCCGATAAGAACACCTAATAAGGTGCTCTAATCCAGACCTCTGAATGTACCCTTTGAATATACTATTATTTGGATTACCCCACCAATTCCACTCACGAAGGGTAGATGTTTTCGACATGCACCTAAGGGGCTCACGTTCCTAGTTAAACAAAAAAAAACAAAATTAAGGTTAGTTACCATGAACCAGATTTATATTCTACCTTCTATTGTCACAGTAAAACGACTTACCTGGTTATTCCAAATTGTAGCTGCTATGTGAGTTTTAAAACTCGTAAGTAAAGATGGATCAATGGGACCTACTCGAGATGGCTTAGTAGGCTCGGCATGTACCTCAACATTACTATCCTGAGCAGTAGCTACATCTTCAACCTCTGCGTCAACATTACTATAATCAGTAGGAACTACATCTTCAACCTCTGTAGTATCCTCAATGTGATCTTGGGGAGCCGCTCTCTGTCTCCTCGCTGAGGCCGTGGGACGTTGTCTATTAGGTCGTGATGATGAAGCTTTAGTAGTACCCCTGCGAATCCTCTTCATATCTAAAAATAAACAATATTAAGTACACACTCAGTAACGTATTCGGTACATAATCACTGAAAAAGGGAAATAAATTCGGTGGACAATCACTGAAAAAAGAATACATATTTGGTGGAGTACCACTGAAAAACCAAAAGAAATTCGGTGGGAGTCCCCTGAAAAATAGAAACAGATTCGGTGGACTACCACCGAAACATGGTAACAATTTCGGTGGTAACCCACCGAAAGTACAGGTTCAATTCGGTGGACTACCACTGAAGCAATGTAATCATTTCGGTGGCAATCCACCGAAACTAGAATCCAATTTCGTAAAACCAGGTTCGAACTACCCAGAACCTTGAAATTGAAATCAAAATCAGTATCAAACTTTGGCTTTTCAAAAGTGAAATCAAATGTAGGGTTAATCAACACTTAGAAACGTAAATATATAAATCAAATTTGAAATCAAACCTTGAATAAGGATTTGTGAGAACTTGACCTTCAATGGCTTTTGGGTTTGCAGAGATGGAGATGGGTGTGATGGTTCTGTTTCAGATATGGTTCAGGTTTGCTGGAGGCGATGGCAAAGGGCTTCTTCGATGGTGAGCAAAGATCTGCGATGGCAAGGGATGAGTTCTTCGATGTTCTGCGATGCAGGCAATGGCAAAGGGCTTCTTCGATGGATGGAGGTTGGTGTAAATGGGATGGGGTGTGCGATGGAGTGTGTCTGCAAGAGGAGAGAATTTTCGGTGGGGTGTGGCTGGATATCAGATAGGGTGGGGTTTGATTTCAGATGGGGTGTGGCAGAAAGGGAAGGGGGTTTTCGATGGGTGGTTAGAGAATGGGGTTTATGAGGGCAATTTAGGGAAAAAAAAGGGGTTTAATGAGTAATTTGAAATTTTATTAAAATTTAGTGGGGTGTAAAAATTATGGGGTGTAAAGAGTAATTTATGGGGTTCATATAGAATTACCCTATATGAATTTCGGACTATACTCTAAGGGCAAGTGCAGCGCACAAGCCTTGCCAGGTCAACAGCCCCCGCACCCCCGCCCCCCCCCCCACCAAAAGCCCAAATCCAGCCCAGGCAAGCCTTGGGTCCCACCAACCCGGACAAGCCCACAGGCAAATCCTGCTCGGGCTCAAGCCCAAAGGCGTTGATGTCAGCGAGAGCATTTCAATTTTTTTTTTTACTGTTGGCACGTGAGTTAAAAAAAGAGTATAAAAAAAAAAAAAAAAAAAAAAAAAAAAAATTGAAATGCTCGCTTTCACGCGCCAACGGTAAAAAATTTGACTTCCGCTTGCTGACGTCAGCCCTGACATAACCCAACGGAAAAACGCCACGTGGTGCTTCCCGAACGCTGCGATGGGTTTTTTTCCAGAAATCCGACGGCCCTCATTTTTTTGGCTAAAAAAATTGCAAAAAAAATTCGAAAAAATTTTGAAATTTTTTTAAAAAATACCAAAAAATTCTGGATTTTTTCCCTATAAATACCTAACAATTTTATTCACTTTCCACACCAAATCTTCATACAAACTCTTCTCCTTCCAATATTTTTTACTTTCCACTTACATTTTTCTACTACTTTCCATTTGTATCAAAAAATAAATGCCCTCTTCTGTCGAAGTTGGAGGCACGTGGACAACTCAGGAAGATATTATGTTTTGTCAATGTTGGGTGAAAGTTAGTCATTGCCCTGTCACGAGCAATGAGATGAAGTTCACTCATATGTGGAGCAAAATTCATGGAGAATTTTGTCAAATATTGGGTTCGATTTGGACCGAAATGGCCTTGTTTGGTAGATGAAAAATTCTGAATAGAGAGTTAGGGAAATGGATAAATGCCTTGACAAAAGTAAGGGAGAACATTCGAAGCGGTCAAAATCTTTCCGATGAGGTAAAATATTTATAATTGTCATTTTAATCAATTTAATGTAACTTTTTTTTATTGCATATTCAATTTCTTTTTCTTGCATAATCTTTTTTTTTGGGACAAATTACAGTAAACCCCCCAACTTATAGGGTCATTTACGAGTTTATACCCGATTTTGATGACATTAACCAGTACATACTCAACATCATGGAAAACCTACAATTTGCCCTCTCCATTAACCAAACTATTAGTGAGTCTGTTAAATGCTGACGTGTCAAAAGTGGGACCCTTTCTTTTATGACATGGCCTTCCACGTGGACTAAAAATTAATAAAAAATTCTCCCACCACCCGGATTTCTCCTAGTTCCTAAATCCTAATCTCATCTCCTCTCTCTCTATGCTCTGTCTCAAATTCCAACCCAATACAACGGTCGTGAAGAAATGGATCTAGAGGTGGTGGGACGCCACGCTCTATTCGACGACGACGACACTAGCACCTCGTTCGTTAACCCCCTCCGTTCCCACCTCAATGAGCTTCCTCTTATAGATTTGAGCTCAATTCACACCAAGCTTAGAGAATTTCGGTTCTCTCACTTCAATGTCACTCTAAAGCACGTGAAATGCGTCCGTTCTTCCTGTGATAGGAGCCTAGAGTTCTCCTGGTTCGTTTTTCTACAAATTTTTGTGGCAAAATCATTCATGGGTTTTGAATGTCATTTCAGATTTTGTTTTGGGTGTCTTGGATTTTGAATTTCATGGTCTCTATTGTTGGTTGCTTGTAGATTATGTACCAGACTCCAAATTTTACAAAGTGGAAGCGATTCTGAGGTGCAGAAACCACTCATTCATGCATATTTTGTTTGGATTGATTGTCTATAGCTCTGCATGTTTGTGGTGATCTTTTTTTTTCTTTTTCCTAATTGTATACAACGTTTCAGCTTATGGATTTTGATTATTTCTAATTATTTCTTAATCTTTGTTCTAATTATGGGACAAAATAGGCCATGGTGAGTTTCGCAGGTTTCTTCGGTAAGAACTATTGACTTTAAGCATAGCTTACTGCACAATACGACGATCGTGAAGAAATGGATCTAGAGGTTGTGGGCCGCCAAGCTTTTAAAAAAGGGTCCCACTTTTGACACGTCAGCATTTAACAGACTCACTAACAGTTTGGCTAACGGAGGGGGCAAATAGTAGGTTTTCTGTGACATTGAGTATGTACTGGTAAATATCTCCAAAATCGAATATGAACTTGTAAATGACCCTATAGGTTGAGGGGTTTACTGTAGTTTGTCCTTTTTTTTTTCTTGCATATCCATTTTGTCCACATTTTCTTGCATTTCAAAATTGTTTATATTTTCTTGCATAATCTTTTTTTTTTCTTGCATTTCTAATTATTTATTTTTAATAGATCATACAAGCACAAATGTGGTTCAGTGCCATGGGGTAAGGCAAAAAAAAGTTTCTTGAGTCACGAATGTTGGGAAGTTGTGAAAGATTGTTCGAGATTCAAAATTATTTCCACAGGTTCGCCGGTTGTGTTGAATGAGACGTCGCTCCACGATTCGCCAACAACCGATTTGCCATTGGACTCCCGAATGGAAACAGACTCACCACTCCCACATGCGCCGAGACCTATTGGGAGAAAGGCGACAAATGCCAAGAGAGGGAGCACTTCGAACAATGAATGTGCACAATTTTTGGAGCAAATAGCTAAGAACAGCGCACTAAGAATTGAGAGAGACTTGAAAAGAGAATAAACGGACAAGGCACGACATGAAGCATTTGCAATTGAAAGGCAACAAGCACAAGAATAAGACATGGAGGACAGAGAGATGAAAATTTTGACCATGGATACGAGCCATATGTCTCCTGAAACAAAGTCCTATTGAAAGCTAAAACGAAGGGATGTGATGAGAAGAAAACTTTTCCATGACGACGACATAGCAATACAAATTGATTAAATGATCAAAACCATTAGGTTGTATTGAAAGATTTGCCATATGTATTAATTTGTTGTATTCTTTCCCTTTTATTCAATAAAGAAAACATTAAATAATATGACTATTTATTAAAAACATTTGTGCATCAAAACAAAGATTAATTAAAAACAAACCTTCATTTATTGCAAATAACACACAAAACAAAACATACTTAAAAGCATAATCAAAACGAAGTATATACTACAAGGAAAAACCCTATTGGCGACCACACCATATCGTCGCTAAAAGGTCAAATTTCGTCGCTAAATATCATTGGTGACGAAAAAATTTCGTCGCTAATTTCGTCGCTTTAAGCTCGTGGCTAAAAGTACCAGGCGACGAAACCTTGATTTCGTCGCCAAAATCTTTAAGCGACCAAATTATTCCGTCGCCTAACAGACTTCAGTTGGTCGCCTATTTGAGTGAAAACTCCCAAATTTGGCACAAACTTGAAGGTATTGGGCGACCAAATGTACCTTTTCGTCGCCTATAGTCTTTGGTGATTAACGAAGTTCGTCGCTAAGGCTACTTATTTCGTCACTAAAATAAGCTTATTTTATTTTTTGGTCAATTAAAAAGGGAAGGGAGTTTTCACAAGCAATAAATAAACTAATTTGCACTTTCGAAGAACAATAAATTAAGGTAAACAAAATGAATCCAAAATTATATAAATAATTTTTTTTTCACATTCAAAGGTATACGAGCATACTAGTCATTTAAGTACACATAAATTTAGTACCCTATAATAACCAAAAACAATGAATGAAGAACTCTCCACTCAAAGACTAGAACCCAAACACCAAATTTTCTTGCCCTTTGTAACCCCAAGTTTTGCATTCAGTATTTCTACACATTAAGACTAGAGACCAAGCCTGTGGGATAGGGACCATGACCTAATCTTGTGGAATTCTAAACACTCTACCAATTGTTGCTTCACCTTCTCAAACTCGTCCATCAACTACCTCTACAAGAGAAACAAAAAAGAAATGTCAATATGTATATTTATATATATGTATAAACAGAGTAATACAAGAGACAAATTGGTATTAATGTGGTCCATCTTTGTTCTGCGCCATTGGAACTATCACTTTTCTTTTATTGCTATATATGCAGATGCGCAGAAGCACAAACAGGCCCAATTTAAAATCACCTACTAACGTACCTATTCCATCAAGAACAGACAAACTTAAACTCAAAGCAGACTAATTTTTTTTAGAAAAATGGAGTTCATTGTTTTTCGTCTCAGTTTCATTTGCAACTTATAACTCACATGGTATCCAAAATTTCAGGCAGTGCATGCCAACTCAATCAAGTTAACTCCAGAACAAAACGAGAACGACAATATTAATCAATAAAAGAATCATGAAAGAGGTTGCTCAAGGAGTTTCTTAGGGAAATTTCAAGTCAGATGCAAATAGCTGGAAAAAACTTAGGCAATGAAACTGGAAAAATAATTCATGTCAGCAAATCGGAAGACTGTAGCATACAGAGAATATAAGATATCGTCTTGTATACAAATATAATTCATCAAAAGCAAGCACTTCGTAAAATGGGAGAATTATCATGGAAGTAATGAATGTACCCTTGCTTTTCTTTTAGCCATTTGTCAATGCATTCCATGTGGAATTCATGACAACACAGGAGAACTCTTATTTATCTCCTTCATCATACTCAGCCAAGCAAATTAACACCTGTTCATAGGATCAACATCAGAAAAATTCTCTTGAACCACAAGAGACTTAATTAGGATTAAAACATTGCTCCATAAAAAATAAATAAAAAAATTTGTAAAGGGGATACAATATGTATAGATACTTTCAAGTTTGAACCGGTAAATCCTCAATCTATGTGTCAAAATAAATCATGTAGCATGAGGACTGAAGTTGTATAAAAAGGTATTTTGAAGTTGGAATGAACATTGAGATGTCTCCATTATGATTGACCTCGGAAATGAAAGAACAACAACACAGTTGTTTGATTCAAACATGAGTTCACAGGAAACATTCATCACTATTAAAGCTTCAATGAAAGCTTTACGGGCTGTTAAATTTTCAATAGAATAGATCTTAGTTAATGGTGACAGGGTTTAGGAAAGGAAAATAAAGCAAAAAAACAAAAAGAAAAACAAGGAGAACAAAGGACCAACCCAGTGGATCAGAGAATCAGTGCTGACTAGATTGCTATCATTTTGTAATCAATCACAACCTTAACTGGAACACCTCAGTGCCTTACAAGATTTCTTCTTATCGTCTTGCACATTTACAAACGCATAAATAGAGCAACATACTACACTGAAATAGAGAGAAAAAGATAAACCCTGTTTATCTTCAACTACACACTATTAGAGTTTAGCTAACATTTCAATTGGACTATAACAGTTTCAATTGGATAAAGGTAAAAAAATTTTAAGCAAAAATGAGATATACCTCTTAACCAAGTATTTCAAAATGAAACCTACTGCAAAACATAAAACATTTGAAAACTTGATTCAATTTCTGAAAAAAGACGCATGTCTTTGAGTCTTTGACAAGTTGATCATTAATCTGCAAATACAAACTGGGCCAATTGTGATTAAAGTCCACAAAGAAAGAATAAAGGCATTATTAGAATACAGTAAGCGTTAACCTTTGATCTAGTTACAACATCAAAAGAATAAAACAAGTGTGATAGTCTATATGCTTATTATAGTGTAAGGACTATTCATCTGCAATCTAAATAAGTTCATGAAAGAAAAACCAAATAACACATACAGATCACATGACAATCTACCCAGATTATATAGGTAGATGAAAACAAAAATTTAATAAAGGAGTCAAACTTCACGATTTGCAATTCTCATTCTCCAACTACATCCTCTGCCTCTCAAAAATTTTAAATAGAATAAAAGAGTCCCAATTTAACATTCAGACCAATACCCATCACAAAATGCAGTAACACCAAACACAGTAGTAACTTAAATCTAAGTATCACAACAACAACAAAAAACACATCACTGAATCGGAGTTGGTCTGTGGCTGAAAAGATTGTAGAGAATCTTTGGTATATATGTGGATCAGAGAGTGTTGGTGTAGCAGCAAGTGGTTGGCCTGGAAATAAACCATCTCAAACACAAATTTCTCTCTGTATACCATATGTTTAATAAAAATCAAATATTCAAATGCATGTGATATTGGAAAAGTGAATGGAACAACAAAAACAAGGCAGTTTATTCTAACACACTAGAAATCGTTAGTGACACTACTATACAGTCAAATCCATAGACTGAGTTAAGCAATTATCTTCAGCTTTTAGGTTTTGCTCAACTCTATCAGGAAAAGTTTAATACTTTCAAGTATAACAAAGATCAACGGAGTATTCATTCTCTTATTAAATATACACACAGGGTAATCAAAGTAATTAATGGTAAAAAAATTAAAAGAGCAGAACCTCATGGTCACAGTCCACAAGCTGCGGCTCACTCAGACATACGAGCTCCCCTGTTGCCAAATAATGAGCTCCTTCCAAAACTGCGTCGCACTAAATGACCAGCACCACCCCAAGAACCCTTATTTCACCGTCATGACTCACAACCCAAAACAAGAACCCTGGTGGCGCTTGGCTCGGCGCAAGTTCGCCTTGAAGACGCCGAAGCTGGAGAAGTGGCGCAAAAATCTGGGTTAAGAAATCTAGAGGGGGAAGAGTGATATGGAGGGATGAGTAAGAGAGGGTTGGTATATGTGATTGGCCTCATCGGAGGACTGCGTTGCAAGCGCCGGTGGAGGATTGAGTTGAAGACGTCGGTTGTGTCGGGGAGATGAAGAGAGAAATTAATTGGTGGAATTGATGGGTTGGGGAAAATTTTATCAAGTTAATAGTCCAAAAATCAGCCACAATATTATTTGGTCGGCCAAAGGCAAATCAAGTTAAATGACCTAGTTTTATTACTTTAGATTCATACCTTCCAATGATCAGCGACCATAACAAAATTGGTCGCTAAATCAGACGAAAATTTTGGGCGGCAACTTTCATTTGCAGACGAACTAAGGAAACTTAGAGACGAAATAATTTAGTCGCCTTCAATTTTTAGATTACGCGGGTAACCAAATTGAAGAAGGGGCGACCAAAATCCCATTTGGTCGCGAATTCACTAACAGCGTCCAAATATTTCCGTCGCCCTTCGATGAGATTTTGTCGCCAAGTGGTTTGGTTGAAGTCTTAACCTATGTCTAAATCTGACGAAACTGTTTGCGACGAAATTACAAAGTTTGGTCGCGAATAACCCTATTGGGCGACCAAAATTGAGTTGGTCGCTAAACATTTGGTCGCAGAAAAGGTTTTTTTTTGTAGAATAATTCGAAAAAACACCACACACAAAATAAAGCATAATTAAAAACAAAGCATTAATCTTGACTTCATTCACTGTGATTGCCTTTCATCTCCCACAAGTGCTCGATTAAGTCAACTTGACGTCTATTGTGAACATATGAAGATTGCATTTCTTGATAATGATCCATAATGGGGTTGTTGTATCGACCATCCCGAATAACGGTTCGTGCTCCATTGGTTGTCCATTTGGTCCCATCGGCCTTTTATAAATTCTTGTTAATGCTGTGTTCATGGGATCAGGTTCAAACACTTCTGGAGCATCATAATCATACTCATCCTCCACAATCATGTTGTGGAGGATGATGCAAGTCATCATAATGCTCCGCAGCACCTCCTCATCAAGCATCCAAGCAACACCTCTAATAATTGCCCAACGAGCTCGCAAGATACCGAAACACCTTTTCACGTCTTTCCTATAACCTTATTGAAAGGCAGCAAAGCTTTTTTCCTTCTTGGATTGGGGATTTGGAATTGTTTTCATGAATGTCGTTCACCTAGGACAAATTCCGTCGGCGAGGTAGTACGCACCCGAATATACGGTATTGTTGATTCGGTATGTGATCTGTGGGGAATGACATCGCAATACATCATTGAACACCGGGGATTGACCAAGCACATTGAGGTCATTCTGAGATCCGGCAACTCCGAAGAACGCATGCAAAACCCAAGTGTAGAATGAAGCTACAACCTCCAAAATTATACTTTTTTGGCCATTTCGATTCCCATAATCTCCTTGCCAAGCAGTTAGGCAATTCTTCCATTGCTAGTGCATGCAATCGATGCTTCCAATCATTCCTGGGAAACCTCGAGCCTCAGTTTTTTGTACAAGCCTTCGGAGGTCCCTAGCTGTAGGTTTGCGAAGGTACTCCCTCTTGTAGAGATTTTCTACTGCATCACAGAATCTCACCAAGCACTATAGGACAGTTGATTTTCCCATTCGCGCAATCTCATCTACCTGCTTTGCAGATGCCCCATAAGCAAGCATCCGCAAAGTAGTAGTAAGTTTTTGCTCCAGAAGAAAACCGAAAACCCTAACAGCATCATACTTCTGAACTAAGTATGTATCGTAATTACAAATATCATGCATGATTTTTTTTTTGGAACAAATGAGGCTGCATTCTATATCTCTCTCGAAAATAAGAAACAAGATATAACGAATTTGGAGTAAAGTAATCTTCCAAGAGATTCTTACCCCGAGACTGCCTATGTCGGTCCACATTCAGGCCATGACGACGGTGGTGTTGCCTTGATTCATTGAGCATACACGTCGCTACAACCATTTCTTCCTCCTCTTCATCGGCCTCATAATCTTCTTCAACATGTCTGCACTTGATTTCTAGCTCTTGCCTCTCCAACACCCTCTTCAGGATAGACATTGAGAGTAGAATGTGTTTTGCAAAATTTGAGAAATGAAAGAATAGAGAAGATATGGTGTGAGAAGTATGAGTTGAGGGTGTAGTTTTATAGAGGAATTTAGAAGATAGAGATGACATGTGGCGTAATTTTAGAGGGTGAAAATCTTATATGAAATATGATATTATACTTTTTAAATAAATATATGAAAATCTTATCTGACATGGGACACGTGGCGCAATTTTAGAAGGTGAAAATCTTATCTTCAATCTCACATTATAATTATTATTATTATTTATAAATATCCAAAAATCTTATCTAAAATAAGACACGTGGCAACCGAGAATCTCATTTGAAATTTGATGGACACGTGGCAACCGAAAATCTTATCCGAAAATTTAATCCCAAAATATTATCTGAAATTTTAGGTGAGAATTTTATAATAAATAATGACACATGGCAACCAAAAATATTATATGAAAAGCTATCAAAATTAATAGTTAAGTATAAAAAAAAATTGAAAATAAAGTAAAGGGAATAGTGTTTGCCCTTGCCCTAGCCCTTTAGAGCAGCTCCAGTGTTGCTATCAAACTGGGCAAAAGGCCCTCCTAGCAAGCCCAATACAGCTCTAGCGCACCACTTGCAGCTCGGGCAAGCCCTGGGTCCCACCAGCCCGGGCAAGCCCAAGGGCAGATTTTGCTTGGGCTTCAGCCCGAGGGCGCTGACGTCAGCGCTGATGTTATGTTGACGTTAGCGAGCAAAAAAAAATTCTAAAAAATTATAAAAAATTCAATTTTTTTAAAAAAAAATACCAAAAAATTATGGATGTTTTCCTTATAAATACATAACAATTTTATTCACTTTCCCTATAAATACATAACAATTTTATATTTTGTTGCATATATATATATTTTTTTTCTTGCCCTTGACTTGCCTTAGACTTTGCCCTCATGGGTGGAACCACAAATGCAAAGGCTGACATTATTCACGTGAATAGTTGCAGCCCTTGCTTGTCCTTGCCTTAGACTTAGCTCTTGTGGGTGGAAGTGCTCTTAGGATGGAATCAAAAAAGGCAAGGCTGACAATATTCACATGAATAGTGTCTGCCATTGCCTTGCCTTAGCCTTGCCCTTGTCTTTTGGGGTGGAGGTGCTCTAATTGTCAATTTATTCTCTGTATTCAATTGAGATTTTAATAGATTGTAATTACATGATTTTAATGTAATGGATTTCAACCGGATTTGAAATTATATGATTTTACTCATGATTTTAATAGATTGCAATTACATGATTTTACTTATATTTCTATACAAGCTTGAACTCTATCACCCATCATCATTCACCTAAATACATAACCTAAAGGAATATACCCAATTTTTAGGATATCGATACCCAATTTTTAGGGTTAATACAAAGATGAAGGCATAGTAACCATCAAAGGTTAGTCTAGGGAGAGTACACTGATATCAACAATGTAACTCCCAACATAGCCACACATGGCCAGAATGAATATGTTAAAGAAACACAACACAACTGAGAAACCAATAATAGAAATACAAAAGCATAAGCGGAGGCTAAAAGCTACATCCAAAACCACCAACACCTAATGCAAAACAGATAGCACCAAAAATATAAATAAAGGAACATAAACTCCTAGCCCAACCCCATGACTACTCCTAGTTTTTGTCAAAGCTTGGACCAAAACTGTGGAGTGAAAAAAACACCTTGCACCTTATCAACGTTTCTTCTAGATGTGGTGGGTTTTTTTTTTTTTTTTTTTTTTTTTTTTTTTTTTTTTCATGGACCAGTTTTGGGACAGGGAATTAGAACAAATATTTAGCCATTTGCGCTGTATGTGCAGCAGCTATGCATAAAAATAAAAAAATGCCTCTTCGAGGCATTAGATCAAGCAACTTGTGGGCACACCGGCAGAGTTGTGGAGGGCTGCAACTCCTTGCGAGGAAATGTCTACAATGAGCAGTTTGTTTATTTGTTAAAAAAAAAAAAAAAAAAAAAAAAAAAAAAAAAAAAAAAAATATTAAAAAAAATAAATAAATACAAAATAAGCTATAAATAAACAAATACAAGGTAAATAATAGGTATTGGAAAATGCCCATTAGCTCTAGAAGAGGCAATATCGTTTTTCTTGTTAATGTTTCTTTATCATCTCTCTTATGAAAAGTTTTTTTTTATGTATAGTCGAAAGCATACAAAAAAAAAGGGAAAAAAAATGTATGAGAGCATATATGAGAATCATGCATAGGAAGATGAGATTTGTTATGTGATTTGGTATTTATATCACACACTCAAAAGTCTTACACAATATTTCATTCAATGAAATATCTCAAAATCAGTAAGTTTTTTAATAGCACGGTACTTTTTCTTATCTTTTAAAAGTCCTAATTGAATATCATCGGACTTGTATTGAGTATTTAAAAATCCTAATTGAATACCACTAGAATTTTATTGATTACTTCAAAATCCTAATTGAATACCGCTGTACTTTTAAGCTTCAAAACAATACATTAAAATCACAATTGAATACACCTCCCTTAGATCAAAACAAATCTCTATAGTTATTTGAATAGTTATTCTCCAGTTTTTACAAAAGTAATAAAATATTATTTTATGAAATAATAAATAAATAAGAAAAATCATTCCTAAAGAATGAGGGAGTGCGCAACAAACCAAAAACACCAACTATCTTTACAGATTGGTTTCTTCTTTTGTCTGTTCCACAACAAAGCAACACAAATATACATGGATGTATGTTGGCTTGTGCCCACAGCAAAGCAACATAGATAATGCAAATAAAGACCCCCAAAAAAAAAGTATGATAGTATATAGGAGAACAAGTATGTGAAGAGAAAAGATGAGAACGTTCTTCATTTCTCAAGTCTGTTCTTCTCCCCCCAAAACAAACCAACGTGAGAATCAGATGTAATAGGGTGTGATTTTTTTTATGGGGTTTGATATTTATATCATCCACTGAAAAGTCTCACAGAATACATCATTTAATGAAATATCTCAAAATCGGTAAGTTCTTAAATACCACCGTACTTTTTCTAATATTTTGAAAGTCCTAATTGAATACCATCAGACTTGGATGGATGATTTTAAAATCCTAATTCAATACACCCCCTTATTTTAGAGACGAAGAAAAGTAATATCCATATAAAAAATCAAAAAAGAAAAAAAAGTTCATTTAGAAACAAACCCCTTCTGGAATCAAACGGGCCTCATGGTTTTGACACGACACTTGAAAACTTCACTTAGAGCCTTTCCAACGCTGCAGCCCAGCCCGAGGCTAGGGGGAAAAAAAAAAATGGTGTTCCAGCGAGAGCAGCCCAGGGGGGGGGGGGGGGGGGGGGGGGTGGGGGGGCCACCTCCTCGGGCTGGCCCGAAGGCAAGTTCTGCCTGAGGTCCAAAACGAGGGGGGTACTGTAGCGCTACAGTATCTGCTACAGTATCGCCACAGGATCTGCTACAGTGCCCCGCTACAGTATCGCTACAGTACCTCGCTGATTTGATTTTTTTTCCTGTTGCCACATGGCGTCGTCTGGGCTCTCCGATCTGATTTTTTCCTCCAATCCAACGGCAGCCAATTTTTTTGCAATAAAATACTGGAAAAAATTCGGAAATTTTTTTAAAAAAATACCCAAAAATTAATGAATTTTTTTCTATTTTTTTTTTTTTTTTTTTTTATTTTAAATTTCTGAAATTGATTGAAAATTTATCCGATTATGAGATATGAATAGTATTGACATGTAGGAACCCGAAAATCTTATCCGAAAATATTATCAAAATTAATTATTGAGGTAAAAAAAGTTGTGAATAAAATAAAAAAATAAATAGTAACTGCCCTTAGCAAGGGCAACGGGTGGAAACACAAAATTCAGATTTTGCAAGTGAATAGTGGCTGCCCTAGCTCCCCCCCTTGCCATGGCTAAGGGCAAATGGGTGGAGTTGCTCTTATGTTTGGGAAGATTCGGGAAGAGTCTCCGCTGTCCGAATTTCATTTTATTATTAACAGAAAATAAGAAGAGAAATGAGAACAGGGAGGTTGGTGTTGGCATGTTTTTTTATATATAAAACGTGTAGGGTTTCACCCCAAGCTTTCTGTTGTCCTCGGCCGCCGCTCCTACCTGACCTCAGAATTTATTTTGTAACAATAATCTTAATAAGTAAGAATAACGATAATAATAAGGATGGAGGGCGGAGCAATGTCATTGTCGTCGGAGAGTAGGAAAGAAGAAGAGCAGCAGGGAACGTCCTATACCTATTGGGTGAGGCAAGTGGCGGAGGATGCGGCGCCTCCCCCAGTTCCTCGAAAACTCTCACCTCAGGACATTCTCTCCGCTCAATCCCAGCCTTCCACCCTCGGTTCTCTCTGGAATCGGGTATGTTCTTCTTTTATTTATCTTTTTACAATGTAATTCAATGCTAGATTAGATTCAGTCTTCTTATAATTATCGTCTCGTATGTTTATAATATATGATTGGGACTTGGGTGTTGTACATTAATTTATTGATTCTTAAGCTTCTATTTCTTTATGCTATTTATTTTGCGATTTCTCCAGGCTGGAACTTGGGAGGAGAAGAATGTTAATAAATGGGCAACAGATAGAATAAAGGTTTGTCATGGTACAAAATCTTAAGCATTTTCTTTGTTTACTGCAGTAAGTATCTACTACAAATTCCCATATCACTTTGCCTAACCCAATGGAGCCATATCCATTTCTTCAAGTTGCATCTTTGTTTGTCTCTAGCCTTGATTAATTTCTCTTTGTCTATGGAATTTACGGTTTCTTTTTTGCATCCATCTTTATTGCAGGAGCTTCTTTTATCAGTGGGTACCTTGGAGTTCTCAGGTGGCAAAGCAGAGATATCAGATGTCTTCAAATGTGTAGGAGATGTGAGTCATAATATTTTCGTTGGCCAAAATTTTTTCTTCCATAGTTGAACTGGTTTTGACAGTCTACTGAAGGAAATTTTTAAAATTTTATGAATATAAGATGCGGAATGAACAAATTTTTTTCCCAACTGATCCTTGATCTCATATAATATTCAAAAGATAAGAGCTAGGATTAAGGAGTTTTACCCTTATCGTGTGACTTAGTCTAATCCAAGTTCTCCACCAGATTTCGTCTCTTCTCCATGAATGTCCTACATATCTTCTTTCCCATGAACGTCCTCTAGAGTGATTTCTCACTTAGCTTCTCCGTGTGTGAAGTCTCAACTTTATGCACACAGAAGAGTTGAGATTAAGATTAGATTGAGGAACAAGAGTGTGCTCGCACAAGATTCATCACTGTGGTCAGTCTTTATGGTGGCGGAAGTTTGCAGAAGTTTTTCCTAGGAAAATCTTCCAAAATCTTACTATCATGTTTAATAGAGGAAAGTTAAGACCCTGACTCTCAAGAGCATGTTAGTTTTGCATTGACTCATTCATGCAATAATATTTAATGCGAAGACAGTGAACACACAAATGAATAACTTACTCATATACAATATCTCTGAAAATATTTTGTCTTTCTAGTCTAGAGGGCTCTGTCTCCTTCCTTTTCTTTTCTTTTTCAAATCTTTCTTATTCAAGAGCTTTGGAAGGTCTTTAAGATTCAGAAAAAGCAAAGAAAAAACCAGCATAAGTTCGTGCTGATTGTCGGTAGAAACTGAGCTGGACTGACCTTTGTAATCCGGAGAAGTCATAGTCATGCATGCTTGTTTCACGAAACTATTAAACTTGGTCCTGGCTTTTCAAATAACATGCTCCTAGAAGCAGGGAATGCCAGTATCATGAGTTGTAAGTAAAGTGCAAATTTTAATTATATTCCATCATCCTTTAATATGTTCTCTTTTTCTTTTCAGTTGTGATTAGAGATATAATCTTTTTGATTATGGTGATATGATAATAGACTCTTCCTCATGAGTTCATCTTTACTGAGTGACCAGGCATTCTTGGTGACAGTGCGAAACAAGAAACGTGTTAGCTACACCTATGAACTAACCTTGAAAGTGAAAGGTAGTGTGCTGCATTCAAGAATTGTTGCTTTTCCTCTTTCAATACTTCTAATCTCTATCTTCGTGAAATCAGGGGAGTGGATATTTGGAGAGGAGAAAAACACAGTCGAGGGCCAGATAGACATCCCAGAGTTTTCATTTGGTGAGCTAGATGACTTGCAGGTATATGATAATCCTTTGAACTCTACAAAGAAGGAAATGAGGAATATATGATGGATAACAAGGATAGTTTTGCTTTAATAGTCTTTATATATCCCTTGTAGATCTCATCATGTAATTATGTGTGGATGGTTTTAACAGATGGTTAATTATATTATTTTTATTAAACAGAAACTCAAATGTCACAAATGGTGGACAAGGAGTCCACTCTTAAAGTACAAACTAAAATAGACATAACATACAACCATTCTCTATACTACAGACACCAGACTAACAAGTGTCTTCCTATCCAAAAAATGGATGAAAGACTTACACCCCTAAAAGCAACTGAAAAAAATGCTCGGAAAGGACCATGAACCACCTATCCCACAATTCCTCCACCCTTGCCCCCTGTAATCCTCAAAGATTCATATGTTCCTTTCCATCCAAATCTCCACAAAATCTTGCCCCTTTTCCTTCCAGCAAAACCCACACAGCAGCCCTAAACCCTTTGAAGCAACTGAACAATGAACTTGAACATGATTAACACTCTCTGCTCTGCTGAAATGCTTTTGAGAGGCTAAGTATATAATGCCCGTGTGGATTTAATGACTTGTGAAGGACTCTGCATAAGATATGGGTTTTTTTTCTTTAGAAGTCAGGTGCTGTGGACTTGGAAAGAAATGGATGTCATGGATGAAGGTGTAAAAAAATCTCAAACCAAACATGCTATCTAATTAATTCCTAGTAGCATGCTGTTACATTTTAGCGTCATTAATTATTTTCCCCCTCTTTGTTTCAAACTACATCAGTAACAAAATGAAAGTCCAAGTTTTAGCCGCTGGAAATGTGTCTTGGTACCTAAGATTGCTGGTTATGCTTATTTGAAGATTTCTAGGCAGAGAGCAGGACTTTGAATGAATTTAGTTAATTTTGTAATTTGTAGACAGTTGTTCAAGATTTTGAAAAATTAGACAAGCCATCAAAACTAACTAGTGGGTCTCTTATGCAGAGTGATGACTTATATTAGCTGTTTGATTGAAATAACAGCTGGGGTTTAGTTTCAAAACGCGGCCCATTATTGACTCTTGATGATGCAGGAACATCTATTAGCCTTTCAAGGGTTTTAATATTTTGTTATCTTTTATTTGTACTCTATTATCCTTGTGGTATTTTTAAGTAGTCAAGTGACAGTTATGTGAGTTTTTAAGTATTTTGGTGGGCTAGGATTTATTAGTCAGTGAAGTTAACAAGGGCTAGGATGCTAGGGCTGTTACAACCCTAGTATATAGTCTTTTAAGAGATTTTGTGTGCAGTTTTTTTATCAGTTTATAGATCACGGCAAGGCTTGACCTTGTGCGCACCAATCTTCATATTATGGTAGTTGTTCTGTTGGCCTTGAAATAAAAGACCTTGTGGGCATCGCGTAATAACTGCGATAGTTGTTAGGGGGGTTGATCTTCTTGAATAGCTGAGCCCAAGATCACCGCCTGTGTTTGGGGCTCAGAATGCACATATGGTTTAGAACATGGAAGATCCTATGGTAGGGGAGCTGTGAAGACCTCGTTTGCGCTGCATTGCCTTAAATTCAATAAAGAGAACCAACCGTCCAGATTTAAAATAACTATAGTAACGCACTTCGGCTACTTTGACCTGATAACCCATTTACTTCTAAAGCTTTATGGACTTGGATAAATCAGAAAACATAAAAGGAAATCACACTCATCTGAGCCTGTGAATCCGGAGCAAGAGTGCAGAATCAATGCACAAGCTTTCTTTCTCAACAAGAAGTCTGGCGACCTGGGGGCTGCTCAAAAGTGATTCTTGTTGTGGAGGTTTAGTGGTGGTAGAAGAGGTGGAGAGGGAGAGCTCGGTGGATTGTACAGAGATGGGCTGGCACAAAAGAGGATTTTGTGATCGAGGAATGGGGGGAGAGGGAGACTGATTGGTTGTTTTAGGTGGGTTTGTCTGAATGTCTTTGCTTGCTTTAGGGGCATTGGGTCTTCAAGTTTGAGTTTGAGTTATTGTTTAGAGATGAGGATGGGGACACCTGCTGCTACGAGGAGAATGAGATTATGGATTTGGAGCCAACGACCCAGTAGGTGTAGGTTTTGGTCTATGGATGTTAATAGACGGGGATTATTGGATGGTGATTGGTGGTTTGGAAGACAGTTGTGTGTTAATTTACACACTGTAAATAGTGGGGAAAGAATGACTGAGAGTGGTCCTTTTGGTTGCATTATGAAGATTCTGAGTCGTAGAAGGCTTGAAAATCCTACGGAATTGCCACGGTTTTGAAGGGGTTTTTCTTGAGAGAGAATCTTGCATTTTGGTTCTGCTCTCTTTCTGATTCCATGGGGATTCATTTGTCTGAGTTCTGAAGGTCTAGAAAGTTTTAGAAGCTGGGTTAGAAGTTAAAACATGGTTAAGAGAGTTAATATAAATGTTGATGGTTCTTTTTATGTAACAGCTTATAGTTGTTTCTCGCTTTTGTCCCACATTTTGTGTCTTCCACTAGAGAAAATCTGCAGTGAGTAATTACTGGATTACAAAGTCCCTACAGAACTGATTACCTTATCTATTTTGTGGCCTGTTTCCTTTCAGAAAATCATGGATCAAAGACAGATGCCCTCTCCTGATAGTATAATGTCTTAGCATATGGCCCTCCCCTGTTAGTAAGAGTATTTCTGATAGTATAGTGTCTTAGCAATATTGGCCTCTACCAGTTTGAATGGTTGGTCTACATATTTTATATATTCAATGTTCTTCCTACAAAATATCAGAAGAATAATGAGGATATTGCTATTCATAATTTTTATTTATTTATCCATAAGCAGCCTCACATGGCTTGTACTGGTTGCAAAATCTTCTGCCCTTCTTTTTACCCATGTCTAAATGCTATGCTAGATGATGAATCGGGCTTCTTTTTTTGTATTTTTGTATTTTTTTTTAGTCAAAGGTTATTTTGCTTCTTGACCAGGGTCTAAATGTTATATTGTTCCTTAGTCATGAACATGCAAGTCAGCTAGACAACAATGTAAAGAATTTGAGTAACCAGAATCTGGCCCTACTCATTAACTTGTCATTACCATGCAATGCAATTATGAGGTTTAACGTGTATTTATCCAGCAATTAACTTCCACAAGACATCATTAGCTAAAATTTGGGTTCGTTTGTTTTTTGTTTCTGTGAATTGTGAAATGTAGATGGAAGTGAGACTAAGTGAAGAGAAGGATATTCTACGTCAAGATAAGTTACGAGTTAGCAAGGATTTGAAGCTATTTTTGCAGCCTGTTCGCGAGAAATTGCTTCAATTTGAACAGGAACTCAAAGACATATAGAAGTAGTTAAGGACAATAACCAAGGTCTTACTTCCAATTTCATTTAGTGGACTGTACGTTTATTTTAAATTTAATTGGGAAAGAAACTACCCTTTCGAATGCATTTAGGAGAGTTGGGCTAGAGGCAAATCCTTTCCATTAAGGTTTAGAACTTTTAATACTGTCATATTTTATTTTAGGGAAAAAAACTGTCAAGTTTGGAAACAAGTGAACCTAAGCGTTGTGTGATTTGATACGTGGATTTTAATTGAGTGAAATTCTTAGGTGGATATTTTTATTTTATAATAAACGATAAGATATTTTTTTAATTTTGACAACTATCCAATGCACCCACAATACACAACATACAACACGTAACTACTATTGGACTAGTCACACCAAATTATCGAACTCATCATAAATATATATTGTTATCGGCATCCATGCGAGTTTAACTTAAGACCTTTCCAAACTAAGTTGAGACAAATATTACTAGATCAAAGGCTAGTTGGTTCTTAAATGAAAATTTTTATGTTAATAAACTTACGACATGTTTACTAATCTGATTTCTAATTCGTAATTAGATTAGAAGGAATTTAATTGAGGAGTAGTTGGATTGATGAGAGTTTGATTCCAGATTTCTACTGAAGTTTACTAAATTCACATGAATTGAAATTGAAACCAAATTGATTACTAAAATGCCCCTGTGTTAAAGTAGGTGACAAATTTAGAAATATTTTAAAATTGTGTGAGGATATAATGGGTAAAAAATATGGATTTCTAATGGGTTAGTTATTCAAGAATTAGAATACTACTTCCCACTCAAGAGTTCAATTATTCCAAAATTAGGAGTTGAATTCTTGATTTTGTGTGGATCCCACTCACATTTTGATTCCTCCATGTGAAGTAAACGCATGAGTATCTATAATACCAATAAGTGGCGGAGCTAGTATTTCACATTAGAGAGGGCCCTTCATAAAACTTGTCTTCTCTTTATAATTATCATGAATTTCATATTTTAAATTGGTTAAATACTAATTTCATCATCTACACTATTAAAGACTTAAAAATTAATCATTTATATTCCAACAGAGAAAGAAAGAAAAAAGGAGAGTTTTTAAAGCACAATCTTAAGGTACCTAACTCGTAGATGAAAATAATGAGAAAATTTAAAAATTCACAAAGCTTTAAACAAAAGAGGAAGAGAAAAATACCAAACTCCTGAAGCTTTAAAAAATTTGGGAGTGTTTAGTGCAAATATCATAAACTAACCTAGAAAATTTAAGGGAGATGAGCAGAAGGGAGATCAATAAATTTTATGGTTTATTTGTATACAAAAAGAACCTTATATATTATTTTATTTTAAGGTAAATATCCTAAAACTAATATAATATATTGTAATATTATATATAATATATAATATACAACTAAAAGAGGTAAAAATGAAGTGGGGACCTGGGACCATACTGGTCCCATGTTGGCTCCTCTGATACTAACACAACTCCTTATTTTGATTCCGATTATGAATTAGTAAACATACCGTTAGGGTATTTTTCCTTTACCACATGAATTTGAGTTTTGCATTAATTTCTTACTCAAATTTTGATTAAACTATATTTTGATTTAACTATAGTTTCATACTCTCACTGTCGCCCTTGCCATTAATTAACATGCGATGTGCTTCTATATATCCTTTAAGGAGTTGCTTATGGCAATATGCTTTAGGAATAACTCCTACATATTTTCATGGGTTAATGATAGTTTAGTATCCTATGGCTGCACTCGTAAGACATGTTAGTCCTTGTCCTCTCGATTTTTGCAATTAGATACCCCCGTCTTTTCAATTTGTTACAATGTAGTTTTGCCGTTAGGGTTTCTGTCAAATCTTCCATTTGTTGCCTACGTGGCACTTATGGGTCTCACATTTTTGCTTTTTTGTTTGTTTGTTTAGGTGTAATAAAATATTCATACCATATTTAAAATCAATTAAAAAAAAAGAAATTAAAAAACAAAAAAAAATCCATCAATCCCGATTTCTTCTCCCTCATTCCTCATGACAACCACCCCCCACCCGCAACCCACCCCATCTTAATCTCCACCTCAACACCTACCCTTTGCCGCCCCTGTAACCTATCTGCCACCACAACCACCTAAGCTTTGCCCACCTAACCAGATCCACCACCTCCCCTATCTCCCTCCATTTGTCGCGATTGTAAAACCCAATTCTCAGACCACGCAATACTCATCCCTTTTCTCAACCTAACCCATACCCTTGAGACAAAATAAGTGTAAAAGAAACATAAACATGAAAAATCAATCAAACCTAGACATCAAAACTCAAACCCAAATACCAAAAATTCAATTAAACTCAACCCCAACATCTCCGCTTATCAGTAACATCATTGAAGATTCTTGAATAAAAGGCGAAATTTGATTTGGGGAAATATAACAAATCAAAGAAATTTGGGATTTTTGCGCTGGGAGTTTTCAAAATTCACGCATATATATAATATACATATTATATATGTATAGGAAAATTCTCCAATAAATATTTAAGTTAATGATTGGTTACATATTTCTAATTTTAGGCGTTGGATTGCATTCATTAGATCTGTTGGTAGATTTAATATGCAACATATATGCAATCGGGGAGAAGGGGTGGGTCTGGAAGCCCCTCCTTTTGCGATTTTACCGTCAGCTTTGACGAGGTGAAAACCTCCTCACAGAGAGAGAGAGAGAGAGAGAGAGAGAGAGAGAGGAGAGAGAGAGAGAGAGAGAGAGGAGAGAGAGAGAGAGAGAGAGTGTGTGTGTGTGTGTGTGTGCGCGAGCGCGCTGGGTTGTCGGGATCTATGGGGGTTGGGGTTTGGAGTGAGGCTACTGGGTTGTGCTCGTCGGGCTTGGGTAGGACCGGGATGATAGAGTGGCAGGGCCACCATAGATATCTTTTTAAGTGGGGATGGGTTGGGCTTTTTTTTTATTGGGTTGGGGGGCTGATGGGTTTTTTTTTAATTTATATATAAATATTTATTTTAAATTGATTTAAAAATATTTTATGAATATTTTATTACTACTAAACCAAAAAAGAAGAAGTGGGATTCATAAGTGTCATATGGGCAACTAACGGAAGATTTGATGAAAAGCTTCACGGCGGAACTACATTGTAACAAATTGAAAAATCAGGGTATCTAATTGCAAAAATTGAGAAGACAGATACTAACATATCTTATGAGTGCAACTGCAGGGTACTAAATTGTCATTAACTATATTTTCATCTAAATTGTCATTAACCTTATTTTAATTTAGTGACTACGGGCCAATTTGATATTGCTGTGCTGTGAAAATAATCGCTGATAGATTTGCTATGAGAGAAATTAGCTGTGAGAGAAAGCAGTTTGGCGTTTGGTAAACTTTTTGTTAAAAGTGTTGTTGTTACTGATTCCCGCATAATCAGAAAATGATTCCCGCATATTCATTAAATCCAACGCCTCTTCGAAAATGATTCCCTCATAAACAAAAAATGAAAGCAACTCATAGCTGCTTTCTCTTATAGCTTTCTCTCATAGCAATTTTTAACAATAAGTAATTTTCTCATAATTTACCAAACGGGCTGGACATCCCAAATTTTTTTAAAAATCACTTATCACCCTAAATAAGCAATGCTAAATAGGTACTATGGGCCAGTTTGGCATTGCTGTGCTGTGACAATCATTGCTGTCAGATTTGTTGTGAGAGAAATCAGCTGTGAGAGAATAATTTGGTGTTTGGTAAACTTTTTGTTAAAAGTGTTGTTGGTACTAATTCCTACATAATCAGAAAATGATTGCCGCATAATCATTAAATCTAGCGCCTCTTTGAAATTGATTCCTACATAATCAGAAAATGAAAGCACCTCATTAGCTGCTTTCCTTTATAGCTTTCTCTCACAACCATTTTTAATAATAAATGATTTTCTCAGAGTTTACCAAATGAGCTGTGCTTTCCAATTGTTTTTAAAAATCACTTATCACCCCAAATAAGCAATGCCAAATTGGACTATCTACAATATGTAATGAGCACCTTTCATAAGAAGAAAACATGATTTCATGTATAATAAGAACCATGATTCAATGTCTAGGGGGGCATAAGTTGAAATTTTATCAATTTTCCTTATTATCTCCTTCCATATACTACACATATCCTGGAAGGATGAAAAAAAGGGGGAGACCAGGGCCACTTCTAATGAGCCTATTTCCAGCCCTAATTAGAGGGCATACAAAAATTATTATCAAATGAAGTCTAATAATAAATCGTAATGGAATTAAGTGGGACGTGGAGTTTGAAAATTGAAAAAGGTTTTCCTATGTATATTCAACTATCAAATATGGGAACTTTTCCATTGCGAAGTCAGAAAATGCGGAGTGGTTAGGGATTTCTATTTTTAACCGTGGGATGATTTCAACGCTTCAGATTGGATAAATTATTTTTTCCTTCTTTCTTCCTCTCCTCGAGTTCAGTCTTCTCTCTCTCCTCTTTCTTATTTTATTTCCTTTCCTTCTCTCTCTATTTTTTCTTCTTCTTTCTCTCTTTCTTTTCTTCTTCTTCGTTCTCTCCGCCAGATATCTATTCTTCTTCTTTTTTCTTCTTTCTCTCCCCGAGTTCACTCTTCTCTCTCTCTCTTGCTTTCTTTTTTTCTTCTTCCTCTTGTCATGGGTGATTTTTTTCTTCTTCTCTTAGTTGGAAAACTGGGCGTTTCCCCCTTCTCTCTCTCTCTCCTCTATCTTTCATTTTTTCTTCTTCATTTTCTGAGAATGATTTGGCTACAATGTGCTGGGGTTGGCTTCGGGCAAAAAATTGTCACGATGTTGGCTTCTATTGGCCTTTTTTTTTTCCTACCTTTGTTCAATTTTTATTTTTATTTTGGAAAAAAAAATTGATGAAAAAGATAACAAAAAACCCCACAGACACAAACCCATTCACTCCCCCCATCCCCTCTGTTATTTCTCCCTCGTGGCCTGAAGAAAAAAGATAACTGTTTATACCAAAATGAACAGCCTATGAAGACCAGACAAGTGGACAAAACTGAACCTGACCGTGGTAGCTTTTGGCACCATGCCTACTGATTCATCAATTAGGGCAACACCTTTTCCAGGACACGTGGCAGGCCCACGATCGACATCTACAGTCCCACATCGAAATTCTAAACAAAAGGTACACCTCCCAAGGCCTATAAAAGAGGACTACTATCCCAAAATGGAGGTAATAAGAACATATGACATACTGCCTATTGATATGTTAGTTCAAGTTTACTAAATCCGTACTTACTTAAGCATCGGAGGGCCTTCGGCCGGTACCACAACGGTGCCTAAAGGTCTTACCGAGCGTGTGTTATTTTACAGATCACGTGCTCTACCGAGGCCCAAAATCATATCGAAGGCCCAACATCACTAAGTTGGCCTCAAGAACTGCCGAACCATTTTTGAGCGTCAACAGTTTGGCGCCGTCTATGGGAAACGATCTGAATCAACCCACTATCCCTAGAACACATGAGGACCACTTCAGTACCAACGTTCCTGTCAGAAGATGGATTACTGTTCAGAAGGCAAAGCGGAGCTAGCCCTGTGCTACCCCTTTGCACTCCTTTCGGCAATTCACCCGTAATACAAACCACCGCTGAAGTTGAGCTTCTGGCCCAAATAACTTCTCTTCAGCAGGACATGGCTAAACTTCAAGAACATAACAACCTATTCTTGTCCAAAGTGGACGAAACACAGCACCTGCTTAATCAGCAGCACACGCATAACATTCAAACCACCAAATCTTCCTAGAGCCTATAGACCCCATGTCGGCAGAAGAAGGGTAGGAAGGTAGTAAAGGCAATGCCTGCGCCTTCCGAGCAGTTGGTAGTTCCGGCACCCAAGGATCAACCACACCAAATGAAAAAGATTTACTCCGATTGTCGCCATCGGATTAATGACCGGGAAGCCAAAAGACAGAGATCTCTGATCAGGATCAATGCTCACCTAAGGGACTCGCGGATGAGGGTTCTGGGGAACAAATCATCCATTCGGAAACTTCGGGGCTTAGAATCTATCGCTGAATCAGACTATGAGTATGTCCTTTCCAAAACCAAAGAATCTACCTACCGTTCGGCAACGCCCACGAGGTACTCGGAGGCCAGATCGGTAAGCCTGTAGAAAAATTCAGAGATTTACGGCTCCGAGGAAATACCTAGCCGAGAGATCCCGTCATCCGACTTTTTTTTTCTAGAAAGTCCAGAAGATGGGAAACGATCGAGTTCGCTCTCAAGAACCGTAATAGGAAAAGCTTTGGCCGTGACTGTTCACCGAACGCATAAAGCGCTCACGGCAGGATAGAGACATACAGCCTTTACGTATACCGTTCTACACCGGGGTGGAAGACCCCTTGACACACCTTCACTCCTTCCAATCGGCTGTGGGATGCAAAGGTCACAGCGACGAGGGGCAATGCTTGTTGTTCCCGTCATCTCTTACGAAAGCATCCTTAAACTGGTTTTACCGGTTGGAGCCAGAAACGGTGGATTCCTTCGACGAACTGAAGCAGATTTTTCTTAATCACTTTATGATCCAGACGGACTGTCTGTATTTTGCCGATGATCTGTATACGATTTGGCAGAGAGAAGATGAGCCCCTGCGAGAATATGTTGCATGCTTCAGTCACGAGTACTCAAGGTGCCTGAAAACGGACGACAGGGCGGCCTACGGCGCCTTCAAGAGTGGCCTTCGGTCCTCACACTTTCGGTAGCAACTGGCGCACTTATGAGGAGCTAATGAAGTAAGCGGCAATTCACGCCAAGGCCGAATATTTCAACTCAAAGTCCGGGCCTTCGGCTCGGCAGGAGGAGCCAGCATTGAAGAGTTATCCTAGGCAAGAATCTTCGTACGCCTCTAGAAGAACTGACCAATCCTCGGCCGGGCACAAACGGAAAGATGACCATGGAAATCGGCAGGGAAACTTGAAGAAAGGAAAAGGAAAATACGGTCGCTATGACCACCGAGAGCCCCTATCGAATCCCGACCGCGCTTAGGAAGTCTTCACTCTTCTGAAAATCACTGAAAGCCCAATCGGCAGGACAATTGGAATACTAGCAAATTCTGTCAGTACCACAAGCACAACAACCATAATACGGAGGATTGCATAAGCCTAAGGAAAATTGTCGAACGATTGATCCGGGAGGGAAAATTGGATCAGTACATTGCCTGACCTCTGCAAGCGCCGATCCCGAACACGAATCGACAGATAAATATGATCAGCATCATCAGCGGAGGGCCCACCCTTGCGGGTACCAGTAACCGCTCAGTGAAGCAATATGTACGAGCCGCTCACTACCCTCAAGTCTTCGGCATAAAAGTCAACCGGCACCAGAAGGTTCCGAAGGTAGGTGGGAGCCTATCACATTTTGTGAAGAATAAGAAGAAGGAGTCTTCTACCCTCACGATGACCCAATGATCATTCAAACTGAAATTGCCGACTACGATGTAGGGCGGGTACTGATAACGCCCTTGCTTAGTTTCTCCGGGGACCTGGTCTAGCCAGTCGGCAGTGTAAGTCTGCCCATCGCCTTCGACGTTGCCCTTCGAAAAACAATGACCTATGACCAATTTCTCATCGTCGACTGCCCAACGACATATAACGTCATAGTTGGACGAACGACACTCACTGGAATCAAAGCACACCTATCCCTCCATATGTTACTGATGAAGTTCCCGACTTGCAATGACACTGGCGCTGTCTGAGGAAACCAACTTAGTGCACGGACGTGCTACGGCGCTGAAATCGGTAGCCTCTAAACCTCCCAGGGAGGCCATGTATGTCCAAGGGGCACCGAACGGTAACGGACCCGTTGATGACCCAAGGGAAGAAAACCCGACGCCACAAACACAGCCTGCCGAAGAGCTGGAAACGGTGGAGCTAAGCGAAGAGCAACCTGATCGGTGCGTCAAAATCAGCACCGCACTCACCCCACCTCTCCGAGCGCAATTCATTGAGTTATTACTGCATTATTTGGAGGTGTTCGCCTAGTCTTATGATGACATGCCAGGCATCTCCCCAGAGTTCATTAGCCATAAGCTCAGCACTCTCTCGCATATAAACCTGTAAGACAAAAGTGCTGTTCGTATAATGCCGAACGGTACGAAGCCATGCGTACCGAAGTTGACAAGCTAAAAGCCATCAGTAATGGTACGGAAGGCGAAGGGCGGGTGGTGAATGTGCCAGGACTATACCGACCTGAACAAAGCCTGTCCGAAGGATAGCTTCCCGTTGCCCCGGATCGACCAGCTCGTGGACGCTACCGCCGGTCATGAATTGCTCAGCTTTATGGATGCATACTCCGGGTATAATATGATATTCATGAACCCTGCCGATAACGAGCATACGACATTTATCACTAACCGGGGTTTGTACTACTACAATGTCATGCCGTTCGGCCTGAAGAATGCTGGGCCAACATATCAAAGGCTCGTTAACTGAATCTTTGCTGAATATATTGGTAGCATCATGGAGGTATACATCGACGATATGTTGGTAAAAAGCCGGATGGTAGAAGAGCACCTACACAACTTGGCCCTTATGTTCGGTATACTTAAGGACTACCGAATGAGGCTAAACCCAATGAAGTGCCCCTTTGGCGTATCTTCCGGTAAGTTTCTGGGCTTCATGATTAGTTAGAGAGAGATCAAGGCCATAATCGACATGAAGGTGCCGAAGACACAAAAGGACATTCAGAGCCTTACCGGACGGGTCGCCGCCTTAACACGCTTTATTTCCAAGGCTACCGACAAGTGTGTACCGTTCTTTAAAGCCTTGAAAGGGGGCAAACAGCATATCGCATGGACTGCCGAATGCGACAAGGCATTTCAAAACTTGAAGAACTACATGAGTAGAGCACCATTGTTGTCGAAGCCACTCCCAGGAGAGGTTCTATTTCTTTATCTTTCGGTATCTAGCACTGCCGTCAGCTCGATGTTGATACGTAAACCAGAGAAAGCAGAACTACCGATCTTCTACGTCAGTAAGGTGTTGTAGAACGTAGAGATTCGGTACCCTCCCTTGGAACAACTAGCTTTAGCTATCGTAGTCTCAGCTCGAAGACTTCACCCATACTTCCAAGCGCACGAAATTACATTCTTAACCAACCAACCGCTTCTGCAGGTACTCCAGAAGCCGGAAGCATCCGGCCGATTGGTCAAGTGGGCGGTTAAGCTCGGAGCATTTGACATACAGTTTAAACCAAGACCCACGGAGAAAGAACAGGCCGTCGCTGACTTCATCTCCAAGCTTACACCATCGGTAACACTCGAACCCGCAGTTTCGGGAACCAGTACTGACGAGCATGGGCTGTCGAGCACCCAACATTTCGATTCTTCGATCCCCGTGTGGATCCTGCATGTGGACGTGTTTGTGCCTAAATAAATCACGGTCGTCGGAAGGGACCTCTTCTCGGCCGTGGCACCTGTTCATGGACTGAAGCGGCCACGTTTCGTCAGACATTTAGCCTTTTCGAAAACAGAAGAAAATACGAAGGCAGGATCTTCTCGGCCTCACAATCACGGCATTATGGGCCGAGGCTGAGGTCAATGAGAGACACGGCCAAAGATACTATGGTCAAATAGCCACGTGGCCTCAGGGTCCCACGCCCCATTTAATGAAGTAGTGCCTTTGACCGCCACAGCAAAACCACTGGGTGCAAGAAGCATTTAATGCACGAGGGCAGAAGGGAAGTGATTGAAGTCAGGATTTGGTAACAGGAATCAGAGTGGTTAGGCGCAAACATTCTCACAAAGCATTCTCACAGCTTGAGGTTAGATCACCAACCACTGGACCAGAGCATTAAATGCGTTCCCACGGCCAAGAGTGCAGAGCCCACGATCAGGGCGGTGGCCGAGATTTGCCGAGATTTATGGGGTTCACACCACCATGCTTCACGATCCTAAATGTCGATTTGACTATCCACTTGCCCCGATCAGACTCCATCATGCATATATTTTCAAGCCAACAGGCAGATCTTTTTTCAGCCTCGATTGGCCCTCCAGGACTCCTTCTATAAATACTAAGCTCAAGACCACGTTCAAGGGGTTCAAACACCAAACCAAAAGCCTCACACGGAGCAACTTATATTTTCTGTAATGCACTTTCAATACCTTTATTTGCTTTATTAGGAGTAGTGGTAGACTGTAAGGAAAATCCATTCATCAATATATCATACGACCCTTGATTTTCAAGGCACTGGAGCACCACTTAAAAACCCACCACCAACACCACCACTAAACGGCCTTGTAGCTTAGGTCGTGAACCTGACGGCCGAGATTCGTTCCTCACTCGGTCACAATCGTTTGATTAGGAGTCAAATGCAAAACAGGCGCAACATTTAAAACCATCTTCTACCCGAACCTCATCATCACCTCGACACACGGTAGACCGTGCTGGCATGCCCGCGCACAACCGCACCGCATCCGAAAGGAGGATGTCACGTGTTGACGCATATTCCCTCGCCTCGGAGCACCAGGCCGCGAGATTTGCGACGGACCAACAGGACGGTTCGACAAATCAACAAGGGTGCAGAGCCGACCTTGTACTCACCACTCCAGATGGGGTCAAGATGGAATATGCCCTTCGATTCAACTTTAGAACCTCTAACAATGAGGCAGAGTATGAAGCAATTTTGGCTGGCCTTCGGCTAGCCAAGAGCATGAGCGCAAAACAAATCAGCATTCATAGTGACTCTCATCTCATAGTGAATCAAATAACGGCACGATTAGCTTCGGCAATCAATGACAGAGTCAGGAGAATAGTGTCGATGAAGATCCTAACTCAGCCAAGCATGATAACCTCCGAAGTGTGTAACGTACGGTATGAGAACACGTGGATGACTCTAATCTACGCTTACATAACGAACGGTACCCTGCCCGGAGATAAATCTCAGGCACGAAAGGTACGATACCGATCGGCAAGGTATACGGTTATCAATGATGTCCTCTATAAGCGCGGCTTAACTACTCCGTATCTGAAATGTATCACTACCGAACAAGGGGACTACGTCCTTCGGGAGATCCATGGCGGTGTATGTGGTGACCATTCGGGGTCCCGGTCGCTGGCACATAAGGCCTTTCGGCAGGGATATTACTGGCCGACTATGCATCAGGATGCGGATACGCTAGTGAAGAAGTGCGACAAATGCCAGCGATTCGGTAATGTGTCTCACATCCCTGCCAAACCTTTAACATCGATCGTAAGCCCATGGCCTTCCCCTCAATGGGGGCTGGACTTGATTGGTCTAATGCCACAAGGGAAAGGCCAAGTCAAGTATGCTGTGGTTGCCGTAGACTACTTCATCAAATGGGTAGAAGTTGAAGCCCTAGCAATTATAACAGCAGCTAGAATGGAAGACGTCATTTGGACTCACATTTGCTGCCGATTCGGTATCCCCTATGCAATAATCACTGACAACGGTAGACAGTTTGATTTGGAACTCTTTAGGCAGTTCTACATTCGCCTCAAAATCAACCTGTTCTTTGCCTCGCCCGCTCACCCCCAATCAAACGGTCAAGTCGAAGCAATAAATAAGATCATCAAGAAACTACTGAAACGACAACTCGACAACGCCAAGGGAGCTTGGCCGGAGAAACTTCTAGAAGCACTATGGGCCATTCGGACATCCTACCGAACGTCCACCGGAGAAACCCCATTTTCTCTCGCCTTCGGATCGGAAGCTATAGTCCCCATGGAGATCGGCGAGCCTTCTTACCGAACGGAAAGCTTCACCCAGAAGGCTAATGAGGAAGCACTAACGTTGAGCCTTGACCTGATCGAAGAACGCCGAGCGCAAGCCAACCTTCGGAATGAAGCATACAAATAACACGTCTCTCGGTATTACGACTCAAGGGTCAAACCCCGCTATTTCCTAATTGGGGACTGGGTCATGCGCAAGGTCTCTTTAGCAACCAAGGATCCCACGGAAGGAACCCTCGGACCTTCCTAGGAGGGACCTTATGAGATCATCGGTATCCTTCGATCGGTATCCTTAAGAGACTCCAACAGAAAGACCCTCGGTCATCCCTGGAACGTCGAAGATCTAAAGTATTACTTTAAATAAAGTTCCCTAGCCTACGATAGGTTAAAGTTGTAAAACAAAGAACTATGAATGTACTTATGCCTTCGGTAGCATTTAATGGAAAAGCCCTTGGCTATCTTATTTGTTAAAAATTATCGATTAATTTATTTTCATACCCTTTCGGCAATGTCAAAACATACTTTTATTAGCCTACGACAGTAAATAGTTGTGAGTTTGGTCATACCGATCCTATATGTACTTGCAATTTGTGAATGGAAGAAGATTCTTTATTCCATACATATGATTAGCCCTCGGAAATTAAAATACTTGAGTCCAAGTATCTCACCGATTAGGGGTTCACTTGGCAATCACTTTTACTTTGCCTTCGGCATTAAAATGATTAAGTCCTAGTCCTTTACCGATTAAAGGCACACTTGTAGAGTGATGTCTAAAAATTGTTAGCCTGTAGGTTAGACGGTAGCCTCCACACCAACAGTCTCAGTAGGCTCAGCAGTGGTATTGGCATGAGGTTCTTCGGCAGCAAAGACTTCTTCTGGAGCGTCCTCCCCCTCATAATCTTCGATCATCTCCTTGGTGATGCCTTCCGGCAGAGGAGGAGGGTCGGTAATAAAGTTGAGGTTTAGTTTCTGCTTGGGGTTGTACCGCTTGAATCGGTAAAGCAGATCCGCCATATCCGAACCCACTTCTTTGTCTAGCAATACAGTGAACTCTTTTGACAAATGGTAGCTTTTGATCACCTCCTGAACAGTAGTATCGATTTCTGCTGCCTTAGCCCTCTCGGACTCCTCCAGCGCCACCTGCACGGCTTCTTTTACTGCCTCGACATCCTTCGCTGCCCCCACCGCAGCATCCAAAACCACCCTCATCTCGGCCAACTTAGCCTCTGAAGCTTTAACCTGGCGTTCGGCAGCTTGTTTGTCCTTGAGAAGATGAGCGTGGTCCTGGAGTGCCTTGCCTGCCTCGGCAACCTTGGCACGCCTTTCTTCATAAGCCTTTTTAGCACGCTCGGCAGCCGTAATAGCCCACCTCATGCATAACCACATGTTCATCGATGCTTGGAAGATAAAGTAAAAAGCCATAAGAAGTATGAAAGATAACGGTAGATGTGTACGGTGTCAAGGAACTTACCAAGGCCTGAAGAAGGAAGGCATGTCTGGCTTCCTCCCGAAGCAGCCGCTTCAGGAGCTCGTTGATCTCAGCCAGCTATATTTGCGAACCAAGGATCATGTGGTTCGCAAATTGGACCGTCTTCGATGAACATGCGATGGTGATGGGATCGGTAGGGCTGTCATCGTCTTCGACAATAAGGATAGCCCTCGGCACCTCCGTCTGTCGCCCACTTTTCGACGCCGGCTCCGTGTTGAGATGCACTGTTATCCGCCTTTTTCCAGCGGCCCTGGAAGCAGAGTCCTTGGCAGTTTCCCCTCGCCTCGACGATGGGACGGCCTTGGCAGCACCCCTGGGCACTGGCTTGGCGTTGAGCTGCCGGAGACGATCTGTAAGGGTTTGATTTTCCAGATCAACCCCTGTCAAAGGAACCAGGACTGCCTCCGCCTGCTGATTCTTCTTCTTCCCCTGAAGGCCTATCATGAGGCGCCTCTTAGAGGACTCATTCATCCTATTGGCTTCGGCGGCTTTTCTGGCGTCCGTCATTGTACAAAACAAAATGGAGATTGTTAAGGTCATTGACAAGACGCAAGTAAACATACAAAATAAACGGAGCGCACTTACTCTCGGCAGAACTGACGAGGCGGGCTCAGATCAGGTTCTCGGTAAAGAGGAATCTTAGGTATACCCTCTCGGCAACAGGAACCTTCAGCCTCACTTTATCAACATGCCGAATCTCGGATTGAGTCGGCCTCGACTGCTTCAGTTTGCCTACAAGACAATAGAGAACGACTAAAAATCTTTCAGGAAAAGACATATTGATAACCTGCTGATCGGCATGCCAATGACCTACCGGCAATCTGGAAAGCGATGGGAATGTGGAAACGGACGGGCGTTCCTGAAGGCGATTCCTAATCGCCAGACAAAAGCACCTGCCGATTCCTCCAAGACTTCTGAGAAGTCGGCATGACACTGATGAAATGCCCCCGCTCGGAAGCCCTGAGACAGTTGGCCTGAACCCAACCTCCGTGATTGGCACTCTTGGACTTGGTGACACTATACAGGTAGGAGAACTACTTATAGGAAGGCTCCCCTTCTCCGGCAATACCGAATGCAGCGATCCCCCCATCAAGGCCTCCAAGAAGTTGGGATTGTATTGGCCTGGAGCATACCCTCGGCAGGATATAGGTTCGGCAGCCGTCTTTCCACGGCCAGACGTGGAGGGCTCTGATTGATGGCTAGTGTGCTCCTTTGGCACCCGAGTGCCCCTCATCTAGAACTCGCAATGCTGACCCAAGCTTGCACGGCTATCGTCGCGATATACCACAGCCAACGGTACTGGTTGCTTTGTCATGAGTCTCTTCCCGATGTCGTGGGTCGGAACGAAGCTTGGGCCTTCACCAAGTATTTCGACATATGTATCTTCTCCGCCCTTGGCATTGAGGCTCACGGCCTTACAACTCGTACCCCGTTGATCGTCCGATGACTCCCCATCGAACGCATTGGGCTCACTCTCGAACAGTGACTCGCTATCGAACATCTACAAAACACAGAAAAATAAAACTAAGGGCCATGCAGAAGACTAGCCTACTGAATCCTACATCGCTACCTATGGCAACTAGACTACTGAACAGAACCCTACTTACTTAAAGTTCACTCTAGCTCATGCCAAGGAAGGACGTACACAGTACAAGTTTGAAATGAGTGCCGAACGGTACCTTATCTCGAGCTTTGTACGCAGGGAAGCGGATTAACTTGCCAATCGTACTCTTTAAGAATCGCCTTAGTTGCCGTTAGCTCTCGCCGAAAATAGCCCTGAATACCGATCAGCTGCTCATAAATCGCCTTGGTTGCCGTTAGCTCTCGCCAGAAATCGCCTCAGTAGAGCTCTCGCTTCTCTCACAAATGCAAAGTGCATTTCTCTTTCGGAGTCACTCCTATTTATAGGGCGAGGAGTTGCAACGGTACGCCTCGAAAAACCAAGCGGCGCATTAATGGCGCCTCTTCGCATGAATGGACAAGCCACGTGTCGTTCATTATGCGTATATTCTGACAGCACGTAAGGCACAGAAGACGAAGCGTCTTTCTATCCCATCATCACTCCTCGTAGAAGTGACCTTTGGAGTCCTCTGACGTCTGCTTCCGAATGAAGACGCACGGAAGGGCAAGGATTAAGCTCTTCCACCCGCTAAATTACCGAACGTAAGGACGACATTTTGATTATCGAAGAGCATATAAAGTCCCCACCCGAGAACTCTCAGATGAGAACTTGGGGGACTCCTGTTTATACCAAAATGAACAGCCTATGAAGACCAGACACGTGGACGAAACTGAACCTGATCATGGTAGCCTTCGGCACCATGCCTACCGATTTATCAATTAGGGCAACACCCTTTCCAAGACATGTGGCAAGCCCACGATCGACGTCTATAGTCCCACATCGAAATTCTAAACAAAAGGCACACCTCCCAAGGCTTATAAAAGAGGACTACTATCCCAAAATAGTGGTAATCAGAACTTACGGCATATTTCCTATTGATCTGTTAGTTTAAATTTACTAAATCCGTACTTACTTAAGCATCGGAGAACCTTCAGCCGGTACCACACCGGTGCCTATAGGTCTTACCGAGCGTGTATTATTTTACAAATCACGTGCTCTACCGAGGCCCAAAGTCATACCAAAGGCCCAACATCACTAAGTTGGCCTCAAGAACTGCCGAACCATTTTTGAGCGTCAACAATAACAAAAAAAAACCCCACTGTAATAATGTATTTGCCGACTTTTGTAATAGTTGATCGCCGCTAGGAAAGGAGAGAAAGAAAGAGAGAGAGAGAAGAGATAAGAAATAAAGGGAAAGGGCAGATTCTTGAAGCTGATTTTTTTTTTTTTTTTTTTTTTTTGGGTTTTGGCTCATCTGCTATTGATAGGGTATTGAGAGGGAGGTACTCACATCACTGTTGAAATGGATGCTACCACAATAGTCCAGCTTGTACAAAAACAAGAAAAAGAAAGGAAAGAGAGAGAAGAGAGAAGAAAAAAGAGAGAGAAGGAAAGAAAATAAAACAAGAAGGGAGATTCACTATTTATACCAAATATAAGAACCCAAATTATAAAAAACCCTATATGAAATTGACTTTAAAAACACCCCCAAAGTCCATTTACAACATAACAAAATTTTTTTTAACTTCTTTTAAATTACAAAATTGTCAAACTTCTTAAAACAAACCCAATTAAAAAACCTCATAAAAAAGCAAAAAACACTCGATAAAGCATCAAAGTAATTTAATAATCAAAATTAAATTCAATAGGGCCAACTGTCATTTTTTGAGTTTGTTTTATGTTTGTTTATAGAAATTAAATAGTGTAAGATTTATTTATAGTTTTAGTGCTAAGAATGGGTATATGACTAAATATCTCTTCATGGGAAGAGGAGAGAGAAGATTGAACTCGGGCAGAGAAGAAGAAAGGGGAAAGAAAAAAAAAAAAAAAAAAAAAAAAAAAAAAAAATATCCTCAAGCAATCTGAATTTAAAATCCCACAGATTAAAATCAGAAAACCGTAACCCAACTCCGCATTTTCTGACTTCGCAATGGAGGAGTTCCCATCAAATATAGCTTTGTCAAAGGTTACAAGTTACTTGCAACTTTCATAGTTTCAAAGACGCTCAAGAGAAGTTTTGAAACCGCCAATTTGAACTGTATTGCACTGGAGTTTCTCAATATCCATTTCTGAGAGGATCAGTTATGGGTAGCAATTCTGGACAGGAGGGGATGGCGGTCATCAAGGTGGCGGAATAGTGCACCAATACAATGAAAAGTTTCTGGAAACATGTCTGGGCAATGCAAGTCCTGGCAGAATTGCATAATTCCCTACAGAAACCAATCAGCTCCAGATGAAAGACTTCACAACATCAAACATGACAGATGCAAAATAAGCTTGAAACTCTGATACATGCCACATGCTCTGCGGGACTGCTCCACGGCAAAAGCAAGTACGGAGATATTAATCTTATGCTCTGTGGTTGTATGTTGTTGTAGGGTAATAGGTATGCAAGCAAGTGAAAGTGAAAGTGAAAGTTCTTTTCCAACCTTGCGTAATAGGTATGCAAGCTGATTTGGAACAGTAGAAATGCTTAAATTCAAGACCAAAGTGTATACATGCTCCGAATTTGAAGTTGCTGCCTCACCACACCAGGAACTCTTGCAAAGTTGGGCCAAACAGAGTACACAAGTAAGTACTCAGCCAATTGGGAAAAAGCCCCGCCTACACTACAACTCAAATGTGGTGGACTTCACAAATAACAACTAAGAACAGGACTTGATGCCATGCCATGATTTGCAAAGATGAAAGAAAAATCATGACCACTACGAGCAATGGAAAATTCAGTAGGAACTACTCCCCAAAAGAAACACAATTCATGGGCACTGTTGCAAGGCTGATATTACTTCAAGAACATCATCTAATTCTCAATATTCTTTCTTTTCAGCGACCCACTAAGAGCAGCCTTGATTTTCGTCCATTCTTTCAAAGAAGAAGCACTCCTCATAAATGAGCAAGTTTCACCTATCTCAACATTTCCTGCAGATACTTGCTTTGGTGTTAAATCACAATTTTTCTCAACATCTGGAGCACATGCACCGTCATTGTCTACAACAGTTTCTGGACTACTTATTAAAACATCACGCCCCTTTCCAATTCCTAAAGAAGATCCACTAGTAAAATTATCATTATCTTTATCCTGTTGCACTATCTCCTTATGCTTTCTGTCAGTGGAGCTTACAGCATCTGCACTTTTTGGCTTTGGGACGAATTGCTCCTCAAAAGAGATACCTGGCACAATTTGTTTTATGCTGAATGAACTGGCACCATTATCACTAACCAATTGTGTCCATGAGGATTGCTGGCGCCATGAAGCACCTCTTCCTGACTTATTTGAAACTGCAATTGACATGGTAGGTTGAGGTTCACACCCGTCCACCAGTTCCATCTCACAGAGCTGGCCTTCCAAGCCCTGGTTTTTGCTATCAAAATGGGCCACTTCTGAACTGCCAGACCCGTCCACCAGTTCCGCCTCACAGAGCTGGTCTTCCAAGTTTCCATTGCTTTCCAAGTCCTGATTTTTGCTAACAAGATGGGGCACTTCTGAACTAACAGATTTTGGTTGCACTTGGTCAGTAGAAGAAGCAATGCCTGTCAGTACATGTGAGACACTGAACGTACTGCTGCCTCTATGACCAACAAGTTGTTTCCAAGAAGATTTCTGAGACCACGAAACATGTTGAGCACCTAATTCTTGTTGATCCGGTTGAGCTCCCATGAACTTTCCTGACTCTTTTGAATGGGTTGGCAAATTCTTCTTGCTGCCAGGAATAGCATCCTCAAATTCATTTTGATTGTTGTAATCACCGAGAAGGGATTTCCTCTTTTTCTTAGGAGGTCCATTAATACTAGCTTTCTGCGCTTTAACCGCATTTTCAGATGGTTCCTCTGCTTTTGAAGTTTGTGTTCCACTGGATCTCAATTCCTAGTTATCAAATACAGAAAAAAGAAAAAAAGAAAGACGTGAGGCTAGAAATCTGTAGACATTGAGCAAAAAGAAAGCATACACAAAGGAATGAACTTGAGGCTAAATAAGCCATATACCTGAAGCTCTGATAATTTATCCTCATCCTGGTTGCTTGACACAATATTAATTATGAGGTTATCTTCCTCTGCTGCAGTAGCAACAGGCAGTTCATGGTGGGGTCGATTAGGCAGTGCACAAGTCCTGCTTTGATGAGTATCAGAAACAGAAACGTTTTTTTCATGTTGGAAGAGCTTGTCCATTACTTTATTCATCATATTAAGCTCTTGCTCATTGATCCCAGGACATAATTTGTTTTGATGAGCAGGAGGAGCAAGGTGAGAAGGGACAGAATGCTCTTCACAATCGCAGAAATGGACGGGGAGAGAAGGAACTTGAACACGCTGGAAGCTGTATTTGTGTTTGCCAGTTCCAGTAAAGGGCAAAGCTTTTACCTATGCAGAGAAGGACATATATGTTTAAAGGATAGATAAAATACAAAGGACGTCCGGGCGGAAGGAAGCCTTACTGTTCTTAGTGCAGGAAAGAAAATCCGAAGCTGCTTGGTCCGTGATTCTTGCGAAGGAAGAAGAGATTTGCTGGGCTTAATATCTGCCGGCGGAAGTTGAGCAGCTTCTTCAGCCCATTCTCGTTTCAAACGAACAAGATAATGTTCTTTAGCCTTGTGGAGCCTCAGCTTCCCTCCCTTCCACGAGCACCCATTGTACTGTATATATTTAGGGATGTTACAACGAATATAATTACAAATGAATGACAAACGAAATAGAAATATAGAAATATAGAAATATAGAATATTAGTAGAGAGAGAAAGATACCGTGGTAAAAAGCTTGGAGAGGGACTTGTCGGAGGAAGGCAGGAAGTCGACGTAGGCAAAGCTTCGACCTTTAGTTCTGACAATGTCTACTCCCTCCACGTTTCCTCCTGCACCAAACATCCGATGCAGATCCTCCTCCGTCACGCTCCCTCCCAAACCCCCAACATGTATCCGAATCTTCTTTCCTCCATCTCCTTGTGTTTCTTCTTCTTCCATCTCTTCCTTCTCTTGCAAATTCTCAACTACCAGCGACTGGGATTGGGGGGATTCACTTATTTTTTCTATTAACTCTCGCTCTCCTCCTTTGTCAAACCCCCTCATTACGGCATTTCCGCTGTTATGTGTACTGTATGTGAAACAAAACGAAACCCTAGCTATCAATCAATTTGTGTTTGGGTTTAGCGGCTCATTAACTTCAATCGGCCTACGAAGGCCCAATTGAATGCCAAAGGCCCAATACTAAAAAATTGAGTTTTGCGGGGTTCTGTTTAGTTTTCTCTATTTTATTCTTCTATATAGAGAATAGAGATAGATAAAGGCGATTAAATAGTCGGCTTTTTTTTTTGGGGGTTGGAACTTGAAGGCACGCAGGCGTACCAATCAACTTGATTAGGGGTTTATGAATTGCGGTTTTGGTTCTGGGCGACACGTCCTTGAGTCAATTGGAATTGGTTCCTGAGGAGATTGGCACTTGGGGACTGTTGCAGTTGCAGGGATGCCTGTAAAGAGAGAACCCTGCAAATACTTTCAGCGTGGCAGGTCATCTCTCTCGCTCTCTATCAGACTTATTCCTTGTTTTCACCGTGTTCATGGTCTACTCTTTAATCTCTTATTTTTAGCAATCAGTTTCTACATGCTTTGCAATCGTAGGCCTACTTTATGACTTGGTACATGTATAAATCTAACATTATGAATGATAAGATGGCTGTATGTCCCAAATGTCCCACATTGAATATCTTAAGATGGATAGTTTATAAGCTCTTTGGTTTGCCTCCCTTACAAGCTGGCTTTTGGGACTAATCTTATCTAACCATGAGTGGTGACATGTGGTATAAGATTAGTTTTCACCACGCAACTGGGTTAGAGTCCATACACAATGGGCAACCTCTAGGATGGATACTGAACGTTGTATCATAGTTTCAAATCTTTAAATAATGGAAATTTTAGGTGGTAGGCAAGCAAAAACTGCCTCGAAGCCTATGTAGTTAGAGTGGGCCTACCAAGACGTTGGGCATGAAAGTGTGATTTGGTCATGTCCCAGGTTGGAAAAATAGAATATCATAAGATAGGTGTATGAGTCATGATAGCTGCCCGATTTGGTGAACATGACCGAAGGCTGCAACACACCAATAGGTTCAATTCCATTAAGTCCTTGACTGGTTGGAGCACATAATACAGAAGAGTTATATTGACTTGATTGGCTTTTGGAAAGTTCGAACTAGAAGTCGAAAGAGTTGATTGGAAGGGGCGTTGATCCTGTCACTCATGAACAGACAGAGTATACTAGGTTGATGAATCTTGAACCTGATTCGGGAGGCAAAAGAGTAAATGAGTAGGTAGTGCGTTATCGATGCCCGCTCTCCAATCGCTAGCTCCTTTTTGTTTCTTTGCTTTTTCTTACTCATTTTCTACTAGTTTTCCTTTTTATGAGGACCTCATGCTTCCCCTTAGGTATTGCTTCGTTCATATTCACCAGGCTATGCCATGTTTAACTTTCTGTGACAGGTTGATATCTTCTATCAATTATTGAAATAAGAATTTGTTGACTTATGATGTTGTGATGTTGAAGTTGGTAGGGATGGAAACTTTCCCCTTGGGTTAGGGTCTTCGTGGGGCTTCGACCTAAATGGGTCAGGTATGAGAAATCAGGTATGGGGATGAGTTTGTGGAAATTTTCGGGTAGGGTGTATGGGGCGTGGCGGGAATGAGATTCTAATCCCTAACCCAAACTCGCTCCATTTAGAATTATTCATATATATTACATTTGTTTTTCATATTGTTAAGTGGCTTCTAGTTGTGTTTCATGACTCCGACAAATTTTATATTCCACATATTATATCGTACATTGAATTAAATAATACATATAAAATTTAAATCTAAAACAAAACTTGTGTATTGTCTTTTGCCCTAGTATAACAGTTCTAACTTTGTTTCTTCTCATTCAAAATCATTTTTTAATTGGTATTTTTGTAATGGGGTGGGGTGGGGAATATGTTCCTCAACCAAGGCGGGGATGGGAAATCCCCATTCTGAATATTACCGGTATGGAGGTGGGGACGGGGGAAAAGAACTTAACGGGGATGGGGATGGGAACGGCACTCCCAGCCTCGATTCACCTGTGCCAAACTCAGGGCAGAACTTATCCATCAAAGCTGGCTTACAAGGAAAGGTGCCCTTGCATCTATGTGTTATACGAACTGAAGGCGGTAAGACAAATGCAGGATTATGTTAACACTCTTTCTTAGCACCAGGACCGGAGACACTTGTCTCCCCCCCTCCACTCTGGTCTGGAGATGCGAATCCAATTCATTATACCATATGTTTTTCCCTTTGGTAGAACTACATCCATGAAACCTGGCTTACAAGGTAAGGTGACCCATCTGTTTAGATAGTGCACATTCTAAAGGTATCCTGACGATGTGGGACTCTGCTAAAAGATGTCACATGCTGTTCTAATGCGTATTCTCATCTATTCAAAGTTCTTTCATGCCCATGCTTTTGTGTATACTTATCCTCCAATTTTGCCTCTACTTTTGTTTCATTGCGTAGATGTTCACTCAAGCACTAGCTGTGTATTTGACCAAAGTATAAGATGTGCTTATTTTGTGCTTGCATGATACTATGTTTGTTATATTTAATAGTTTACCTTGCCTCTTTCAGCTGTCAGTTCGGAGATAGGTGTAAATTTCTCCATGTGATTCAGCAACAGCAAAAGTCCAATATCTTTGGATTTGGGTCACTATCTGGCTCAGACCAACAGAGAAAGTCAAATCCTTATGGTTTTGGGGTTCAGAACAACTCTCAGTCAAAAGGGCCAGCTGATTTTGGTTCCAAACAGAGCCAGTTTAAGGTTTCTTCCCATCTTAGATCTGTAGCTGTCATTCAAATGAACGATCTTTGTTCTTGTAAGTTGTAAGCTGTAACTGAAACATTTGCTCCTTGTTGTGAATGAGTTTACAAGAGTTCTTTAAAATTTTCTGAAGTTAACAAGCTGAGAGCTCTCTGTGGATCATTATGGTTATTATCTTATGCTGCTAAATAATTTTATTATCTTATGGTTATTGCTGATGTTGGCTTTGAAGTTTTCTTACGTTAACAAGCTGAAAGCTCTCCATGCATCACTTGATGCTATTCAAGATTTTTCATATTATGCTTATTACTGTTGATGATCTGCTTTCGATCAGCCTTTTGAAAACAAATGGTCCCGTTTCTCCTCCCAAACTGCTAGTGCTGCCCCTTCATCACAGAAATCTGATAAGCAGCCTCAGGCAACAAATCATAGGTAAGTTATCAAGTGAAGATTTATGCGTCTCTCAGCTCTAATACCCTTGTACTGCCACTTTTATCTTCTTTGTGACACCTAAGTAATGTATCTAACTGCATGTGAATTCATGTATCTGAAGGTGCACAGATCCCGATTCTTGCAGAAGTATAATTATTGAAGATAATGAGCATGAGAGTCCACTTTGGAAGCTTACGTGCTATGGTCACTGGAAAAAGTATGTTCTTTGTAACTCCATTAAAGACGTGGATTCTATTCACTGATTTAGATGACTTGGTATCTAAATTAACTACATAAAATATTGAATATATTACTGATATATAAAATAAAAAATGAGTTATTCTGTACAAATTTTATTATTATTCTTTAGTAAAAAGAAAATATTATTGATTAACAGAGAATGTGAAAGAAGTCCACTCCAGCAGTACAACAAGAAAACTAATTACGTGAAGAAAACAGAAACCAAAGCCTAAACAAAACTAACACACAGCTGCATTCTAATCTCTCACAATAAAGAACAATGATTAGCTCCTTCTCTGCAGCTTTCATTTTGTGTCAAACATGGCTGAAGACCCACAAATCTCTTTAGTTGCTGGCATTGTCTCTCCAATTTATGAAATACAGAATGTTTTTGCAATGTAATCTATGGTTTTGGCAGATATGACAAGTGATAAAACCAATTTGTCCATGGTAGTTATTGATGCTTCAGGAAGTATGCTGCTTTTAAAGTCAATGTGTGAACTAACTAAATACGACTTTCTTACCTTAAATTTGCAAAGCAAAGCAAAACAGATCTTGTTGGACACAACACAAGTTTGCAAATGTGGCTTTGGAATAGATTAATCTTGGGTAGCTTATATGGTGTTGCTTGGTTAAGAAAATTGCTGTCACTGGGACTATGTTATAAAGGGTATTCTTTCCACTATTTTTTTATCCACTTTTTGTAATTAGCTTTTCTTCTTTAATAAACTGATGTTTCTTTAAAAAAAAATCGTTTCACATTTTCATCCCACCTTCCTCTGGCCATTCATTTGTTTGGCATTATTTTTTAAAGCCCCAATAATCTAAAAGACTTATTTTAGATTTGATAACAGTGAGAAAGTTGTAAGAGGAATTTGCATGTTGTGATCTTAAAAGATATCAATTCAGTGGCTTTACAGATATTATTAATTATTCTCTGTTTTAATTGGTCAGATTTCCTAAAGAAAATTATTCACAATAACTCAAGTTTGAATTTCTTGGGTGAATGAGCTGGGTCTGAGTCCAAAAGAGCAAAAGAGAAGAATCATATATTCTTAATGTTTTATTTTCAGGGGATAATTTCTTATCAGAAAAGAAAATCTACTATGCATAATTTCTCTAAATGTTATTCTTCAGACTACAACCAGATCCACTACAGTCTAATAGAGTGAAGTTTTGGGCGGTGATATGGGCAACGGTTACTCCTGTTTTTAAGGATTTGGCTGTCTCTTCTATCATGCGTGATTTGTTAGTGGTTGTGAAGTGATGTGTTGTTCTTTTCTCTTTTCCTGGTTGGCCTTCTTGTTTGTTTTTTTGGCCTGCTTTCCTTTGTTGTTTTGGTCTTGAGGCTGCAGCTTTCTTTTGTTTTCTCTTGTGGATTCCATATCAACTTTCTTTTGTTTTCTTCTTTGTTTCTCTCTTTTGAATTTATAAAGTTTCTATATATATACATACATATATATATATATATATGAAGATTAATTGGGCAATCACTAAGTGTAGAATCCAATTATTTGCAGTTTCCCTTGTGACATCGTTGGTGATATTAGTTACGAAGAGCTGAGAGCAGCAGCATATGATGATGCCAAGCATGGGTTGAACATGCAGTCGATAGTAAGTTAATCTGACATACCATCTGCTTGTGTAATAAATCAAAGAAATAACAGAATTAGTTATTTAATCTCATGATCAAATACTTTCTATGATTATTTTGTGTGCCGTTGAATTTCGCCTCGTGCAAGTTGGAAGGAATACCTGAATTTTGTAACCTATCAATAAATCAAAGGCATTGTTCAGACTGGAATAAGGAAAGAGACACCAAGAGAACAATAAAAAGTTGACAGCTACTATATAATAGGTCAAGAGTCTTATACAATTGTACTTCTTAGAAGATAAAGTAAACTGCCTTCCTTTTTCTTTCTCTTCTCATGGTCAACTTCGTATACAACATTGAGTCCTTGCAGGGAATATATGAGCCACCATGTTGGCATTCTTTTGTCAAAATAAGGAAGGACATAACTTTTATTTTATTTTATTGCTTTTGTGGTTTCATTTTAAACTGCAAATCACAGCTTGGTTGACATTTAAAATTCATTCCTTTGAATTTTCCCTTAAGGGTTATGGCTCAAAAATGAAAGCCTGGTGAAAGGGTCGAGGGTGAAAGCCTGGTGAAAGACTCAAGAATAAAAAAATCCTTGTCTATTCATACATGGTTACTGCTGCTCCTTTATAGTTGTTGTTTGATTCCTGCATTTACTGTACAGAAATAGTTTTTAAATTTACTCTTGTAATTCAATACCAGGTGTAGGATCAGCCTCGGCAGAGGGTATTAGCCCAAATTGAAATGTAACCTTTAGGTGAAAGTAGTTATAGTACAAGTAGGTACAACACTTGGTGTGCCTTAGTTTGGAAGTTTAGCAGGATTCTTATTTTTGGTATAAATAAAAGCCAAGTCCTGACTTCTGCACTGCTGCTGTATGTGAAAATGATTCTAATAATTGTTGTCCAAGTAATTAGGAATGGTAATATTGGTACTCCATTTTATTCTTATTAACTATTCTTGCTGTCTTTAAAAATAAAAATAAAAAACTCTTGCTGTCCTTTTGAAAAAAAAGAAGAAGAAAACTACTCTTGCTGTCTTCTATGAGCTGCTAATCAAATACAATTCTGTACAGGTTGAAAGAGAGAGAAATTTACTCAATACCAAGTTGATTGAGTTTGACAAACTTTGCAATCCCCAGGGAGCTCTACTGAAACCTAATCATTCCAGCCAAAATCCTTTACCTTCAGCTAGTCAAAATGCATTCTTGCAGGCTGCTAACAATAGTGCCGCTCCATCACTCTCAAGTTTTAGCCAATTGGGCACATCCCTCAACACGGGGTTTGGACCAAGGCAAGTCTCACTTTTAATATTTACGCTCCTATGGTAGATTCATGTTGAATACTTATTAATATCCTGAAATCCTGTTTCCATGATTTCCATTGGGTTCTGTAAACGTGTACTGCAATTCTTTCTCAGGCCGTCTGCACCATCAAATAATGGTTTTGCACAGCTGAATCCTTTTGCTAATTCCACCCAGACTTCGAGTGGATTTGGGACAAACAATTTTCTTTCTGGAAGTGCTGGTAAGAAACTTTTTCATTCATTTCAGTAATACGCTTACGTTTGCAATCTTTTATGTTTCTTCTGACTGTAAGATGATAGGTTCACGTGGCAGCCAATTTCCTGCCACTGCACATGTAAATGTTTTTCCCTCGGGTACAGGATTCGGCAATACTGGTGTCATGAGACATGAAACCAACCCATTTTCTACTTTAGCAGTGTCATCACAAATTCCTAGTGCAACAACTGGTCTGTCACCCATTCTTTCAGATGGGCCTACCTCTGCTTCCAATGCAGTTGGACAGTCAACTACAGAAGTTCAGTTCTTGTAAGTTGGAACCAAAAAGTCTGTTCTATCATATATCTTTTATAAAGTCTTATTTTTTCATGGAAATCATATCCTTCCCACAAGTACTGTCTGTTGTAGCACTCAACAACTCTCTTTCTTTCTTGAGTGCTGCTTAAACTTTTCATTTTACGCTAGACCCTAGTGAAAAGGAGGGGAGAGATAGAGAAGGGGAAAGAAGAAGAGGTGAAATCACAGTAATTTGCTGAACCGAATATATACGTCTATTTGTATGGTCAGTCCAATTAAAAATTAAACAAATAAATCAAATAACGACATAACTAAAATCACTAGAATATTGAAAACCAAATCAAATCATACCAAAACATAAAGTTCCTAGACAAAGTGGAAACTACACTTTAGCCTAAAAATATGTAAATAATAAGCCGTCTTAGGATCTCTATCGTAGGCTCTGATATCAATTAATGTAGGAGAAAAATGAGAATAGGGGGTGGTGTAAAAAAATAGGTGAGATGAGGGATGAAGAGAAGGGAGAGAAGAGAAGAAGATGAGGCAAAAGCACAATAACATCCCGATTCTATCTTAAGCGGTCTTATAATAACATGTATAGAGGCCAGTCCAAGCTAACATGGAAAAAACCAAATAGTGACTTAAAAGAACCCAAATCAAGAGTGAGCTTCCATGGAGGGATCCCTTATTTGAGGGGCACATTGTGGGCCCAATGACTGTAGTTCAATTATCTGAACCATCTGTTTTAAGTCTCAATGGAAGGAGTGATCATTATGAAACATTAGACAAATAAATAAAAAAAAATTTGGGGTAGGAGGCAGCTGTAAAAATTCATATATTATTTTGCTCGGGTGGAGAGGTATTTAAACAGATTTACAGCTGTACATGCTAACAAAAATTCTTGTAAAACATGTTGCGGGCAAGATTTTTTTTTCTTTCTAAATGAGTTGGTGTGGGGTTTAGCCTTCTGGTTTTGGCCAACTCAATAAAAGTTGGGCAATTTGAGCCTAACTCGAGTTAATCTGAATTTGTCATGGGTCGGTTTGAGTTCATGTATTCTCAACTTGATGAAATTCAAGCAAGAGCTCGAAATATAAAGAATCTGTTGGGGTTGGATTGGCCTTCCAACCTGCCTGAGTTGCAGGACTACACCAAAGGGATCACATTGTTGGGGCTCCGTTGCATCCCAGTAAATGTTTGAATGCAGAGTCCGCACTTGAACCGGCCTGTAAAGTAGAATATAAGTCCTCTTGTTTAGGTTTTTCTTTTATCATGGGACATATTTGTTTCTCTTCTTTCAAATTGCACCCCTCTGTTTTTTGGGTGTCTCTTCCTCTGTCCCTTCTTTCATCTCTTACTAGTCTCCATTTCAGTTATATGTACTTAGTTACATTCATCTTCAGCCTTTTTGTCAATCCTACAGAACTAACATGCAAAGGGATAAGATTTCCGGGGAGATGAGTATTTGGTTGAAAAAGATATGGAGTCCTGGAGAGGTAAGAAGCTTACTTCTTCCTGTACTTTAGATGCATGACTTAAAAAAATAAAAAATAAAAAATTAGAGACATGATTTGAAATATTAGAGTATCTGCACATTTAGTATGTTTAGTTTTTTTATCAGCTGTCTTCTTCCTTACCCCTCTCCTCATATGATGCGACATTGGTTAGTATATAATGTAATTCCAAAGCAGAGGCTTGTGATGATTGGATAAAATTCGTAATTTTCATGTTGAGAAATATAATTGAAATTCTTGGTTTCTTAAGATTAAAAAAAAGGGAAAAAAAAAATGGTGAACGTATGTGGGTAGTCTCTTCCTATTAGGAAGCCTATTGACTGGGGATTGCTATGGGCTAGCTAGGCCCAGGAATAACCTGGTGTAATCCTTTGTTTTGGGCCCCATTTGTGCCGAAACAAAATAATATAGGGGTAATAGGATATGCCATAATTGCAATAGTGAGTGCAAAAATATCCTCAGGTTCCCCAATTTCAATTGTAATTAGGTATGTTTACAACTGTAAATGACTGCTTATTCCAAACCATGATATGAACATGGTATACATCTCTTTTTCCTGTCTTTCTCCCCAGATTCCCGAAGAAGAACCGCCAGATGCACTTGTCGAGTTGTAAGTTGTGGTAATGAGCAGTACAAGCACAACGCTTACTCATGCAATTTGCTAGGTGGCCAAAGCACTAAATGCTTGCGAAACGCAAAATGGTGACTCAAATCTCGAGTTGGAACCCCGCCGGAGTTTGGAGATGTTAAGGAAAGAGGGGCTACCTCCAATTGTGCGGCGGAACAATCCAATCATATTTTGCAACATTTGCAAAGACATCTGCATCTACCTTATACTCTACACTGTTCCTGTTAAAAGTTCTTGACAAGCTTCTTATAAAGCGTTTATGCCTCATATCTCTATAACTAGCAAAGATTGTAATACTTGTGTAATGGTGTGTAAATTTTGGATTTATTAGTGTACAACATGATTTTGGAAGTCTTTGGATTTAGTTCACAACATCATTGCCATAAATGTTCTTCAAATGGCCAAGCCAGCTCTCCGTATGAGTTGTTTTGTTCTTTGCCCCTGTACGTGTTATAACTTATAAGCACCTCCACTTTGCTTTCGAGAAAGCACATGGGCATCTTTCCTTTCCCTTTCCGCTGTGGCCACATGCCAAAGCAGAGCGTTTTGTACGGGTTGGGAAATTTATTTGAAATCTTCTGTTCGTGTAAATGTACATTGTGCAATGTAAATGGAGGCACATGAATGAGAGAATGACATCGCCTAGGAATTGTAGCAATGCCATGCGAAGAATGAGCTGAGGACGGAGGAGATTGGTATCAGATTGGTACAAAAAGCAATCTCATCACTTTAATAAATTCGTCGGAAATTGGAAAGTGCAACAAGTTCCTTTTTCAAAGTTTGCCGAAGAATGAGTAAGGTTGTAACTCTATCCAGTTCTGGACTCGTCTTTAACTCATTTGGGCTTGGCTAGCTTGACTAATTTATTCAAATATGCCCCACTTTTGAAATTCTTGCAAAACTATCCTCTATAAATACTTCATATTGCCACATATCACATTTATCACTTTTTTTCTTTCTAATGTATGCTACTCAATTTGAGAGAGGGAAGGGAGATTGCAGGCATGTAGGCCATTAACTCCGGCGTAGGGGAGTTGTTATGGCGTGGACACAACACAGGTATCACTTTGTTATTGGGTTGGGATGACATATGAGAAACCACCCCATGCGAGAAGTCTAATTTGCCCCTAAGAAAACGATCATGTGCATGATACATGATCATTTTAAACATAAATATAGAGAGACATGAAGGAAAGAACCAGTAGTGCAATGTGAGATTTAATTTAGGGTGATTTTATTGGCATCCCATTATTTGCTCTTTACACCTTATACTAATTTTAAATATGAATAACCTATTTTATCCTTGTACACAATTACAGTTAAGGACAAAAAAATTTAAAATTAAAATTAAAATTGCTCACTACACCCCACATATGTTCTTGCAACCCTAGTTTAACTTTTTTCTTAAATTATCATGTTCCTAAACCCTAAACCCTAGATTTATACGTTTATACTAGTGAAAAAATATCTTGTATTTATTCATGAAGGGTGAGATTGAAGTTAGAGAGGCTTCGAATGAGGTACGAGTTTATTTTTTGGCATTTTGCAAGTTTAGTATTTCATAACGGTCGCTGGTTGCGTTCATCGCATCAGTACCGAACGCGACAGGTAAATTCGGTGAGATACAACCAAAACGTTGCACCGTTTTCGGTTGGGTTTGACCGGTCAGCAACTTAATATTCGGTGGAGATCCACTGTAAGATGGAACGTAGTTCAGTGGTTTACTACTGAACTTTTATCTGTGTTTCAGTGGCATCCAACTGAAATTTATTTATTTTTTCAATAACTTATTGCCGACCACAAATTTAATCTAAGCTATTTTGATCTTACTCACATTGAAGGACTAAAAACAAGGTGACGCCCCTACTGAAGGCAACAACGTGGGAACAGAATGTGTAATGGACTATAGTGATCAATTCACAACTTATATGGTAATTATTTGTCTGAAATCCTTTTTAGTATCATTAACGTGGCATTAATGTTTCAAATTTTATATTTAAATAATATGAGTTTTATGTGTAGATATTCAATGGTAGAAATGCATTACTTAGATGGGCTCGTGAACAAGGAAAAATGAATAATATTGTCATTGTAATTAAAAGGTCTGATTATGGAGGTGAGGGCAAGAGGAGACCTCGTGTAATATTTGCTTGTGAGAGGAACGGTAACTATAAGTCTTGCAAGTCTAGTGAGACAACTGATATAAGGTCGGATGCAAATAGTGATATGAAAAAATGTGCTAGGGACATTGGTACCAAGAAATGTGGATGCCCATTCTTGTTAAAAGGTGTCAATATTGGTGATGGGGATGATTGGAAGTTGGAGGTGGTTTGTGGAGTACACAACCATCCTATTTCAGAGTATCTTCAAGGTCATTCATTTGTAGGGCGACTTACTGAAGAGGAGAATGCCTTGTCTTTGGGCCCAAATTGGCACACCCAGTATGAGGAAGTAAAAGCCCATCTCGGTTTTTGGCAGCCACCAACACTTCTTTAAAATTGGGCCATAAATACACATCAAGCCCAAAGCATTAAAAGCCCCAGTTCGGAATCTACCTAAGTCTTTTTAAAAAAGAAGAGAGGAGCCCATCACTAGCGCAGACCAAAAATATCAAATACTTGATTAAAGCCTATTTTTCAAGAACCCACATGACCACCATAAATAAAATAGTCAACAATTTCAACTATCACAGAGTTGATTGGGAATTTAAAAAGAAAAGAGCAGTGGCTGGCAAACTAGGAAGAGATATCTCTGAAACTCTGCCATCCGAAAATCAAAATCCTTCTTATATATTCATGTTGAGGCCCAAAAAATCCACGGTCAGGCTCGAATAAATTATTAGCCCAAAATGACACTCTATCAAGGAAAGGCGTAAAGCGGAGTACACAAAAACCCTCCACATGCGAGTTGCAATCCACATGCCATGCTAAATAAATAATTCGTCATGCTAGAATATATCGGCCCTGCAAATCCATGCTAATTATCCCATCAAACATAATAAAATGCATGCCAAGCGATGTGCCATGCCAAGCGACATGCCAAGCAGGAAATCATTATTACACACCCAACCACGCTACAAGCCTAAGTGGGCCCAAGCCACTCGAATACCCGGGGCTTGCTTGAGTGGGTTGTGGTATGGATGGTAATAAATCAACATGAGGCCCATTGATGGGCCGAGAAATGGAAAGTCTCGGGTTGCTTGGGAGCCTCGAGACTCAAGCCCATTTCTTAGGCCCAAACATGTGGGTGAGCACAAGAGGAAAAGAAATAGCCCAAATAACCCAAATAGCCCCAAATAGCCTATTGACTCAAAAGCCCAATATTTAACAAAATAGCCCGCTTATTTAATGAACCACCTTGGCCCATGCAAAGCTTCACAATAAGCCCACAAAAGCCTCAGCCCTTTGCTGGAAAAATAGAAGCCACGTAGAGAAGGTCTGCAGGTTCATTAAACAAAGCCACTGGAGGTTCCAGACATAGGGGGAGCAAGTTCCAAGCAAGAAACATTCAAGGAACCAAAGAATATTAGCATGCGAACTGCCAGAAACACCCTTCGAACCAGCATATATTTCCCAACTCCTTTTCCCATCAGACTTGGCCATGGAAAAGAGAGAAGAAAGCAATAAAAGAAATGGCTGGGCATGGAAATCTGTCACTGAGACAGCTGCAGGAAAATGGGGCCTTGAGCTTCTAAAGTTCCTGATTTTGTGCTAATAGACAGAGGAAATTTCACCAAGATAGGAAAAGCCAAGGGAGGAGAAGAGAAAGGAAGGGAAAAGCTCAGCCAAAATGGGTAGAAACCATTAGGGGTTCTTAGGAAGGGATGATTTCCAGCGCCTATAAAATGAGGCCTCTTCTACCCAACAAAGACAACCCACGCCTGGAGGGCAAAGATTTCTCTCTAACTTGCAAAAACCCAGCAGTCTCGTGCACTATTCACCATCTTCTCCATTCTTCTTTTCTGGCAAACAGAGTATCTGTCAAGCTGCCAGAAGAGCATTGTTCTTCATTTCTCTCTTCCTAGCCAAATCTCCTACAAAATCTCTCTTTTCTCACCTTAACACTTCCCTTTTTCCCTCTAAGAAAGCCTAAATTTCCTCTTAGTGCTAAACTCATGTTGATTTTGATCCCATGCCACATGCCTCTCACGCCAAGCTTAAAATTTTATCTGTAAGCATGCATAAATTATCTGTAAGCTGCCATTATTTTGGCTGGTGAAGGTAACCAAAATACTTCCTAAGGCTCTACTGCCCTTTCGAGGTATTTTGGGGCTTAATTTTCGAACTCAGGCAAAGGGGACAATTTCATCAGTCTGCCCTTTTTACAGCAGCCCAGCCCATTTGCAGTTGCTGGAGGAAAAAGTCCCCTACATAAATTGGCAACTCTGCTGAGGATTAGGTCATTATCTTCACCAATGCCTCCAAAGAAGAAGACCATAAGCAATTCCATGGCTTCCCAAGACGAGCTGGACTATGGTGACTCAGAATCAAGGCAAAATTCCTCTCTTAAAGAGGAAGAACATGCAAGTGAAGGAGCTTTCACCCTTACAAACCTCGTTGCAGCCATCCGTGCTATGGGGGAGACCCAGAGGGAGATGGTAGACATAATCAAAGAGCTAAAAAGCTCAGTCTCCAAGCCAAGCAAAGAAAACGAAAAACCTCCCCAAGAGGAGCCTATCGCTGCCAAAGGAAGTTCTGAACAAAAGGAGCCATCTTTTGTCACTCACAAAGATGTCATTGCCATGCTGAAGAAGAAACTAAGCCGAAGCCAGGGGGATTGGAAGTATTTCCCTCAGCCACCATATCCATCAAGCCTACTCTAGCAGCCATATCCTAAAAGCTACAAAGCACCAAACTTTATTCTCTTCAACGGAAGGAAGGGAAGCCCGAAGGAGCATGTCAACCGCTTCATCGATGCTTTGGGACCACAAGCTGATGATTGTAATCTCCGACTTAGAGAATTTTCAAAAAGCCTTACCGATCGTGCTTACACATGGTATACGACGTTGGCACCAGGCACTGTTCGTTCTTGGGAAGATTTAGCAAACAGGTTCTGTAAGAAGTATTTCTAGCATGAAGAAAGAGTTACTATCATTCAACTCAACTACACTCGCCAAAAATATGGAGAGGATCTCGTGGACTTTGTGCACAGGTTCCGGGACCTAGCGTTGGATTGCTACGATGAGAAAGATGAGGAGGCGCTTGTCGAAATTTGCATCAGCAATATTGTGGTAGAGTATAGAGTTTATTTGGGGAATATTGGCATCTATCTCAGCTGGGGTAGTGATCTGCAGCAAATGCAAATGTGAAGTTGAGTTAGAAGTGGTCTTGGACAGGCAATCATATAAGGAATGTGGTATGCTGTCGGGAAAAGTTGCCGACCAACTATGGAATTGCCAAGAACCGAGAAGATGAGGGTTCAAAGGCAGTACTGCACATTCCTAAAAAACAAAAATGATGCACAGGTATTTCCAGAGACCAATTCTGCCAAAAAAGGGAAAGAGCCGAAAGCACTTCTCCAGGCAGAACAAGTAATCCAGCCACAGAAGATGTTGGAAGCAGAATCTCCAGTCAAGCCTTCTATCCATCTTGCCTCATCCTCAGACAGTCAACTTAAACCTTCACAAGTACAAGGAAAATCTGAACCTATTCCAGTAGAAGGGCAAGAGGACTGGACTGAGGAATATGAAGAGGAACAACTAGATTATGAACCATCTACAGATGACCAGAATGCACTCCTCGAAGCAGGAGAACAGGAAGACTGGACAGAAGAATTTGGGGAAGAACATATGGAATATGATGGGGAAATAGATGTAGAAACTGAAGCTTTTGGTGTAGAATTAGAGGACCTATTGTAGGGTGATTTAGGCATTAACATGGTGTTCATTTTGCCAGAGAAGTTCAGAGCAGCAGAAGGACAAGAAAGCACTCTGGAAGGAGATGTCTTCTCCCAAGAAAGCTTCGAATGCAGGTTGGCAGAAGCAGAGGAGGCACCAGAACAGCAAATAGGTAATCCCAAGACAGGCAGAACTGCCAACAAACCGGCTGCACAACAACTTTGCTTCTCCAAACCAACCAAAGAGATGACCAATCACCTCAGACCTTTGTTTATAATAGCAAACTTTGGGGGTGTTCATATTCCCAAGGTCATGATAGATTGAGGTGCAGCCATTAATCTTCTACCTCACAGAATGCTGAGTAAGATGGGCAGAACAGAGAAAGATTTGATTCCAACACGCTTGACCGTTACCAACTTTGCAGGGGGCATCACCAAAACTCATGGGATCCTAGATGTAGATGTCATAGTTGGAAGCAAAAAGCTGAAAATTGCATTCTTTGTGGTAGACACCACTTCCACCACCTACAATGCACTGCTTGGCAGGGACTGGATTCACCAGAGTCTGTGTGTTCCTTCCACTTTCCATCAGCAATTAGCTCTGTGGAATGAAGAGGGTTATATGGAGATAGTAGAGGCCGATCCACGACCATTTCTGCCTTCTGCCATGTGTTTTGAGGCAAGGTATTATCATGATGACCTTGGTCCTTTCACTTTCCTTGGAGTCAACCAGAACGGCCGCCCCCATGGTGTCACGGCCCAGAGACTCATTGAAGATGGTCTAGCCAGTTCCCTAGAAGACTGGAATAAACCTTTTGTTCTAAACCGCCATAACTCTAATGTTTAGTCCCAATCAACAGGAGAAGGATCGAACTGCAACAATCCGATCAATTACAAAAAGATTGTTGATATATTGGGAGTCAAGAAAGCTCTTCATGCAGAATCCAGCCATCAATATGGCAGAATTCACCCATGAAAGCACGAAAGATCAAGAGGAAGAGAGTTTGTAGGAGGAAGTATTAGATTTTGCACCAGCAGCACCAGATGATTCTCTGCCAGAAGTAGAAGATCCTTCGCAGAAAATAAACTTAGGGACAGAAGAGGATCCAAGACCTACTTTCATCAATGCACTATTGAAAGAACCACTTAGGAGTGAACTCATTGCACTTTTGCAGGAGTTCAGAGATTGTTTTGCTTGGCATTATCATGAAATGCCAGGATTAGACAGGGAATTGGTGGAACACAAGCTGCCAATCAAAGAGGGTTACCTTCCAATCAAACAAGCCAGAAGAAGAATGTCTATGGACACAAAGCTGAAGGTCAAGGAAGAAATAGAAAGGTTGCTCAGAGCAGGATCGGACCAGCTATTTATGCTGATTAGCTAGCCAATATTGTGCCAGTTCTGAAAAGAAAAACAGGGGCAGTCAGAATCTGCGTGGATTACAGAAATTTGAATGAAGCATTTCCCAAGGACGAGTACCCTATGCCAATGGCAGATATGCTAGTAGATGGAGCTGCTCATAACCAAATGCTATCCTTTATGGATGGAAATGCAGGTTACAATCAGATTATGGTGGCAGAAGAAGACATCCACAAGACAGCTTTCATGTGCCCAAGGCATATAGGTGCTTTTGAATATACTGTAATGCCTTTTGGTTTAAGAAATGCAGGAACCACTTATCAAAGAGCAATGAACTCTGTTTTTCATGATATGATAGGGCATTCTTTGGAAGTATATATAGATGATGTGGTGATTAAATCCCTAGAGGAGGGAAATGATGTATCAAATATGAGAATGGCATTCCTAAGAATGAAGCAACATAAACTAAAAATGAACCCAAAGAAGTGTGTTTTTGGAGTTCAAGCAGGAAATTTCTTAGGTTTCTTGGTCCACCAGAGAGGCATAGAGATTGACAAGAACAAAGCAAAATAAATCATAGAAGCTCTACCACCTCGGAACAAGAAGGAACTACAGAGTCTCCTAGAAAAAATTAATTTTTTAAGGAGATTCATATCCAATTCTGCAGGAAAGATCCAGCCTTTCTCCTCTTTGTTGAGATTGAAACAGGAACAGAACTTCAAGTGGGAAGAACAGCACCAACAAGCTTTTGAGGAAATCAAGAGTTACCTCTCAAATCCACCAGTTTTGTCCCCACCAAAGAGAGGCAAACTACTCAAACTCTATGTGTCTGCATCAGAAGTATCCATTGGGAGTCTCTTAGTCCAAGATAATGTTGGCTGTTGCGAATCTCATGGCCTGGTGCTCCGGGCCGAGGGGATGTGCGTTAACACGTGACGTCCTTCTTTTGGATGCGGTGCGGTTGTGCGCGGGCGTGCCAGCACGATCTACCGTGCGTCGAGATGATGATGAGGTTCGGATAGAAGATGATTTAAATGTTGCGCCTGTTTTGCGTTCGACTCCTAGTCAAACGATTGTGGCCGAGAGAGGAACTGATCTTGGCCGTCAGGTTCACGGCCTGAGCTACAAGGCCGTTTAGTGGTGGCGTTGGTGGCAGGTTTTAGGCGATGCTCCGGCACGTTGCTCAGAGAGCGACAGTCGTATGATATATGGGGTGAATGAGACGATAGCAGAGATGGTGCTCCGACGCCTTGAAAATCAAGGGTCGTATGATATATTGATGAATGTATTTTCCTTACAATCTACCACTACTCCTAGGAAAGCAAATAAAGGTATTGAAAGTGCATTACAGGAAAATATAATTTGCTCCGTGGGAGGCTTTTGGTTTGGTGTTTAAACCTTTTGAATGTAGTCCTGAGCTTAGTATTTATAGGAGTCCTGGAGGGACAATCGAGGCTGACAAGACCTGCGCGGTGGAGCCTGACCGGGGCAAGTGGGTAGTCAAATCGGTATTTGGGATCATGAAGTATGGTGGCTTGGGGTTGAGAAGCATAGTGGTGTGACCCCTATAAATCTCGGTATATCTCGGCCACCGCCCTGATCGTGGGTTCTGCTCCCTTGGCAGTGGGAACGCATTTAATGCCCTGGTCTGGTGGTTGGTGATCTGACCTCAAGTCGTAAGATTACTTGTGAGAATGTCTGCGCCTAACCACCCTAATTTCCATCACCAAATCCTGACTTCAGTCACTTCCCTTGTGCATTAAATGCTTTTTGCGACTAGTGGGTTTGCTGCGAAGTCAGAGGCATTACTTCATTAAATGGGGCGTGGGACCCTGAGGCCACGTGGCGATTTAACCACAGCTTCTTCGGGCGTGTCTTTTACGGCTTTCGGCTTCGGCCTTCAACACTGTGGTCGCGAGATCGAGAGGATTCTGCCTTTGCAGCTTTCCTTTTGTTTTCAGGAAGGCGAAATGCTCGACGAAACGGTAGGCGCCAGGGCCGAAAGGAAGTCCCCTCAATCAGCTTATGACCGTGATTTATTAGGAACAAACATTGCCCCCACATCCCTGGATTCTTCGGTTGCGGACAGGGCAGAGGCCGAAAGGATTCCAAGGGATGGACCCTTTGCATTCCCCCTGAAGTGATTGACAGTTGGTGCTTTAAATGCGTAGGTCAATCGGCGCATTAAATGCGCAAGCACGTCTTGCAGGCCATCATTGCCCAGACTTGCGCGAGCCGTCGTTTCGTCTCGTCAAACGAAGCAACGGCCTCTGGGCTTTTGACACGTCATCGCGCCCCTTGAGCACGCTTGTTAGGCCGTTACGTCTCTCGAGAGAGCCACGCCCTTTCGTTTCGAATTCTAGCGCCAATATAAAAGCATGTCCTTCTTCATCCCTTCCTTACGCTTTCAGAAATTTCAGACACCCAACCTCTGTCAAACCTTTCTCTCAACTCTTCAACCCTTTCGAACTTCACATTTCAGCACTCCAACTATTTCCGCCCAGTTATCCCCCATTGTTAGTAACCGACGACTTCAGTCGCTTCTCCTGTATATCTTTGAAAACTCTTGACTCTTCGCCCCTTTTTCTGAGCACTTGGCTCCCTGATGTTCTTCGTGTTCATCACCATTCCTTCGACTTTTTCAAACATATCCTTACTTTAATATGTTTCAATGGCCTCAAGCACCCCTACATCTGTTGAAGCTCGGTCCTACCCAACATCGTCACACCTTGGACTGATGACGACGGCACCGCCACCGACTCCTACGTCCTCAGCTCCTCTGTAGATGGCGGGATGCCAGAAAGGCTGGTGGCTCATTTGAAGAACAATCTGGTGGATCTCTGGGCCTTTGACGGGAGGGACTTCCAAGATTGGAATGTCGCCAGGCCGCAGCCCCAATGGCTAACCTCGACTAGGAATCCAATTTGTGGAGATTTTGGGAGATTCTATGCTTGTGCTAAAATAGATTGCTAGAGAATACAAGTGTCTAAGTCCTTCTCCAGCTATCTACTTAGTAGCAGCTAGGAATCTTCTAACAGAATTCAGAGAAGCTACTTGGGAACATATCCCAAGAGAAGAAAACTTTGCAGCCAACGAACTGGCTCAGGTAGCAACAGGCATACAAATGCCTGAAAACTATGCACAGAGGATCATCAAGGTAGGAAAGAAAAGTCTACCATCTGTTCTGACCATAGGGATGAAGATAGATGTCAATTCTGCCATGATCACTGAAGATGATTGGAGAAATCCTGTCATAACTTACTTACGATATCCAACTCTGCCCTTTGAAAAGAGAGTCAGAATCATGGCTATGAACTACCTTATGTGGAATGAAGATTTGGTCCGAAAAAGTAAGGATGAGGTACTATTAAGGTGCCTAGGAAGAAAAGAATACATGAAAGTTATGGGAGAGACTCATGAAGGGATATGTGGAGCTCACCAAGGAGGAAGAAAGATGTGCTGGTTAATGAGGAGATATGGCTACTTCTGGCCAACCATGATGAAAGATTGCATTGACTATTCAAAAGGGTGTGAGGCTTGTCAAAGGCACGGCCTAATCCAGCAGGCCCCTTCAGTTCCCATGAATCTAGTGGTAAAGCCATGGCCTTTTAGAGGATGGGCAATGGATCTCATTGGCAAGATCTATCCAGCCAGCAGCACTTTTTTATTATTGTTGCTACAGACTACTTCACCAAATGGGTGGAAGCCAAGCCTGTTAAGTCCACTACATCTCAAGAGATCATCATCTTCATAAAAGAACAGATTATACAGAGGTTTGGCATTCCAGAATCAATCACAACTGATAGGAGATCTTCTTTCATATTTAGAGAGATGCTGGACATGGCAGAGGCATTCAAGTTCAGGATGCTTCAATCCACTCCTTATTATGCTCAAGCTAATAGACAGGTAGAATCAAGCAACAAATTGATCATCAACATTATCAGAAAAATGCTTGAGAAAAATCAGAAGCAATGGTATGAGAAGTTGTCAGAAACTCTGTGGGCGTATAGGACTTCAAAGAGAGAAGCAACGGGCATGACTCCCTATGCTCTGACTTATTGCCATGATGCAATTCTGCCTATGGAGATAGCTGTTCAGTCCTTCAAAATTGCTCATCAACACGATCTGGTTAGAAAAAACTACTCTCAAGCCATGCTGCTAGAACTGGAGGGATTGGATGCAAGCAGAATTGAGACCCTCAATAAACTCCTGGCAGGAAAGCAAGCTGTATAAAGGGCCTACAACAAAAGAGTCAAGAACAAGAGTTTTGAAGAGGGGGAGATAGTTTGGAAAGCAGTTCTGCCTCTTGGAACACATGTGGCTGGTTATGGAAAGTGGTCACCTACATGGGAAGACCCTTTCATAATTAATCAGATCCTTGGAATGGGGGCATACAGGTTGCAGGATCGAGATGGGGAAGTTCATGCTGCCCCAATCAATGGCAAATGGTTGAAGAAGTTTTTTCCAACTATGTGGGATTCACAAGCTGTACAGACAGATCTCGGGATAGAGAGAGAACAACACTGAAACTGTTTGTTTCAGATTTTGTTCAGAGTTATTTTTGTTCTAAGTTGTTTAAAGTTTGTTTCCCTTTCCCTTTTTGCTTTTGTTTATTTCATCAAAAGAAATTAAAAACCCGAAAATTGCAACAAATAAACAAACTTTATTTAAAATAAATAGCCATACTCATGGCAAATTGTTCATCATAAAAGCCAAAACGAAAATAATAATAATAATAATAATAATAATAATAATAATAATAATAATAATAATAATAAAATTCAAAACCATAACTTCCTAAGGGTTTCTTGCAAGTTCACTTTCTTGATGGAGAGTTCCTTCTGAAGCAGCACCCCTTAGTGGATTGAAGCCTTTGCAATTTCCAAAGCTGGCCTGGAGACTGCAACCATGCTCTGCACAAGGAAAGTAGCCTTGGTCTTGGAGCTCAGTCCAGCCCCAAGCCTGTTCTGCACCTCCCTGCATTCTGCCAATTGCTTCTGCAGCTCCTTAATCTGTTTTTCCAGCTTGTTTGCAATAGACTTAGCCTCCTTGTATCCTGCCACCATCTGGTCCAATTCTGCCTTCTGCTTTGCAAAATCAGCCAAGTTGGCTTCGTGAGTAGCCTTGCAGAATTCAGAAGTCTTGAAGGAGGGCTTGAGATCCTCATAGCGATCATGGAAGTTGAGCACATCTCTTGCCAGGCCAAGACTCATCTCAAGTATGGGTTTGGGGGCCATATTATGTCTGTACAGCAGGTCCATGTCTTTCATCAGCTGGTCAATGGCTTCCCTGTCCTCATCCAGCTCCAGCTCAGTAGACTGCCAGATCTTTAGTCTCTCTATAGCCTCCTCCACTGCCTTGGATTTTGCCTTGCTTGGAGGGGAGCTGAGTTTCTCCAATTTGTCCAGCTGGGCATCTAGGTCCATAGCTTCAAATGCTGCCAGTTCTGGATCAGAAAAGGAGGCCGTGGTAGATGAACCTGGGAAGGAATGGATAGGCATCTGCAAAAGAGAGCATGAGTCAGAATCAGGCAGAAACATAAAGAAAAAGGCCTGAAAAATATAATGAACACTTACAGCAACAATTGAGGGCTTCAAGGGACTGGTCACCACTGACAGGGCACCAACAGGTCTGGGCACTTCTACCTAGAAGGACTACAACAATTAAAGAAACAAAACATAACAGAATTGCAAAAAATGTGAGCAGAATTGGAAGAAAAATTACCGTAACTTCAGGAGCAGATACAGCCACTTCCACTTTAGCTTCTGGAACCACAACAGCCTAGTCCACAGGCTTTGATGCAAACTGTCCTACCTGCTCCTCAGCTGCTGGAACAGCAGTAGAGTGTTCTGCCTCTGGATCCTCAAACAGGGCCAACTTTGAGCTAGTCAGCCCTGCCCTTGTGTCTTCTTGCTGTTTCTGAGCCAACACAATACTTTCTGCTATTACGTCAGCAAGAATCTCCTCCTACAGATAGACAGAAGTCATAACAGAAGGAATAAAAAGACATAAAAAGCTTATACAACCAGGGAAGCAGGAAAGCAGGGATTTGTTCAAACTGAAGAAATCAAACTAACAATCACGGTTGAAATCTCACAAGGGCCAGTTAAATTGGGAAAATGAATTAGGTTTCTTTTAAAAAAAAATAGGGAAATGATCTCAAAAATTGATTGATAAAAGCCTATCTGACATAATTAAATTAGAATCATTCCCTCTCTTGTATCTCTTTACAGATCTTTGAGAAGACTTGCCGCCCATTATTTTTTTTAAAAAAAGAAACCCTGCCCCTGTGCATTTCTTGTAAATATAAGAGGGACTAAACTGGGCATAAAGAACACACTCAATTCATCAATCAAACAGACAACAAGAAATCAACCAAAAAGCTCACTTAAACTCCAAGAGAAGTCTGCTTTAGATCAGAATCCCCAAATTCCAGACTTAGAAAATAAGTCATTTAAAACGAAATCTCTCGTTACAAATTTGGTTCAGCAAATACCAAGACAGGCAGAGCTCGGGTTTTTTTTTCAAATATGAAAACCTCAACAAATTTCACAGTGCAGTCCTTAACACACTGAGTCCTCAAGAATAGCCACTTCTGCCTTTTCAGACTGAAGAAGCCGCAATTCTGCCCACTCAAAGCCTCACAAAGCTTGAAGTAGATTAAAGCTCTGCCAGAATTGAATTTTGGTATCGATTTACAGCTGAAGTTTAGTAGTTGAAGTTGTTGACAGCCCAGTTCAGCCCGAATCAGAGCCTTCTATCCAGGCAGAAATAGAGTTCCAATCCTCTTGCAATCTTTCTAGCGTTGATATGTATGTTTATAGTTGTGTAAAGGGCAGTTCTGCCTAAAAACAACTCAATTACTATCAACTATTCTGGCCAGAACAACCGTTTTTATACTGAGATAAATTATGAAAGTCCTCACCAGACTGAGGCATGAAAAGAACTTACTTGGGAGATATTCCTCACCCAAATTCACAATCATTTATTTTTTTTTAGAAATCAGTAACTTGGGATGCAAGTTATCTACTCTAGAAGAAGTCTGCTAGAATTTTCATTGCTAGCAATGGCACGCTCATACACCAAAGAAAGTTGACTTGTTGACCAGTCAATGGTTTTCAAGGCAGTGGGGAACTTTGCCCTTCCATCTCAGGAGTAAAACGCAAAACGGGGTGAACACCTTGTTGGTGAACATGTCTAAGAGTTTGGTGAAACCTAGAGATATTTTGGTCACCATTAATGTTCGTATCGTATCTGACCCCCCACTCATGTCATAACACCTGGAATGTGAATGACGCTAAAAGACCTGCTCGGTGAGCCATGCCGATACTATCAATTGGCACACATCACCGATTGATACACGGTCATCGAAATTAGCAAGTGCTACCGACCGACTCACCGACACCAATCTTCGGCATTTTTTGCTGATTGAGGAATCACCACATCCAGTTGATTCTAATAGATAACCTCGGAACTCCCACCAGAACTGTCAGAGCACGTGTCGACCGTCGAAGACACTCATACTAGTCCCACATCGAAACTAAGTACTAAGACCATTGCAAATGCTCTTTATAAATAGAGCCATTTGGCCCAGCCAAGAGGTAAGGTAGTTTTTACTTGACTTGTGCTTTCACACTGTCAAAAGAATTACTCTTAGTCTCTAACTTTGGCATCAAAGGGTCTTCCGCCAGCACCACACCGGTGTCCCAGACCTCACTTGCCGTTTCTTTCTCTGGGCTGAATCCAGCACTACACCTTAAGAAAGGACGACACTGATCGAAGGCTCCTCGGGTCCAAACCCCTCACTCCACCTGTAAGTTAGCTCTACTTCTATTTGTTTAGTTTTAGCGCAAACAATTAAAGATAGAGATGCAATGAATGTTTCAACTATGAAGACAATATACAATGCTAGGATCCAAAATATAACCAAAGAATTTGCTGGGAGAACCCAAATGCAACAATTACTTACTAAGTTATCCGAACACAATTATATTGAGTGGCATAGGACATCTGGTGATATTGTAACAGACCTGTTTTGGACACCCCATTAATATTGATATTTTGCGTGCATTTCCACATGTACTTATCATGGATTGCACCTATAAGACTAATAGGTATCGTTTCCCACTATTATACTAATATGAAATTCTTTGTTGCGTATGTATATATGAATGCCGAGAAGGAAGACAATTACACATGGGCGTTGACTGCATTGAGGAGTTTGTTGGATGATAATTGTCTTCCTGGTGTTGTTGTCATCGATCAGAGTTAGCACTCATGAATTCTACTACGTCTATATTTCCGAAAGCACGACATTTATTATGTAGATGACATATTAACAAAGGAGTGTTGGCAAACTGCAAGAAGTTATTTGGGACCCTCAAACAATGGAAGCAATTTAATGAGGATTGGAATACTTTGGTTGGTTAAAAACGGAGGAGAAATATTGGCGTTGTTTGCGACATATTGAGTCTAAGTTCAGTGAATTTAAAAAAGCTCTTGAATACATACATGAAAATTGGTTAAATCCATTTAAGGATAAGTTTGTGGCCGCATGGACAAACACTTGTATGCATCTTGGATCGACGACCTCAAATAGGTAAGTATTTTAGTCAACTTTTGATATGTTAATTTGAAAATTTATTTTGCTTCAAGAAAATTTATTATTGTTATCAACAGAGCGGAAAGTGCACATGCAAAGTTGAAGCGACAACTCCGCTCAAGCCAACTTAACTTTGAGAGATCATGGGTAACTATACACTCATTGTTAGAGCTAGAGCACACAGAGATTAAGGCATCTTTTGAAAAGAGTCGATGTTTTATTCAACATAGGTTCAGGCATCCGGAGTTGAGAGAGTTAGTAGGTTTTGTTTCTATAAAGGCTTTGAGTGTAATTGTGTGCGAGTCAGAAAGGTAAATTCAGTTTACTTATTGCATGTACATATATGGTTTATAGAGTTAACATTGTAATTTTTTTGCAATCAGGTTAGAGACAGATGGGGTGGATGCTTTATCATGTGGTTGTACTATTCGTCGAACCCACCAATTACCATGTGTACATGAAATTGCGCAGTATAGAGAGCGTGGTGTACCAATACCACTTGATGTTGTGCATTCACATTGGTGGAAATTAGATCTCATCAATATAGGAAACAGTAGTCATGGCACAACTTCACCAGGAAGGTCACAACTACAAAGATTCAATATGTGGTATGAACAACAAGAGGATGAAAATAAGAGACAAGTCCACATGACACTGGAGGAGCTAATGAACCCTGGTTCTATTGTGCTTACTAAACCCTGTCTATTAGGTCGGGATGATGAAGCCTCAATAGTACCTCTGCGAGTCCTCTTCATATCTAAAAACAAACAATATTAAGTACACACTCAGTAACGTATTCGGTAGATGATCACTGAAAAACGGAAATAAATTCGGTGGACTATCACTGAAAAAGAACACATATTCGGTGAAGTACCACTGAAAAACCGAAATAAATTCGGTGGGAGTCTCCTGGAAAATAGAAACAGATTTGGTGGACTACCATCGAAAGAAGGTAACAATTTCTATGGTAACCCACCGAAAGTAAAATAAATTTTCGTACAACTCAAGTTCAAATTTGGTGGACTACCACTGAAGAAATGTAACCATTTCGGTGGTAATCCACCGAAACTAGAATCCAGTTTGGTAAAACCAGGTTCGAACCATACACAACGTTGAAATCAAAGTCAAAATCAGAATCAGAACTTTTCAAAAGTAAAATCAAACGTAGGCTTAATCAACACTTAGAAACGTAAATATAGAAATCAAATTTGAAGTCAAACCTTGGCTCTTCGAAGGATTTGTGAAAACTTGACAGAGATAGGTTCGGGTTTGCAGAGATGGAGATGGGTTGTGCAATGGGGTTCGGTGGTTTGCAGAGATGGGTTTGGATTTGCTGGGTTGTGTGATGGGGTTCGGTGGTTTGCAGAGATCGGGGTTCGGTGGTGAGCAAAGATGGGTTCTGCGATGGCAAAGGGATGGAGTGTGTGGTGGAGGTTGTTGTAAATCTGATAGGGTGTGCGATGGGGTGTGTTTGCAAGAGGAGGGAATTTGAAATTTTATTAAAATTTAGTGGGGTGTAAAAAGCAATTAATGGGGTTCATATAGAATTTCCCTTTAATTTAAGGACGGCAACAACTATTTTTGGAGATTATGGACGAAAATGTAACTTGAAGTGTAGTTTAGAGACCATTACTACAATTTATCCATTATATTATGCCTGTTGCTTTTCAAGTAGACAACATATCTATTTAGAGGGAATAATAAATTTTGCATACTTAAATACCTATTTTCTTGAAGAAGGAAAATGCTTACGCGACTATCAAATCCTTTGCAGACTCCCTTAGAAATGGTCCACAGAGCAAATAATATTTTCTTGCACCGGATCCAGACTGTCATCACTCTCCTGCTAAGCTCTCACACGTCCTTTACGCGTTTTGAAATTTAATCTTCTAGTTTGGGAAAAGATTCTAAGTTGAACAGGTATTAAAGATCGTGCAGACAGTGTTTCCGCGGGACCCATGTTCCCCATGGCTACTAAACAACAAAAAAGGGGTACAGTTCTCTGCGAGAATTCGCCCTATGATTCTATGGGGGAGAGTTTAGATTTCCCTTTTACCTTCCTTTCTCTCCCAGGTGACTAGATAGATATTACTTCTTCAACATCGTTCTCACCTAATGATTCTATGCATTTCTGACTAAATTTGTAATTTTCCTTTTAAGTCTTACCCTAAAACACACTTGCTGTTGCTGATCATCAAGAAAAGCTAAAATATTTGCTTAGCTATTTTTTTGTCTGATGCTGTTGCCTTTAGTTGAAAGGAACCACTAAGTTTGATGAATCCAGTTGAGATCATGCATGGCCAATTCTATAAAATAAAAAAGTTGACATCATTGATTGGGTACGGTACAAAAGAAAAAGAAAAAAAGCTGGGGGGCTATGTGATAAATAGAAAAATTTGTGTAAAACGGGATATCAAAATACTGTTTTCCGCTGGACCGACCTTCTTCAACACTTTACAAATTGCAGTAGGGCTAGGGAGGAAGGAGGAAACGAAAGGAGAAAAATGCCTCCCCTTGTCCTCAAAACTTTCTCTCTCTATTAATCTGTGAGACGTGCCAGCATGTCATGATTCATATCAACATATGACATAAATTTCAAATGTTCCCCATTTATTGTTATCTTTTTCACACGGTAACCATTATTGCATATCTACTGCATAAACCCTAACTAAAATACTAAAACTGAAATTCAAATAAAATGTAAAGTCCAATAGAAAAAGGGATTTCTATAAACAGGGCATGGGGAGATGAGAATGGCACACAGTCCAAATTAAAATAAAATCTCTCTCATGAGACAGACTTAGACGACTCATGTGACTGACTGCCTGCCTGCCATTTGCGCCACCTGACCAATGTCTCGTCGTCCTCCTCCTCCGCATTCCTCCTCCTCCTTGCTGCTTGTTTTGTTGGTGTGGGCAGCCGCCGCCACTTCTAGTACTAGTAGTGGTGAAGGATCTTTGGGTGTGGGGAAAGTAGATCCAACCCTCAAGTTTGAGAACCCAAGGCTTCGCCAAGCCTACATTGCCCTCCAAGCTTGGAAGGCCGCTATCTTCTCGGACCCATTCAACTTCACCTCCAGCTGGAATGGCTCGGACGTGTGCTCCTACATGGGCGTATTCTGTGCTCCTAAGTCCACCGGTGCACATGGCCGTGTGGTCGCCGGCATCGACCTCAACCATGCTGACATTGCTGGCTATCTGCCTCCAGAGCTAGGCCTCCTCTCAGACCTGGCGCTCTTCCACCTCAACTCCAACCGCTTCTGCGGCGTCGTCCCTAGCAGTTTGCGGCGCATGAAGCTGCTCCATGAGCTCGACCTCAGCAACAACCGCTTTGTGGGAGACTTCCCCAAAGTAGTGTTCTCCTTGCCTTCCCTCAAGTACTTGGATCTCCGCTTCAACGAGTTCGAAGGCTCCGTTCCCTCCCAGCTATTCGACAAGGATCTGGATGCCCTTTTCCTCAACGACAACAGGTTCCAATTTGGCATCCCTCCCAATCTCGGCAACTCTCCCGTTTCGGTTCTGGTGTTGGCCAACAACAATCTCGGGGGTTGCATTCCTGGTAGCATTGGTAACATGGCCAAGACGCTCAACGAGATCATCCTCTTGAATGACAATCTCACCGGCTGCTTGCCTTCCCAGATCGGCCTCCTCACCAATCTCACGGTGTTTGATGTCAGCTTCAACCGACTTCAAGGACCCCTTCCCCCCACCATCGGCAAAAACATGAAGAGCTTGGAGCAGCTGGACGTGGCCCGCAACAGACTCACGGGTGTCATCCCAGCCAGTATTTGCCAGCTACCTCGTCTGCACAACTTCACCTATTCCTTCAACTATTTCACCGGAGAGGCTCCTGCTTGTGCTGCTAACAAAAATAATATCAATGGTCGGAAGAACTGCATTCGTGGTAAGTTGGATCAGAGATCTGCAAGGGAATGTGCTTCGCCAGCTGCACGTCCCGTGGACTGCCGCAAGCTCCAATGCAGCAGCACTACTAGTCCTGGAGGCGTGGGGGGCAGCGGCGGGGGTTCTAAGAGAAGGCCTCCTCGGGTTTCAACACCCCCACCCCGACTTCAGAGTCATCACCTTCCACTAGATCACATCCTCCACCACCATCAAACCCTTCTTCTTCTTCTTCTCCGCCTCTAGTGCCTAATAGAGCACCTCCTCCTTCCAATTCTAATTCCCATTCCCATTCCCCTACAAAGCTTCCGCCACCTACTCAAAGAGTTTCACCCAGGACGCATCTTCCACCTTCTCCCCCTCCATCTAGTAGTCATCATCATTGGACTTCGACACCACCACCCCCATCTACCCAAAATGTGTCACCAACTACTCATCTAAGACCACCTCCGCCGCCGCTGCCCACGCACTACAACTCCTCTTCTTCCCCACCACCACCGGTACTTTACCATGCTTCCCCACCTGATCACTCTAAACATGATCTCGTGCCGCCATCACCTCCAAATCATTACTCGTATGCTTCACCAACACCACCACCGCAACACTCGGCCCCGCCACCTCCACAGCACTCAGCCCATGTCCCACCTGCTCCGAGCTATCATACTTACACAAGTCCACCACCTCCACCTCCACCAACACGTGAGCAGTATACAAAAGCACCACCTCCTTCCCCCGCACATGAGCATTATCCATCAAAAGCTCCACCACCACCCGCAAGTACAGGTGGAAGTCCCCCACATGATACGCCATCAGCCCCTTCACCAAGTGAGCCATCTCATCCCTTACCTCCACTGCCGCCCACCGGTTGTGTGATGCCTGCATCATCACCACCACCACCAAGCCATCATACCTTGCCATCACCCACATTTCAATTTGTACCCCCACCTTCATCAAGGCATCACCACTCAACTCCCGAACAACAGCATTGGCATCAACCACCACCATCATCGCATCAACAGTTTCCTCCCTCACCCCCAGTCGATAGCACACCGCTTCCACCAGTTATAGGAGTGTCATATGCGTCTCCTCCTCCCCCTGTAGTTCCCTACTACTAATTCAATAATTTCTAGCGTATGTTTAAGAAGAATCACAATTCTTTTGCTGCGAATGAGTAGACAATAACCCCGCATATATACAGTAGCAAGGATCAGTTCCGTATCTTTCGTGTGCGAATGTTGTTCTTCTCGTTTTTAAGATGCAGTTTATCCTCTAAGGTTGCTTCAATTTATAGCAATAATAGTTTCATTGCTGCTTGCCTATTCCTATACATATGTATTCTCATAACTTTATTTCATTCTCCGATACAGCCAAGCGGATGGATTTTCATTATGAATTAAAGTTTATTTTGTCACACACTAGTGCTATGTATGTCATGGTATCAATTAGCATACTCAAAACGGTTTTAATTCTATGATATGTTTACTTACCTTAGAACTGAAGGTAATGGGTATTGTAAATATACATATTTCTGATTTCCATGCATCTACTAACATGTCGAGATCGAAATTATTTCAACACCTAATTTACCCCACGATTACAATGACATATGGAATAATAAAAAAACTGTGAACTCTGCATTAAAATCCATAATCCAATACCTTAAAACCATGAATTAGTTTGATTGATGGGAGAGTAATTGATCCTATGTCCATTCATTCTGCGTTTCTGACTTTCCCAATTCATGACTTCTAATTCCAAGTAAGAAAACATGACATTAGTTGGCATTGCCGAAATTAAAAATGCACCAGCTTGTCCAAAGTCTCTCCCATGTGGGCTTCTCTTAATAACCCTAATAATGACAGTACTAACTTGAAAAATAATAGCAATTATGACATGAAAAGCAATTGCATATGTTACATGGAAGCTACAATGTGATCTTATTTATGTCAACAATATTGTGCCCAATAACTAGAGTACTGCACCCATTACCTGTACTTCACCCCCAGTGAACTTCTGTATATGTGCACCTATATAAAGGGGTGGCACGAGGATTAACTAAAGTGAAAAATCTATTTCCTGGGTAACCGAAAAACAAAAACCATTACAAGACTCAATTAGCCCCAAACATGACTTTCATCACAATGAAGGCCACAAGACATAATCTATGAAGGACAACCACAAACGGTATCATCCAAAACGGATCACAATGCATGATATATCATCTTTACTCTTTCTTGCCAGTGCTTCAGTTGTTAGACGCTTTGCCGCTACTTGTGGATCTTTTATGGGTTTCACCAAATCTACTGCCTCTTGATTCTTCATAACCTGCCAACCAAAACATACCACATATTGAACTACAAGGGAGTATCAAAAGAAAGAATCTTTGTCCCATTACAAGTCCAAACCATATCCGAAAGGATTGAGAACACATCTTGCATCCCCTGGCAAGGAGAAGCAAGTTCTTACCACCCAAGGCAACAACCTCTTATTAGACTCAACCACTACAACAAGACCACTGGCTCATATGTATAATTTCTGTTAGTGATAGAAAGTTACCAATATACCCATGACTCCTTAAACTAACAGCACCCAAATACAATAAAAAATAGTACTATTGTAAAGGAAAGTCCTAATGACACTCATGTTAAGGTTGAACAGTAATGTTGTTGCAAATGTAACTCAGCCATTGATTTCTGAAAGACAAAATTGTTCGCTAACCAAAATATCGCTAGGGCCAATTTTTGGATATATCACATTCAGAAAATTTTACAAGATTAATTACTAAAGCATCCGAATTTTGGGAATTCCCAAATATTCTTCAAATTTCATAGTTACAAAATATTCATATGCTTTTTTTTTGTTTATTGTTTATTCATATTTTTATTGAGCACTCATACGATTACAAAGAATTGATAAAAAATTCCATCCTCTGACCAAAAGTGACAGACACTGCTGTCATAACAGGAAAGTAAAGTTCATCTTACTAGAAACAAGAAACTAAGAAAAAGGGAAACAAAATTAGAATAACCATAAGCATTCTGCATCAGTTTGTGGGATAATCCAGGTATTATCCTGGCAGCACCAGACTTAAGGTCTCAAGGGTTGTTTTGAAAGGTTATGTTCGGCTATAGGTAACCTGAGAGAGAGATCACTACGTATGCATGACTCACAATGGAGTTTCTAAAACCCCTAAACCCCTGTTCCACAACTTCTCTCCTTGGTAGTGTATTTTCCTTTCTCCAGTTTGCCTTAAGGATCTCATCCAATCTTTGCTGGAGCCACCCAACTTCCATATTTACCTTTTGGAGATCACCTTTGTTTCTCCGATACTCCAAAAATCCACACATGTTTGTATCGGATACTCAAATACCCCCTCGATACTTCTTGGATATGTGTCCGATAATTCAAATCCGTATCCATTGACTTTTAGATATCCGTATCAATCAACACACGTATCCTACGTAATGATTAATTGCAATTTTGTCAAAAGAAGTTGGGTTTATTGTAATATTAAGAACTTAGTCAATATAGGGGATCCTAAGTTTGAATTCCTGAAGATACAACCTCCCAAAATTAAGTTGAACTGCACATGTTGGACTCTAATGGAGGAGAGAGTGTTTAGAATATGAAATAATTGTCTGCCCACATCAGAATAGCCTAAGTGTTTGGGAATGATGGTAAACCAACAAACTTTATCCATATCAACTAATTTCAACCATTCAAGCAAACACAAATCCAACGAAACAGAGGTTTTAGCTAATTCTTACCCTTCTCACTCTGAAAATTTATAGCATTATTATAGGGACTTTAAATGCCAAAGGGTTTGTTTTTTTTTTTTTTTTTTTTTTTTTATGGGGAGGAAAGAAACCCTTAGGTTTCGAGTGGGTGCCAAGCAGGGGGGAAGGGGAGGGCCACAACTACTGTGGTAATCCCGCATTGGTAATGCCTAAGGTGTTTTGATACTACATGGTAATGGCATTATGTCTTTGCAAACAACACCTTGCTGTTGCATCTTAGACAGTTCTAACTTATTTTTATAGAAAGAAAACAGAAAAATAACATTAAAAACTGCTGTATCCCAGTCCCATTCAGCAAGAAGGACAATCTTTCAAATCCTCAATATGTGACACCTACAAGGATGCCTAAAATCTAACCATATTCCATAAAAAAATCCACCGCCTCCCCACTTTTTACCTTCACAGATGCTGCTATTTCGCTCCAACTAGACCACTCAAAAAAATAGTCAAAACTCTACAATCTCATGAAACCTTTGCATCGTTCCCTCCACCAAAAGAGCAAAAGGTCCCAATAAATAGTAATGTACATGCACGGAGGAACCACTCAACGCAATTTTGCTTCACAGAAAAGCTTGAATCATTAATTCAAAGCTATAGGAAAATCAAGAAAAGGTTATGCATTTTATTTACATACGTTATAAATGAAAAATTCTGCCTATCTTTTGCCTAGTGCTAATAAGTTAATTACACATTTTCCATGTTTACTACAAATTCAATTCATTTTTTCACTGAAGCTTTTTCCTCCCTTTTACTGAGCAATTAATAATCTAGCATCGAGTCAATATAATCACTATTACCAAAAAAGATTATTAGACACTATTTGGCACATAGTAAGGAAAAATTATAAGATGAGTAAGAGTCACAGGGTCTCATTTATAAGATAATCTCATTTCACATGCAATTGAAAAGTGGAAAAAATGCTAATCAAAATACAAATATTCTACATTCAATTTTTTTTCAATAGAATCCAAAAAATTTAAGCCTAAACATTCCATTATCTTGCTAAATTGTCAAATATATGATCTAGGCCATAAAGATATGATAGAGAGGGAAAGAAGGCCATTTATTAATTACCAACTGACCTTCCATAATCCATCACTTGCTAATATAACAAATTCAATAGTGGAGCCTACGGGCACATGTCTTACATCAGGCTCTGAACTCAAATGTGCTTTAAGGCTTTGATCCCCAAAAGCACGTGCAACTGCAAGTTGACCATTAACTCTAGGTACATCTCCTGAAAGAGTATTAGAATATTAATCTAAGTAAAGAAAAAAAAAATCTAATTATATACTAAAGAGCGAAAGAAAAATTATAAAAGTGGTAAGAAATTAAGAATCCCACTATCAATTATATACTGATATATAAACAAGCTCGGTAATAGGGTTAAATGAATTAAATTAAATATCTTTACCCGGAAGAGTAGTCACAAAACCACCCTGTTTCTCAATCCTTCTTCGCTCACTGTGTGGCTCATGGTCCACAGTAAGTTGGGTTGCAGAACCCCTCTCACACACAACAGCTCTTGAGTCACCAATATTTGCCACCCATAAGTCTTTGCCATCAATGACTATTGCAGTTACTGCAGTCGACCCACCTGGCCCTAATTGTATGGAATTATCTAAAATAAACTTATCTGTGGAGCAGTAAGCATTCCTTATTGCTGTCTCGGGGTCTTTCCAGAAACTCGGCTGTATCATATACATAAAAGAAAAAAAAAACAAATTGACCAAATAAAGTGATTTGAGAGCATCAACAGTTACAGCTTTCAATACAAATGTACTGACCAGATAAGGAAAGAACTACTGAGTCTTGTAATTGACTTAATATAAGTAGTCTTTGGGCAACGAGAAACCTAAAGTTGGTATGAATATTTGAGTACAAATATTGCACGGACAAGGACAGAGAATGGGCTAAATCCTATCTTGGTTGCAATTCAGATTACAATTTCAGTTCACATAAAGAAATCATGATTGTATGGGGAAGATAACCAACTAAGTATGCAACCAGTAATGACATTCTTAATACTACCGTAAGCATTATAGTTGAAAAATAAAAACAACAGAAAGATAAATCAAATTATTAGGAAAGCAGCAAAACTCTCTCTTTTTCTTTTGTCTGTTATTCGTGTACCTACACAAGAATATGGAAAGGGTGGGAAGGTATACCTCTTCAATTATGTTGTTGAAAAGGTTTTCTTTCAAATAAGTAGGGACGCGATCGCCTAAATGACCGTCGAAGATAGCAAACAATCCAAGGACGTGGTTTTTTCTTTTTCTGTACTCAGCAACATGGTAGTCCTCCATATCATGACCAGATTTTCCTTGGACTAAATGGAACCCATGGGCCACTCTGATAGAAGAGGACTTGCTTCTCCCTTTTCCTGAGTCTGAAGACGACGAATTAAGGCATGTAGCATTCTGCAAGGCCAATTAAACAAATTATGATGATAAGTCTAAATTGATCACAGTAATACCAAACTTATGGGGGCTTTCTACTTCTCGCTCGGCATGGTTGATTAGCTCTCAATCTTTTAGGAATCAGGATGGTGGAAATGTCTGTGGATATGGGATTTGTATGTACAATAGTTATAGCCCATAGTATGAATAAACAATAGTTACATAATTAAGGCATGTAGCATTCTGCAAGCCAAATTGGACAGAAGGGGAGCTTAGGGCTTAGCATAGATTGCAATTGTAAAACCCTAGTAATTAATAAACGCACTCCAGGGCAGGGTATGGATGAGCCAGCAGCTGTAATTAAAATTGAATTCAAGGAGACAAAGAATTCTAAGTTAAAGTGAAGTTGAGATCGAAAGTAAACATCCAGAAGTAGTTGTACGTAAAATAATAGAAACAATTCTCAGCAATCAAAAATCAAGGAGAGAGAGAGAGAGAGAGAGAAAGAGAGAGAGAGACCTTTATCTTGTCAAGGAAGCTGGTTCCTTTAGTGATGTGGGAAGCTGAAGCTTCTGTTTCTTCTGACTTCTTACTCATTTCTCAGACAATCATAGAAAGATAAGAGGTTCTTGCTTCTATATCACAACAGATTTCTCAGAAAGGAGTCAATCGATATTGGATTGTTCACGAAATTCAGGAACTGATTACTAATTGCTACTTTTCTCTTGGAAGACGAAGAAGAAGAATACGATGGACAACTGTTGTGAGTACGAATAAGCGACACAAGCACACGCGTATTTGGAATTTTCTAAATATTTCACAATACAACCCTGTCTGACTTGAGAAGGCGTTGAAATTAAATGAAGAGCTGAATGTAGTAGAAGATATTGACTTATTCTCCGCGTGGGCTCCACATCAAACCGAATCCACCCACAACCCTTCAGTTTTTGTTTTGCACACTGGCCTGCTGATTGCTGCTCTTGCTCTGCTTGTGTTGTGCCTCTGCTTCTTCCCGACAATCTCTCAACTGAATATTTGAATGGATTTTCAGCCGTTTTATACCCAACTATACAGCTAATTTAGTGCCTGTTTGGCATTGCTTATTTGAGGTGATAAGTGATTTTTTTAAAATTTTGAGAAGCTCAATCCGTTTGGTAAACTGTGAGAAAATCATTTATTGTTAAAAATTGCTGTGAAAGAAAGCTATATGGGAAAACAGCTAATGAGGTGCTTTCATTTTCTGATTATGCAGAAATCAGTTTCGAAGAGGCGCTAAGTTTAATGATTATGCGGCAATCATTTTTTGATTATACGTAAAATCAATACCAACAACACTTTTAACAAAAATTTTACCAAATGCCAAACTGATTTCTCTCACAGCAAATCTGACAGCGATTATTTTCACAGCACAGTAATGCCAAACTGGCCCTTAGTATTTAAATTTATTAAAATAGCCAATTTAGTCTATACCGTTAATCTTTTGAATTTCATCCACTTTTTCGTCTAAAAAGTCACGTGTCTTTTTTAGGTGACTTAGTATTTAATTTAGGCTTATTTACTGTTTCACCCCTTGAAACGAACACTCAGTCTCACTTTAGCTCTTTAAACTGAAATTTCTTACTTAATCACCTGAATCTCTAAAAATTGCTAAAATTTTCTTACTTTACCACTTCCGTCCATTTCCATATACAAAATCGTTAAGTGTGCTGATGTGGCATGGGCATTCTAGTAATTTTAGCTCCTTATCTTCTCTCTGCCTCTCTCTTCTCTCCCATCCCAAAACCTAACCTCCATCGCACCCCAACCCCACCCCTTCCTCCCTCTTATCTCTTCTCTTTTCTCTCTATCTCTTTCTCCTAACCTTGCTCTCCTCTCCCCTCAACTCCTTAGACTCAACCCCTAGCGCATCTCCAATGCATCCAAACCCCTCCCCTCACTCTACATCTCTCCTCTCACCTCCATCGCACCCCACCCCTTCCCTCCTCTTATATATATAGAAGAGAGAGAGAGAAGATGGGGAGTGGCTGTTGAGGAGATTTTTTTTATAAATTTTTTTAAGTGGTGGTGACTTAGGTGTGTTGAGTAATTCCATGAAGGGTTCGGTTTGGGGTGGGGGTTGGGTATGGCAAGGGGAGGGGAGAGGAGAGGTAGTGAGCAGAAAGAGGCATAGAGAAGAGAGAAGAGTGGAGAGGGAGGATGGGGACGGGGTGGGGGTGGGGTGCAATGGGGGTTGGGTTCGAGAGGGGAGAGAAGAGAGGCAGAGGGAGAGAGAAGAGAGAGAGAGAGAGAGAAGATAAGGAACTAAAATTACTAAGATGCCCATGCCACGTGAGCATATTTAACTATTTTATGGATGGAAATAGACAGAAGTGGTAAACTGAGAAAATTTCAGCAATTTTTAGAGATTTAGAGGATTAAATGAGAAAATTTCAATTTAAGGGAATAAAGTGAAATCAAATGTTTGTTCAGTAAATAAGCCTTTAATTGATTATTATTATTATTATTAAAAACTAAAATATTTAGAATAAAAAGAAGAAAAAATAAGGGAGCTTTCGTTTTAGAACACTACATAGTTTACACATTCGAAGTGGAGCATAAAAAGTTCTTTTTGAAAAAAAGAAAAAATACAAACGATAGTTTAAACTAGATTTCTCTCACATGCACTATAAGTGCCATGGGGATTTGAACCAAAGAACAATGTCAAGACCCTTTTTCACTATGTTAGACCCGTTAGGTGTAGCATAAAAAGATTTTAATTTTTGAACTTGAGTCTTTTTGCTACACAATGAATAACCGAGGGATATCAAAGATTGGTTGCTCATGAATCGCTTTTGCGTGTATTTTTTTTCTTTTTTCTTTTCTCATTTCTATAATTTTCAATTTCATATGACAATGGAATTAATGCCGTAAAACCCTATGCACCTCACATCCAAGGACGAAAGATTGACATGCTATATACAGTCTCTTGTTGCCTAAGAGAGCATATGCAAATGAAATTCAAGATACAATCGGACATCAAAATCCAGCCCAAAAAACTTTAAAAACCAATGAATATAGGGACCAGCAATCCGGAAGCTTCAAACTTCATTCACCTGGCGAGAAATTTATCATGTGTCAGATACTGCAAAAACCATGTATGTGCACGTGTGCAGAGAGAGAAATAATTAACACATGAGCAGTACTCGTTCAATACACTTGGAACAACACATCAAAAAAGAAAATTAATGTCTTTAAACTATGGCAGAGGTAAGTTGCGCTCTTTCAGAAAGATCACAATTCTGATAATTGGAATTTAGCTAAAAGCAAGCATACTCTTGATGAATAGATGATTTAACCCATCTAACACAATAATGAGCTAACACATTATTTACTTTCTCAATTTCATTAAGGGCATATGCTACCTCCATCTCCTACCTTTTTGGTGGAAAGGTTCACCTACTAAAATCCTTTATGTTGCCCAGCCACAACCCAAAAATTTACCTTTTTACCTTTCCCCTGAGATATTTAGACATAGCCTGGTTATGAGTGTAAGAACTCACCTCATATCGTTTTCACATTGGAGAACAAGGAAAATATGAAGGGCTTGAACACGAAACCACCAATCAATTAGAATCATAAAAGGTATGAAAGCCAGCTACGCCATCTTTAATGCCTGCTTTAATTGTGAAAATGCTGAGGGATGCATGCATCCAATGGCCTTATTAAAAGATTCTCCATGAAGGGTAGCACATGTTTGAAGATTTTCCCTCACTGAAGCGTCTAGAGACATTTGGTTGATAGGGTCTGAAAACTTGAGCTATAGTGGGATATAATAACTTCATCAGGAAAATATTACCTCATGAATTTATTTAATCAGCGACTACAGCAATCACAGTAATATCAGAAGAGTGCCATGGACCACAAAGGAGAAGAAGGAAGGGTGGTTCACCTGTCTTCTTCTGAATTCTTTACTCGGAATGGTGCCCTTACTAAGGGATCCGCTGGAGGTTATATTATCACCACTGTTGTTGATTGGGAAGAATTTATGAGAAATATAGTTGTTTGATATGGGCAAGCAAATCAAAGTAGAATCACAAGGGATCTAACCTTGACTCCTCTGTTAAGTCATCATTGGCACCCAAAATTACAGTTGTACACACACTGCATGTATAAATAAGCAACATTTTATAAAGATCATCCAACAAACAGAAAAGAGATGATTGACCGAATTCATGGTGAAACTCATACCTCAGGATCTGATCAAGTTTGTTGAGGACTTGAGGAAGTCTTAATGTCAGAATTATAGAAAGAGCTAAGCCATACGTCTTCCTTTGGATGGAAGATACATTGTCTGCCTGTGACAAATTTTTTTTTTTTTTTTTTTTTTTTTTTTTAACCACACCAGAAAGGCAATAAGAAATTAATTTACAGAAAATCCTACTCATTCCCATTTATTCATTTTCCATAAGAACATCTTTAATTCTTCACTTCAACATGTATAAAGCACAAGAACTTTTCTCCATTTACTATCTGTGTATCGTACTACAAAGAAAGATGATGATAATTATTCTCCTGCACATTTGTGCCAACAGTGCAAGGTGGTTGTGTTTATTTTTCAAATGGATAAACTATCCGTGGTAGTTCAACTCTACAATAGGAAAGATAGTGACACCAAAAAGGGCCAAAACAACGATACCTGGAGTGAGCTTTGCTATGCTCTCCGGCATAGCACATTATCTCTTATTAGGGTTGCCTTGGCACTATAAATATATTTTTGACCACATACATTACAACAATCATATATTTAACAAAGATGCGTTAAATGTACAATTTATTATGAATGTAGAATTTAACATTATATTACAGAATACAGAAAAATAAATGGCCTGTTTGGTAACCTTTTTCGTTTTTAGGTTTCATTTTTTATTGTTAGATATAGAAAGGAAATATATGGGAGAGGGAGAGATGAAAAAGGGCGGAGGAAGGACAAATAAAAAAACTTAGAAAAACTAATTTCAGAAATAATTCTTTTCGATTAACTATAGAGCAAAATGACTTTATATAAAATATATTCGACTCTGAAAGAACAATGTCTACAATCACTACTGAGTTATAACAATACTTCTTGTTCTCATAAAAAACAAACAATGCACACACACTCTAGGGGTGGGCATTTTATCTGACCCACCAGACAAACCTGTCTGATCCAACCCAAGCCGTCTGGTTTGGCTTTCTGTATTGTGGCGAGTTGAATCGAATCAATACCTTTTCAACCCACAAAGGTCTACTCATTGCTGGATTAGGTCATTTTAATACCCAAAATAACAAACTTTAAACAACATTACATCAACTCGAAACAGCATTATATGATTTTGAAAAAAGTCCATCATTGTGCTTGATAGGAATGGAACCTAGGACTTGTTCAGTCTTAGGATGCCGATTGCCCAACTCATCTATGCTGAGTTTGGCGTTAAGAGCATGCCTCTGTTATATTTCACTTAGAGGACCTTTTACTCATTTGTCTTCTGCACAACAAAGTTTCTTGCAATGTGTTGTTGGATGGTGTTTGGTGTCAAAAGCATGCCTAAGTTATATTTCACCTATAGGAGCTTTTACTT